CCTTTGGAACAGACCTAAGCACTGATGTCAGTGCTGCCGGGCGCTGATCTGCTACCTCAGTGTTAGGTCTGTTCCAAAGGCAAGTGCCTCTGATGTAAGTGGCACTGACCTAAGTGTCTCAGACGTAAGCGGAGTGGAAACTCCCAGAAATACTGTACAGGCAAAAATTTCGTTAATTACCGATCTGCCAGGGACGTTAAGTCACTATTTGACGATCAGGGAGGGCTGCTGTGAGTTTTCAATCCCAAGCAAGTATCACAATCTTCAGGGGACAGCGCTCGTTCCCATGCGGTCTCCAATCTAAGTACTAACTACGCCCGACGTAACTTAACTTCGGAGATCGTCCTAGCGATTGAACCACTACACTACCTGCGCGTGTACGTGTTAGGGGCGTAATTTTACCATTTCAGGGCCCCCATTGGGGTAATTTTGCCAGCAAATGATGATTTTGTCTTTGAATGTGAATCCGATACTTAATTTTTCTATTATTCTTTTTTAATCAATCAACATGTAAATGAAGTTTTGTAAGTTACGTTTCTTTGCAAAAAAAATGGATCGCACTAAAATTCAAAATTAAAGCTAATGATGCAAAAAAAAATAATTAAAGTTGAAATTATACAAAAAATATAAATCAGCAGATACAAAAATTGAAAGTAAAGGAGTAAAAAAGTTAGAAAAGAATTGAAAAGAAAGTAGGAAAATTTTAAAAAAAATTGAGACTGGAACATTTTAAAAAGAGTTAAAACTGAAAAAAATTAAAACCAAATTTAAAACTATTTTTTTTTTAAAAAAAAAAACAATAATGCTTAAATAAATATATCTAAATACATATTTTAGCGGTGATAATATTTTTATCGATCTCATTTTTTGTTGTGTTTTAATTATTTAAGTACCATCTTAAACGAAGAGGGTAAAACAAATTATTCAAGAGTGTGGCTACTTAAACTAGTTTTCCTTCCCTCTTAGAAAATCCCACCTTCTACAAAATATGCCTCTCTGAAAGATAAAGTTTGTGGTCCCCGTGTCCCGAGGAAATATTCCCCCACGAAAATGAAATAGGGTGGGGGAAGGGGGAGCCATCTCTACTTTTTGGGAGTGAGCGCGGTTCGATTAAGATTGATGTCAGAGACTTACCCTCTGAACCAAGTCCTGACCTCAGTCCCGCTTACCTCAGAGACATCTTTGCACTTAGGTAAGTCTTTCTCCCGACGTCAGTGCCTCTTACCTCAGTGCTGACTTCTTGGGTAAGTGCTTTAACACTTACGTCAGAGAAAACTGAACTGACCTCAGAGCAAATTGCACTGACCTCAGTGGAAAATTCACTGACCTAACACTTGCCATTTTTACCAGGGTCATACTTTTCGTGGAGGACTCGTGGAGCTTTTCCGATCGGAAAGTCGGAACCCTCAGGTCATTTCTAAGGAGAAGTGGCTAGGGCTCAGCCCTAATTGAGAACTTTCGATATTGACCCTGAAAATTTAGTCCATGACCCTTGACGACATTCACTATCTTCTACAGAAACAGGGCCGAATTTACCTACTTGCCGCCCACGGGCCGCCTGTATTTTGCCGCTCCCTTCTCATTCGTTTTGAAATACCAATAAAAACCGTCAAATAAACGTGGCAGCGGAGTAGGGGTGCATAAGACTCGTTTACTCGTGTTGGACATATTTTTTGGGAAAGCCCTGTTAACACTACTAGCAAAAGTTCACGGAACTTTGCGCGAAAGTTAAGTTCCGTAAACCTATCTCTGTGTGGACAAGGCCTTCCATTCATAAGAAATGAACGAAAAAATTATGAAAGAACAAACATGAATATGGTTAAATAATTTTAACTTCCACCGCCGCACCGCGCTGGCCGTGCTGTGTTTGGCGCAATGCGTGAAGTATTCATGTAGTCCTGTAGGCGCTATGTGTATCACGCCGATCGCTGCTGACCGCACTGTGTTTGACGCAATGCGTGAAGTATTCGTGCAGTCTTGTAGGCGCTAATTTGTTTTACATGCCGACCGCTGCGCCGCGCCGAGGGTTTCCCCTTTTCATCTCAAGTCCTCGTCATCATTTCTCTCTAAGTCGCGCCGTTCCAGACCGAAATGCGTGTTTGGTTTCTCTCTTAACTCGATTAATGAAAGGTGCTGTCTCTTGTATCACTAAAAGACGACAAAATTAGAAATTACTATACTCTCAGGTAATGAGAGATTTTGTCGCCTTTTCTCGTTTGTAATTTTTTTTTCAAATTCGATTTTTTTTTAAAAAATTGCAAAATTTGCCGCCCCCTTGATTTGCCGCCATGGGCAGCGGCCCATGTGGCCAACTGACCATCCCTTAATCCGGCCCTGGACAGGAAAATGTTTTTTGAGATTAATATCGAATTCCACGTAGTTCGAAGCGTAGAATGGATTGCGCCTGATCTCGGGGCTCCACGCGGCTTCCTAAAGCGAGAAACGATCGAAACGAAACTAGTGTTGTTTACCCTCTCTGGGAATTAATGAAGTGCGTGATCCAACGGACTCGTGGAGCTTTTCCAACCGAATTGTCGAGCCTGAAAATGACCCGAGGAGTCCGATTTTCTGACCGAAAAAGCTCTACGAGTCCGCTAGATTGCGCCATTGGCAAAAAACGCGCATTTGATCAACTCCCAGGAAGGATTAAAGTCACTTTTTTTTAGTATTTCTCGACTTAGGAAGCCGCGGGGAGCCTCGGAACCAGGCGCAATCGATTTTACGCCTAAAACTACGTGGGCCCTGGTAGAAATTGGCAGTAGAATCTGTGTTCCAAAATACCATAGACTTACGGCCGGCTGTAAGATTTCCAATAGCTTCTATAGCTGGCTACACAATTTCTTATAGCCTTTTATAGCCGAATTAAGCAACTCACAGTCAGGCGATAAAGTGCATGCTAAACGTCACTAGTTCGTCACCTTCCAGGCAAAGTATCACAAGCGCCATGCGACGTTTAAAAATTTCCGCCGCCATTATGTTTTTTTACAGAGAAATTGTACAACGAAGCTGTCCGAAAATTTCACTGAATTTTCTCTGTGCTGCCGATAAAATTTAGTGAAATTTCCAAACAGATTCAACCAACAATTTCTCAGTAAAGAAATAAAATGGTGACGGAAATTTTTAAACGTCGCATGGCGCTTGTGATAATTTGCCTGGAAGGTGACGAATTATGGATGTTAGGACTTAGTGAGTTTTTGGACCACTGCTCTCTTTTTGGGCCGTAGTATCTTGATTTATTTTGCGAGGAAAGCTCCGTACTTTTGATGGATGCCCGCCATTCCTAATATATTAGAGCGCCTCCAGCTTTGTATGATACTGTGCAATCCCTCTGGTGTGAAACAGTTGCTTCAAGCGCCGTGGCACGCTGCGGTGCGGCAGGTGGGCAGCCAGCGCGAAACGCGCATTGGCGTCGGCGCCTACAAACCTAACAGGGATACTTCACGCGTTGCGCAATGCGTGAAGTATCCCTGTTAGGTTTGTAGGCGCCAGTGCGTTGCCGCTCCGCTTTGTGTTAGGCTCTAATATTTAGTCTGGCGGAGCCAACGTTATTCAACTCATGATTTTGAAATGTTTGCACATCCTGTATGGATTATTCTCGTTTCAATTGATGAAAAAAAAATATGTATTAAAGGAAAATATAACGTGTGTTTTGTAAATATTAAGGTGGTTCCGTATCAAACTTAATGATTTCCAAAGCACACGAATTTCTACACAGTTTCTTATAGGCTTTAATAATCGATGGCGAAAAAGCAACAGCCAGGCGATAAAGTGTAAAGCCCGGCGATAGGAACTATAGCCCGGCTGCTTAATTTTTTATCGCTTCGTATAGCCCGGCCGTATGATTTTCTCCGCATTCTATAGCCAGCTATATGATTTTCTGTAACCTTCTTTAGCCGGCTATAAGAATCCCTATGGTATTTTGAAACGCAGCTCTTATCGCCAATTTTTACCAGGGGATTAGACGTTAATCTTGATTTTTTTTTCTTGTCGAAGTACCACGGACTAAATTTTCGGGGTCGAAATCGCAAATTCTCCGATCGGGCCACAATTCAAATTAGTTTTAATCTGAAATCTTTAAGCCTTAATATATTGCCACACTCCTTCCTACCTTCTCATCCTCATTTGAAGGGGTTTGTCAACCAATCGTTGGCCCCTTTTGCTTTCTTTAGGGACCCTCTTCTCTTGCCCTTCTCTGCTCGCCTTGCTCCTCTACTGTGAAACCTCTAAAGTGGAAATTTTTGCCAAGGTTTCAAAGCATCTGGGGACCCCCAAAGATCCTGAGGGAACCCAGGCTTAAAATCCTAGTGGTGACAAAAAAATTCCAGGCGGCCATGGTTGGTGACCATGGTCTGCAGGGGTGCCTGCTGTTACACCACTGCCATGAACCCCGGTGTCATACTCTCTCCGTGAAAGTACCTACTTTAAATTACCGCGGCTTAGGGCCGGTTCTACCACCTTTTGGTTACATTCAACCTCTGATCAAAGCAATACCTTTTACGCTATTTTTTTAGGATTTGAGGGCTTATCATTACATTTCACGTTCCGGATGGCAAGTTTGGTCTCTGTGGGATATTTTGACACCACCCCTGAGAGTCTCAACTCTCAACTTCCGGGTAAAAAGTAACAGGTATCGATAGTGTTAATTTTATAACCAGCGGCTATAGCCCAAGAGGTGACAGAACCGGGCCTTAGACATGGCAATGCTCCACATAGTACTCGGCCGTTGGGCGGTTAACAGCGGCAACACGGCAAAATCGCTTGCCGCGACAAGGGCAACGACGGCGTGCAGGACGCTGTCGCAGCGTTGCCGGGTCTCGCGGAAATGCTGCGAATTTCCTTCCAGTCTCCGGTCTCGGAAACGGCACCCGTGCGGTGGCATGAAACAGGAGGGAAACCAGAAACAAGGTGGCCGATCGTGCTTCACCGCCGGCCTGAGCTGGAGCGGGAACCGTGCTTTGTGCTTCGCGTGTTTCTTCGTTGCTTCATCGTCGTCGAGCGAGCCGAGCGGCTCCAGCGGGCTCCAGTTTCACCTCGTGTTTCGCTTGGACCTGTTTCGCTCCGCCAGCTCCTTCCTGCGCATCGGCAGTCTCGAGGCCCGTTAGGTAGTTGCAGCGCATGCTCTGTCTCCTCTCCTTCGAATTTTGCGGCTGGAATCCACGTTGAAACTACATTCTAAGTCGAACCGAGTTTCCCCTCCTCTTAAGTCAATTCGCATTCCGATTTGCGCCTCGTGCGTTCATCGCCCATTTTCGTCGTCACAGGTGTCGGTGCAAATTTAAGTGTCGAGTGTTCTATTGGTTTTGTTCTGGATTTAGCTTCACGTGTTCGGTTTTCCATGTTTCCGTGTCAAATTTCTCTCTTTCAAAATTTAAGTTTCTGACGTTCTCTAGTCCCCCCTCGAGTGAAAGTCTCTCGGACACAGAAGTTTCTCTTACTTCGTCTTACTAACGTCAAGTAAAAATCCGACCCCAAAATTGGTGCGCCTTCAACAACATCCATGTGTCTCGCATATTTCGTCCCCTATTAGATTTCCATTCGCGCCCACATCATCTTCGTCTGATTGGTAACACGTATTAAGTTTTAAGTTTGTGGTTATTTCAGATCTGGTCCTGTCTATTCCGTACCTCCGTGTTCTCGGGTCGAACTTTTATTTGCATCAAGTGCCGGATCTTAATGTCCTTTTAAAGTCCTCTCAGATTCCGAAGCCCACGTGTTTTGGTGTACGTCTTCTTTAATCCCAAGGGAGGTTTCGCGTGTCCCCCCGCGCCGTATTTCGTTTCACAATACCTATCTGTAATTTCATGATCCGGGTGACCATTGCTTCATCCCTGTGAATTCCGGTGAGGCGCGCTTTATTCTTTCCAGTTACCAGCGGCTCCTGCGGGGGCTCTTGGAGGCCGCCATTCCTCGATCCACGGCGCTTCAACGATACGGTTATGCTCCTACCATGCAGAACAGCCCGGAGTTCAACGCTTTTTTCGTCTCGGTGGTGAAGAAGCACGAGGTCCTCTACAACCACTCCCTCATCGGTCGCTCGGACAAGGACCGGGTTCGAGAGGCATGGCAAAAGGTTGCCGCCGAGGTCCAAGGCACCGGTAAGCCAACTTTACTCTTCAGGGTTTCTCGTATCTTTAAAACACCATAGCCATCTCAAGGGGCTCTGTTGCGTTGCAAAGTCTAACGACCATGAGAGGCTCCCCCTAATTTACAGGAAACATTTTCCGATTTTCTGACTCCTTATCCTTCACAAGTCTACCCCATTCCACCCTTAATCAAAAGCAGTTCCTAAAACCCTCTAGACGCCTTCCGCCTTCCGGTGCAATGACGATTCTTGAATTTTTCTCCTTTTAACTGAGTGCATAGTAATCGATTCTTGGTGAGGCCAGGGCCAGATTAAGTGGGGTGGCCATATGGGTCGCGGCCCATGGCGGCAAATCTAGGAAGCCGCAAATTTTGCAATTTTTTTAAATGTAGGTATTAAAAAAAATCGGATTTAGAAGAAAATTACAAACAAAATCTCTCATTTCCTGAGAGTATAGTAATTTCTAATTTTGTCGTCTTTCGGTGATACAAGAGACAGCACCTTTAATTAGTCGAGTTAAGAGAGAAACCAAACACGCAATTTGGCCTGGCGCGACTTAGAGAGAAATAATGACCAGGAGTTGAGATGAAAAAGAGAAGCCCTCGACGCGGCGATCGGCATGTAACACATATTAGCGCCTACAGGACTGCACGAATACTTCACGCATCGCATCAAACACAGTGCGGTCATCGCGGTCAGCGTGAAACGCATAGCGCCTACAAGACTGCGTGAATACTTCACGCATTGCGTCAAACACAGTGCGTTCAACAGCGGTCGTCGGCGTGAAACTCATAGCGCCTACAAAACTGTCGGAATACTTCACGCATTGCTCCAAACACGGTGCGATCTGCGCGGCGCGGCGGCGGAAGTTAAAATCATTAAACCACATTTATGTTTGTTCTTTCATAATTTTTTCGTTCATTTCTTATGAATGGAAGGCCTTTGTCCACATAGAGATAGGTGTACGGGACTTAACTTTCGCGCAAAGTTCCGTGAACTTTTGCTAGTAGTGTTGACAGGGCTTTCGCAAAAAATGTTTCCAACATGAGTAAACGCGTCTTGTGCACCCCACCCCCGCTGTCACGTTCACTTGATGGTTTTTATTGATGTTTCAAAACAAATGAGAAGGGGGCGGCGAACGCAAAATAAAGGCGGCCCATAGGCGGCAAGTAGGTAAATCCGGCCCTGAGTGAGGCAGCGTATGTCATCTAATGTCGTAGGATCGATATTTTTAATGGATTTAAATGGAGGAAAAATAGTGTTGCCAACTTGCAAAATCGCTACTGCCCAGTGCCCTACGGAATTTGTGGGTGGCCTTTTTATTACCTTTTATTCGTCATAAAGTGTTCATTTTTTATTGAATATTTCAAGAAATTGTACCCGCCAGGCAATGGTTGCAGAAAAGGTTGCCGTACTCTCATTTTACCTGAAACCGTAGCTAACGTTGGCAACGTTTCTGCAACCTTTTCGCCAACTAGTGTCGGGCGGGTGGTCTAATCACGATGTCTTTCAGGATTTTATGAACTACAATGATTTTCATACCCAATATGCAGTTTTCCAAAATGCATTCTTAGACAACCAAAATAAGGAACGAAGAATGAAAAATCGATTTAAAAAGCAATTTTATTAATTTATTTTAAAATAATTTTTTTCTATTTTTTTCGAAAAAACAATTTAATTTAAGCACTACTGGCGTCACATAAAACGAAAATTATTTCTTAAAATGTTAACCCAGTGCTCTTGAGAGCGCCAGAAATGATTATATACTTAAGCACGCATCTGAACTGAAAATCGATTTTTTTTACCTCGACCGACCGGGATTTTTCGCTATGGTAAAAAACTTTGAGCCACCATATCAGTGAGACCTATTCTGTCTGTCTCCATCACCTCTTGCAATCTACATAACACCCTGATTTTCCATTTACCCGCGAACGATGATGTTCCAGAGCACGAGTGTAAAGATAGATGGCGGTGCCTACGAGTGTGTTTCCTGCGGATGCTGCGCTACTCGCAGCCCAACCACCGCGGCGTGAGGCAGAATCACCGCAAGGCCTACTACCTGGCCGACGCCATGAACTTCCTCCTGCCTTACGTGAAACCTAAGCATGCGCCGCTCGGCTTCGAGCCCCTCGACGGACCCGTGAAAACGGAGCCAGACTTCGGCGTGGAGGACGGGCTCGACTCAGAAGACCAGTCCGAAGACCAGTCTGAACTCTATCCGACCGACCTCCTCGAGCTGGAGGACGGCGAGCACTCCACCTCCTCAGTCGCCTCCTCCAGGGTCCCGGAGTTCTACGCCGAGCCCAGTCCTGCCTCCTCGCACGAGACTCCCGGGATCTGCGCCGGCGAGCCCGCCCCCCTGGAAACGCACCGAACGCCTGTCAAAGAGGAGATACCGCCAGCGGCACTCGAGGGTCGCCGCCGCAAGAGGAAGGCCAACGCTCCCGTCAGGGTCCAGGAGTATTACGCCGAGAAGAACAGCCCTGGGTTCTCCCAAGAGTACTTCGCCCCTCCCACCACTGCTGAGATGGAGGACAAGAAAAGACTCAAGGTAAGCGTCCATAGGTATTATGCATTGACATACAATACAATCTAGACCGCGCACTACGCCCGACTTTAGGCGGGAAAGGTAAGACAGCTAGGGGGTAAAACAGGGTGAAGACGCGCCCTCAGCCTAGTTGATACCGCCGGATATACGAGCTAAGTGTACCCGCAACGGCACTGATAAGACTGGCATTTTCATTGTCTCGGTACATATTGCCGGTACACTTACTGGGTGTTGCTGGGTTGCCTATCGTCTCGCCTGAAGGGAATCTAGTCTCGCCGAAATTTCCTAATGCGCGGTCTAGATTGTATTATACGTCAATGGTATTCTGCCGTGCTAAGGAAAAACGCCGTATAAACATTCAAGAGTTGCCAAATTTCCTCCGTTAAAATATTCATTTCCGAGTAGAGTAATGAATATTTTTCCTTGAAATTTTCCGACACTTAAGATCTAACCACGAACAAAATTATCTGAAAAATCTAAAGGAAAATATTAACAATTTTCCCCGGAAATCCGTGATTTGTCAAAGGAAATTCGGTAACGTTTGAAGGCTCATACGGCGATTTTCCTTAGCACGGCAGTATTAGACCCTGGTCAAACTTCCAATATTCTTTAATAAGAAGATAAGAATCATATGGTGTAAGATACAAATCTCCGAATAAACACTTACTGCAGCACGAGGGCGGCTGCTGTCTCGCCCATAAGAAAAATCGAAGGCGGAATAGCAGCGTGCATTATATAGGGTGGGCCAAAAAAAAAATTTAGAGAGCAGTGAAAGGGCGTGATTTACGCTCTATTGGTGAAAATTAAATCACCGAATCAGGGGAAGTAGAATTAATTCCGAGTCAAAGGAGTAAACATACGACGGTCACGCATAAGAGTGGCCCGGAAAAAAAAATCCGGAACCGTTTTCGGCTGCGACTAGAGCAGGGGATATTTTTTAAGGTTATAAAAATTATGAGCATTAGCCAAATTCGCAACAAAAGTTTTTGATTCTCTGAGGCTCCGCATAGAGCATTCTCATTTTCGTCTCCTCACAAATCTCGCCGTTTTTTCATCAATTTTACCTGGTGATTTTTTATGAACGAAATATTTGCGAAACGGCTCGTAAAGGTACTTAAATTCGTAACAAGAGGAGACGTTCCTCCTGAATTTAGACCATTAAAGCACTTTTTGAGGGTCAGAAATAGATTAGAATTGTCGCTCCCCAACTTAAATTTTTAAGCATCAAAAAGTCAGTTTGAAATTTTTTTCGCCATTAGGATCCATACAATTTGGAAACTTCAAACACATATCTCTCGAGGTAGCAAAAACTGCACTTCGCCTTGTTTTCCAAGCCCTCAAATGTGTGCCACTGAAGATCTAAACATCTCTGGCAGTTTGGTACAGCGTGTACAAATTTTCAAGAAGGTAATAAGGTATCCATGCGTCGAGCAACTCGCATTTGTCGGCACGCCTATTTTTCTGCCCTGCGTTGAAGTCTCTGAAGTGATTCCCGCGTTTTGCCATCGGAACGATCTCTTTTGTGTGCTTCAGCACTATCAACTTATGTATGAATATTTAATGATTATTAATTTAATGGTCCATTAATATTTCATAATTTTGAAATGTTGAAGGTGAAACACTGGAGCGAGCTGGCGGCGGGAAGGCAGAGCCCGGTGGATGACGGCGATTGGCTGTTCCTGAAGAGTTTGCTGCCCGACATGCGGAGGCTGACGGAGAAACAGAAACGGCGCTTCAAGCAAAGGGTTTTGGGGCTCTTCGATGACATCGAGGAAGACGGTCCAGGTCCTTCCGAATCGAGTCATATTCAATTTTAGCTCCGCCCACCTTTTTGCCTTCAATCATTAGTGCCTAACACGTAACCGTCCTTTCCGTACGGTATCCTTGTTTCTCAGGTGTATTTTTGTCATTGTTTTGTACATACGTTGATCTCATTAAGCTATTAAAAAGTTTTTTCCTTGATTCAGCGCGTTGTTTTTGTACCATCTTGTCTTGGGGGTGCGCCCCCTGGCCGCTACGTGGCCCAACCTCCCAAAGTGCGCAAAGCGCCTTTTAAGGTCCACATGAAGTTTAATCTATGAAGGGCAGGCTCTTCAGGGACGCTTAAGTAAGCTCAATGACAGTGGCGTGGCGTGAATTGCGATATATCGATTGTTATGCCATTTAAACCTATGGTAAAGAATCGATTATTATTAAGGGGTTCGCTGCGAACACCCTGTTTATCAATCCTTTGCCATAGGTTTAAATGGCATGACAATCGATATATCGCAAAGCACGCCACGCCACTGCTCAATGACTATCTCCTATTGATAGCCGCAAAAATCATGAAAATCGGCTCGGTAGGTAGAACTCCCTGAAGCGAACCATGACAAAAATGGACTTTTACGAGTACATTCTTGAAACGAGAGAATTCACAATTTAATTGCGTTATATGGATTGCGTTTTGCAAAAAGGAACCAAGAGCATTCCAATGTTGCTAGGATTGTGTAATTGAAATTCTCTGCCAAAAATTGCTGAAAACATAAAAAAAAAATTATATTTACAAAGGTAATTTTTGTCTTGAATTCATAGTTTATTGGGAGTTAAGATAAAATTTGTTCAGATGATCTTTTTATATTCGCAAGGTGAAATAAGTTGCACAATCTTCCAAGTCATATTTCCACGTACTGAATATAGTTGGCTCATCCTGGGACTTTCACCAATTTTTGTAAAAACTCATAGAACTCCAAATGTTTTTCTCAAAATGTCAACATTATAACAATCATTAAGTATTTCAATAAGGAAAACCTTGATGGAAATCGGCCCGATAGACGATAGAACGCACACTGATAAGAAATGATCATTTAGGAAGTCAGGAAGCTCTTAGTAATGATGGGAATGATTGATAAGTTAAGAACGTGCCTGTGTGAAGATATCAGGCAGTAGTATCAGTATTTTTTTATGCACACGTACATTCAATACCTACTACCTTACGGTTGGAAAAAGAGCGCACCTTTGAATTTTGGCGCTTTAATTTCCCGAAACTAGCGGGAATTTGATAGCCAATCCAAGTTTAATTTCCCGAAACTAGCAGCGGGAATTTCATAGCCAATCCAAGGACAAGTTCGAGAATTTGTTCTTAGCCAATCAGAGAAGAGCGTTGTACTGTGTGTTGTAAACAAACAGTAAACATAACCTCATTTAAAAAAGTGAAACGGTAAAAATGTTCCTTCCGGTACTGACCATCAGTACAGTAAGTAAGTATGTGGACAATTTAGATTAATTTGATACGGTATGGCTAATGCATTATCGTAAAAACATGACCTACGAAACTTGATCCAGTTGTTTTGCGTACGCTAGTTTGGAATCAATTTCCCAAAGTTTCATTCAAGCATAGTTGTTGGTGTGACCTTTTTATCCCTACCTACATCCTCAGTAAGTTTTTCAGCTCCACTGCTTATTCGTTAATTTTTGAACAACGAACCTTAACGATGATTTCACAATAACAGGAATAGCTAAAATTTGCAACACCTTACAAAGGATATTACACAGATTTTAATCTACGCTTAAAATAATGCTTTCCTTCAGTTGAGTGGAAAATCCTTGTAAACTACTTCGTTCATCCAATGAATCATTTTGTTTGATCAAATTCATAATGATTAGATGTTAGCACTCCTTCAGACATAAATTCTTTGCCTTTTTCAACAGTGTATTGGTATTGTCAACCATTAGTTTCTATAAACCAAAGGTTTTTTAGAATCATCAATTTAAGTCTAGTGTTGAAGAGTAAAGGCTGCACCGTGGAATTTGAATTTTATGAAAATCTACTGCTGACTGATGTTATTCCCGTCATAGCAAAAGAACCTTGTACCTCTGAATTTAGTCTGTTATCTGCACTAATTTCCTTAATGCTGCACAAGAAGGTCTGTTTTCACAGATCATATAAGTTCAAACTAAAATAGAATCATAAGTCAAACAGAAGCGTTGGGCTGGTTGTGCAATAAGGACGAAGGGAGGATGGGGATCTTATGTGGTACTTGAAGTAGTAAAAAAACCATTCAATGTCCTCAAAAGCCCACTTGCTTAGTATTTGACTCTCTCCTTGCTTAACCTGGACCAAGTCAAAAATGGAACAAAAACTTGACTTGGTGAGAAGAAAGGAATTCTGATCAACAAGGGTGTTGAATTTGAAGGTGTATTCGAATGAGTTTTAATCTCTGTCCTGTCTAATTTGACTATTTTTGCCACATCCTGTCTGTGAATAATATATTATTGCATGAATGAAAAAATTCACTAAAAATTTCAAGAAACACTATTAGTCAGCTAGTTTGTTTTGATAAAAAGTAAACGCAAGTGGAAATTCGAAACCTTGTAGAACCGGGGAAAGAAAAGAAGAGAGAAATTTCATATCAGAGAACAGCACCATTCAACATAAATTAGTGTGGTGACTGATGGGCCAACTGATGATTGATGCATTCAGGTTGATGTTACAATCGTCTCTTCTTTTCTCTCCCTAGTTCTAGTCAGAGGTATAGGTACGCATTTTTCGTCTCTTTAGCCAAAATAAAACAAAGCAGGAAGTCTGCTAGGTGGCAAACTGAAACAAGTGTAAGTAAGGCTTCCTTATTTTAAAATACTTGTACTATTATACTGAACTTTGATCATAAAGTTTTAATTTTTTCTGGCTTCTTTCTGTTACTTAGACGAATAGCTGTTACTTAGACAAATAGCATGTCAAAATCGAAAGACTCAGCTCTAAAATTCTTCCCTTCAAAGAATGTGAGGCCACTCTCTGGGGTTCTTGCTGCCAGAACAGTGACCATTCCCCCGAAGCAAAGGAATGAGTTCACATTAAGTTCTCGGGTAAGTACACCCAGTTTTCACATGATTCAAAATAAAACTGAAAAAAGAATTCCTAAGAATAAAAATGTAATCTAACTTTATCTGTCTTTACATCACCATTCATTGAGAATTGTGGGCTTGAATCAATGAAAGGGTACTCACTATTTTGGTGAAAGAGTTACAAGAAATTTTGGAAAAAGTTCGAGACATTAGTCCAGATATTGAAAAGAATTTGTCACAGAGTTTATTTGATGAACAAATTAACTGTCACAGGTCCTTATTTGAATCAGTGAGAACGAAAACACAACAACTCGGTAACTCAAAAATGCTCAATTTCCATTAAAGACAGTTAATTTACATAGAAGTCATTGAAGTTAGCATCTGTTCCAACTTAGACCTTTAAAGTGTCCATAAGTACTTGTCTTTCGGCAGCAAAAATCTTTCTCCTAAACTAATTTCTTCACCTGCTGTGCAGTTTTGTGTGTGTCTTGATTATTTTCATTTATCCGAGTTGGTGTATTTTCGTTCTCACTGATTCATTTCACCTCAACATTCAAGTCAAACTTCCTGTTTATTTTTCAACTTACAAACATTCCTTTCTCAATTAATTACAAAAATTTGAACCAACTTCATTATGGGCATCCTTCAACTGGCAATCATACATGAATTTATCTAAAATTTTGGAAACTATCAACATATGAAAAATTCTCAGTACGAAATATTGTGCTCTGTTAATTTTTCAAAAGTTGGTGATAAAATAACCTGAAAATTCTTCGCAAGTGTCTTAATGCACTGAGCCTTCACCTCGGACAACTCTTTTTACATTAACTCCCAATGCCCAAACTTTACATGCTATCCTCTGAAGTTTCCCTCTTGTGTAGTGTTCCTCGAAAATCAAATTTTGTTTCATCCACCCTTCTCACTTTTGGTGCACCAACCATTGTCAGAGTGTCAACAGGTCTGGAAAACAGGGAATTGTTAGGAAATTTCATTAGGTCAGAGAATTTTGTCACAAAGACTAGTTTATAAAATCTTGAAACTTGAATTTTGGAAAAACAAATGCGGTATCCACACAATCAAACTGAGTCTCAATCTGGCACAGGGCTCAATGCCCTGAAGTACACTCTGAAAAGTGAACAGAGGCATGAGTTTCAATAAGGAATTTACAAGTTTAGTCATTTTAATCATATAATTCCTGAAGAAAAAAGGTTCACGGGTCTCTGTCATTTTCATAGAAAGTAATACCATAAAATTTTCATTTTCAATTCTTCGCATGCAAATTTTTTATGTAAAAGGGAAGGAATTTTGATTATTTTGGTCTGGAAAAATCTGGCAAAGGATGCCCTAATTGAAGAACGAACTCACTTCTGAAAATTCGTTTTTCAAGATTACTCAAATTTCGCTTGAAGTATGATGATTTCTCCATATTAAGTACTGCTACATTTTCTTTTTCAACCTTTTATTATCTTTTATATAGGCTCAAAATACAAAAACAGAAACTTCCTCAAAGGCTGAACAAGATGTGTCTGATGCTGCTCTTAACGACAGGCTCATAGAGGATTCAGAATTTTTGCTCCAAGCCACTTTATTCTTACAAACCGCTGAAGAGCAGTTAAGTAGTATCGAATCTTCCTTGAAGCGCCCGATGTATCCAAGGAACTTACTTGGTCTGAACTTGGAGAATTGGTAAGGCTTTCATCACAATATCAATCATAAAGTTGAATATTTCTTAGTAGTATAGGCGTACATTGGGGACACTTGTTCCACACCTCTAAATCATTAGCAGTATCACAAAGAATACCCTTTAAGTAAGAAAGACAACTGAACACACAGCGCAATGAAAAAGGTTAAAACTTTTTCACCTCATTTCTAAGTTTTTACCTTAAAACATGACTCTTTTTTCCAATCATAGTCTTCTTATTTTTTTAATTAAGAATCATTTAAATACAAAGAAAGAAAAGTGCAAATGTAATTCCTTTTTTAATTATTTTTAATTTAGCTCAAAATTTTCTGTACTCTTTGATTTTGATTAATTAATATTAAATTCGTGATGGGAACCTCGATTTTCAAAGACAGGATCCTCCTATTACTTCCCAAGGGGGTCTAGCGGGGCTTTGTTATGGTGAAATATGGATTCCTTGGCATTGATACCCTATCAGTCCCTGCGGTCCCAACTTCTTCTGAGCCAAAATAATCGTGAAAAAAGCCTGGTACAGGTGGTCTGGGGCACCCTGTATACACACACACACACTTGAATTGAAACAGCATGCACATTTGTAATCTATGCCCCATGATAGATGCTTATCGCATGGTCTTTGGTGTAAGTCTGATATCACAGGAGAGTACAATACTGTATCTCCCTGGGAAATTACACCATAAACTCGAATTTGAGTTTCATTTCTCTGTAGTAATGTATCAATTTTTAAAATAATGTCACTGACCTTCTCATTTATCCGCGGCTTTAACTAAACTACATAAAAGTTCCTTAGTCTCTCCATCATTGTTTTCTATTCAAGACATGATGTAATGCGACTAGCGCCTACTCATTTTAATATTTTTCCCCTCTTTTTTTCAAGCGAGGACAAAAAATACGCCAAAGACATTGTGGGAGCTATTTTAAGCGGTCATACCTTGAAGCGAGAGGTAAGTAATCCTTTGAATTATGTCTGGTTTTTCTTCCAGTGTTAGATATTCCTAAACATCAGACTAGTGTGATCTAATAGTTTTTTAAAGTTCTTGAAAGCGCTTGGGAACAAAGGGACGGAAACAAAATTCTTAAAAAGAGCAAGAGTAATCCTTTTAAATATAAACTCGGCTGAATTGGCCAAGATGGGAAGAGGTACTGTGTGCTGTTTTTCGTATCAATAGCTCTTTAACCATGAGATGATTTTCAAATTCTTCAATCAAGTCATTTAAAATGCCCAATTCTTATTAATGATCTTAAAAATGTTTGATTTTTTTTCAATTCCTGTTAGATCTTACCTGTGTTGGTTAGTTAATGCTTTTTTCCCCAATATTATGTCGATCAAATCAACACTGGTTTTTAAGCAATTATTGTTAATCAAGTCACTGTCAGTTAGTTAATTTTTCTATTTTTTGATAAAAACGATTAACATTATATATTTTCTTTTTCAGAATTTTTTTTCTATACCTACTCGCCTGAAACGACAGTCGGTCTCTGACAAACCACCAGAAGCATTTAAAGAAAACAGTCTGAAGCCTGAATCTAAACTCAGCAGTATCCATAGAAAAAAAGTACGACAATCCTCTGAAAATAAAGTTGCAAGTTCACAAAAGGAATTGCACAAATTTCTCAGAATTAGTGGACACCGAACTACTGACAAAGTGTCGCAGACATCAAGCTCAACAGAGAGTAATTTTCCATCTCAAAGTACAATTCCTGAGCACAGTAGGTCAGAAGCAAGTGAAAAGAGTCAACTGGTTGACAAGCTAAGGAAAAACAAAGAGTATTTTATATCTGGTGAAGCAAAGCATGAGTATCCTGTGCCGTATCAAGTGACTAGAAAAAAAATGACGATAGAAGACATTCCCATCTGTGTCACCACTGACCTAAAAACACCTAACAATGCAGCATTGATAAATATTCTCAGTAATACCACTGAACGAGAAGATGACAGTCCTACAAAATCTAAACTTGCTAAAAATTCCTTGAAAATACAAGCAATGCCATCAATAAATATTAAACCAGCATTAACCCAAGAAACTTTCACACAAGTTGATATCCAGCCGTGTAAAAGTTTACAAAAAGAGTTCGCTACCAATAAAAATGTATCATTCATCGAAATCGTGCATGATGAAAATAGCAAAATAATCAGGAAAGGAACTCCTTTTTCTGGAAATACTTATATGGACGGATTGAACAGAAAGCCAAATTTAAACGCTGAAAGATTGGTTACATTCAGAGAGACCAACTTGGAACATGTTCCAAGGCAGGAGTGTGTCCCTAAGCAAGAACCTTTGTTGGTAAAAAAACACAAAATTTTCAGGCGAGAAAGACTTGATCAGATCCTGAATACTATCACAGACAAGCTGACAGCTCAAATTGAAATCCCTGATGAAATTTTAGAGAACGCAATTGATCGATTGTGGGATTTGGGAGATTATCTTGAGGACATGTACACAAACGCTGCAGGGAATTTTCATCAAAAAGTGCGCCTCAATTTTACCTCATTATGGCTTCATGAAATAGTTCGGTTAATTGATATTGAAATGAAAAGGAAACCGGACTCACTGAACACTGGGATTCCAACTATTGTCCAGTATATCATTTCAGAAATTCAATGTAAAAGTGCAATCAATTATCAGCAGTCTTGTATTATAGCAGAAGAGAGTAAGTAAATTTAAACCTTTATTTAATTTTTATAATGATGAAAAGATCATTCACCTCGTGAGAGCGCATTCGTAATGAATAGATAGTTGCATTAATTTGACTGTGCTTAGTGGAAAGGATCCAAGTTACTATTTCCAAAAAATTGAGTTTTGATTGATATTGATCTGGACTGGATCTTTTTCTCCCCTGTTAAAAAATCCAACCTCGCGAAAACTTTTCAGCATCCCTTTTGAGGTTTCAACTGGAAAAATTTAGACCTCTTCCTAAATTTTGACATGAATGTAAAATAGCTCCTGTCAGATTAACTCAGTCTACTGTAGGCACATTAGAGCTGTCGTATGATCCAGGAATTGCCTTGAAAGTAGAAATTTCCATAATAAATTTTAGCAAGGAAAGCGTTTCTGAGCCTCAAGAAACTCTAAACGGTTTTTTTGACTGAAAAAAGAGACTTGAAGTGGAAGTTATACAAAGAAAATTTCTCATTGGTCCGAGACCTACGATGTCATATAGGCGACAACCTATGGTTTTAACCACTTTGATTCCAATGAAACATAACGGCAGCAAAATTTGAATCATGAACAAACGATTTCATTTACAGGAAACGACAAAAATGTTCATTTCAAATGACACTGATATTGAGATAATTAAGATCCTGTCACATTTTCGACCTGAAAGAAAATGAATAAACTCAGGTGAAAAGATAGGTACATGGCGGACAATTCTTCTTGTTACGTCACAAAATCTGTTGGCGTGATTTTTTCCGTTGGAAATAGGGTAGGATTTTTGGTGATTTCGAAACTCTTTTTCTCAGCTAAAATTTAAATAAATGAAAAACAGAAAAATTCAGGCATTCATTTTTAAGGTACTTTCTGATAGTGAATTGAAAACCATTTGAAGGACATATCTTATGAATTTTCCCAACCTTCTTTATCATTTCTCTACCACTTTACTACTTTACTTTCCTCTATTTTTTCCTGACTTTTTACTCATCTGCGTATTTATAGAAAATGGGTAACAGTTCCTTCAGACTACTGTGAGGACCGATCTGTCTTTGCACTGGAAACAATTTTTATTTTTCCCTTCCTCCAAAACTCTTTGCATACCCTTTGTCTCTGCTGTGCACCTAAGTCCCAAGAGCACTCACCATCATTTTGTTTTTACTAATACAACATCTTTAACATGTGAGTGGTTCTTTTATTCTTTTTCTCTTTTTCATAAACTTAAATCACCCCCATTATGTCCTACACGACTCTCTTGATGATACATGTCACCAATCTCTACTGTATATTTTTATTATTACTTCATGCTGCTAACAGCTGCAAAAGTTTCTAAATAAAAGACTTTAATCTTAGCTGTAAAAGATGTCCCTTCTCCTGTCAGTAGCCTCTTGATAGGGCATGTGGAATCAGTTTAAAATTTTCCTCGTTGAAAAAATAGTCTCCCATGGGCAGGATTTTGCTGCAGGGATGTATTTTGTACCCGCTGTTAGATATTTAATAGTGTCTTTGGTAAGATTGTGCATCTAATTCAGCCAGTTTCACGAGTTTCCCTGTAAGCATTGATGAAATGGTTTTAAATTTTCCAACCGTTCTTGACTAAATATTTTTTTTAATTTTTTCCATTTTCAGTTATTGGTGCATTTAAACCCATAATGTTAGGCAAAAAAATACAATGGATACCTATTATGTTTTGATTTCTTTTAACACAATGAATTTTTTGAAAGAGCGCTTATTGCATCTATTAAGCTTGATCGCAATTTATGCATTTACTTGGCGTACCTTACTCTCTCCCAATCAACAATGAATTTTCTCAAAAGAACTGTTGGCCAAGAGATCCTCTTCCTCTGAGTGTTCAAATGCACTGTTCAATCTACCTATGTTGACATTTCTGCACTGCCCTTGACAAGAAAAAAAAGAAGAAAAAGAGAAAAAAGAAGGAGAAGGAAATAAAGGGCACAGTAGAGCGTTAGTCTTTCATAGAGTCGGCGCCAACTAAGTTTAAGTGCTTTTAGACCGCAGCAGAAGAGAGAACCGTTAATCTTGCCTCTTGCATTTACTCTCCGTGCAAAAATGACATCAAATGATCTTCTGTCGCAGTCTAGAGGTGCATAAGCTTTTCTGAAATTTGAGGAATGTCTGTTCGATGGCTTATAGTTACAAAAAGTTTGGCTTGAAGATAGTTTCAAAGAGTTTAAAAATCTAGACCGAAACTACGTTCAAAGTCAGATGGAAATATGATATTTGGCATGGACTCAACTCAAAGCTTTTCTGAAATTTGAGGAATGTCTGTTCGATGGCTTATAGTTACAAAAAGTTTGGCTTGAAGATAGTTTCAAAGAGTTTAAAAATCTAGACCGAAACTACGTTCAAAGTCAGATGGAAATATGATAACATTTTTATGCAACTAAAACTTATCAGATTCATTAAAAATGATGAGTCTCTCTTGTTTTTCCCCTAGCTCTCCAAGCAAGAATATGAGCTGTGAAAGCAAGCTAATCAAGCATAACTCGCAGATTTGGGGGGAAATTTTTTTTTCATTTTTGACAGGTGTTTGGGGGTTTCCATGAAAACTTATCTCTTTCCTGTGCCAGGTGTCTGTAGTTTTTACCCTGTTTTAAAGAAATTTTCCTTTTTCCTGATTTTTGTGTTAATTTATATTCCTTTGTAATTTTTTTCCTATTTTTAAAGCATTGTAAGTAATTCTTTATTTTTTCTCCATTCCAGATGATGAAATTAAATTTTACTGTGAGCACGATTCTCCTCTTAATCTACAATACAAGCACAAGCTTGGGAATCAATCAGTATCATTTCGGAGGTCCTCCAGAAACAGTCCTCAGACTAACAATAGACCTCTCACAAATAGTCTTGCCTCAAAAGCAAAAGAACACCCAGAGAGTAAAAAATCTCACAATTTCCTTCTTGAAGATTTTCAAGAGCCAAACAAAGCTAATAGTGAAAATGTAGGGGCAAATTTAATTCCACAAATTCTCAGTTCAAGCAGAAGCAAACTGACTTCAAAAACCGTACATGGTCTCTCGAGCAAACGAAATCTAGAAAATTGTATCGAAGTCGGAAGTCAGGACCACTCTGTGCCGGAAAAATTAGTCACCTCCAAAATAAAAAATACTGATGGAAGAGAAACCACCTCCAAAAATAACTTGAACTTTCATGAGAAAAATAAGTTTATGAATGCTGATCAGCGTCAAAAAGTCATTCAAAAGTTGGGTGCCGAAGTCAAAAAAATGTTAAGTTGGCATGAGGAAATGCAGCCTCGCAAAGACATCAATAGGCTGCCGAACCATTCTGTTTCTCACAATGCTTGTATAAAAGCAAGTGTTACTTCTTCACCAAAAATTACACCACCTGTAACAATCCCTCCCCCCATTTTACCCTCCAAGGATGAAATACGCAATGTAGAAAGGTAATGCTAATTGATTACTTCCCCTTGAATTGTTCAATACTTTTGAAACGTTATTCAATTTTATGGGTTATTCTACCATTCGATTCTTGAAATGCGCGTTCATTTTGTTTCAAAGTTTTTCTGAACCCAGACCCTTTTGTTCACTGTGAGCAGCAAGCTTTTAATGGTCAGAATCACTCAACAGAAATACAGTTGATTTTTCCTCTGTCCAAGAGTAATTTTCCATTGAACACTGAAACAAAAAAATTGAAGGCATTAAATTTATTTGCTGATGCAAAAATAAAAATTCTGAGCAACCACCTGTGTGGCGGCCTCCTTGATTATTCTGTGCCTGAAAACAGAATTTCCGAATTTGTCAGGTGAGGGCTTTTTGATGACATCTCAAAATTGGTTGTGAGACAAAGCAATCATCAGATTATGTATAAACGGAGTGTGTGTTTTAGCTTTTTGCAAGGATTTAATTTTCTCTTTGCTTGATATCAAAGCAACAACCATACTCTTTATTTGTAACCAAGTCCAAGGAAAGAGGATTCATCATAAAAGAAATGCACTTGTACAACAATGCATGATTCATTCTGCATAAGGCCCGCAAATAATCAACCATTCGAAATCTCGTTTTTTTTGAGCATTTCAAAACATGAGAACAAGAAATTGCATTTGAGGAAAACAAAGTTCATATTCAAAGACATTGCATGAGGTAAAGGCATACAAGATAAAGGCGACACAGAAAATAGAAAATATGCAGACAGTTTAAACTGGAGTCTTATTTTTTGCTGCACTGAAATATTTGAGTTTTATGCACTACTTTTTCTGTTCTTTTGAAAAAATTATCACCTCTTTTCCCCTCTATCTGATTTGCAGTTGTAATGAGGTAATCGGTGCTGAGACAAATTTTCAAGAAATGGTGAAAGGGATTGACCTCAAAGTTGCCTCTTCTTTAAGTGCCTCATCAAAGTCTACTGTAACTGAGCAGGTAATGACTTATTACTTTTTTCACCTACTTCAGCCATTTAGGCTTAGGAAACCCTCAATTTCTATTGAAATCAATTGCATTGATTGTTTCAAAAAGTGTTGTGTCAAAAAATTTGGCAATTGAGTTTTCAATAGGACAGAAGGCAAATCAGCTCGGCTTACAGCTGGTTTTGCTACATACCAATTTTTACTAGAGGGCTTCATTGGCCCACAATTATAAAAAGGGAGATGGCCCATTTCCAAACTAGCCGAAGACATTGTTTGACCGACATATTGTTTAAATGCATTTTTCTCTCTCTACTTGCAAGCCCCTGGGTTACTTTGATAGTGCACTATGCGTCATCAACCAAAAGCAACTACAATAATATGTACTTTGTTGTTCAAGTATACCCAAACACTGTGATGATACTTTTCTGGAAATAATTCTGAACAGTTTAACAGTGAAAAATCGAAATCTATCAAGCGCTATGAGGTGTTACCAAAATTATGCAGTCGAACGTCTTTGCTTCACAGATTTCTTTTTGGAAAATTTTCTCAAAAATTTAGTCTTATTTTATTTAATTCTGCTGGATTTGCCATCTTTTTTTATTTCTGTAATACTGTTTTTTCTCTCTTTTATTTACGCAAAGCCCTATACAAACCGACTGTACTTTTTACATATATAAGTATTTGCATCGATATTTTTATGTTTTTAAACATCACAGGTCTCTCCGGCCATTGCAAGCGGAGAAGTGGCCTATGATGATGACTGGGAAGAGGATTCCAACACTCCTTCTAATACAAGTGGCTCCCAAAATTCCTGCCACAAGAGAGTAAATGGTAGCTCTGAGTCAATCAATTTTAAATGTAAGTGCATCTCTTCTAATTTTGTTTTCCAGATATTTTTTTGTCTTTCTTTTTTTTTACTGGAACTTGCTTTATTTAAACAAAATGCTGCATCCAACCAAGCTTGTTGTCAAAACTTGTTATTCTCTTTGCCCTGGTGGGGACTGTCTCCCAGTGACAGAAAAGCAAAGCTCATAGTGTTGTAATCTACAAAATTCAGGTTGGCAACAGTGATTTTACACTATAACACAATGGTTAATGTTGAGTTGAGCCATTTTGTGCAACCATGCTCTTTTGAATGTTAAAGAGAGTCAACTAAAGTCAAGCGTGATGAAAGCTCTAGTAGGTAGCAGTGAAAATTTTACAAATTTTTCTGATGGGTTAAGTAGAAAATCAAAAGGAGACAATGCTTTAATGAGCAAGTTCTAACTAACACACTCACAGAATTACATGAAAATAAAGCCAGTCATCAAAAAATGTCTGCTGAACATTGTACAGCCATTGCCAGTACTATTTTACATTATTTCTGACAAGTTTGGATTTTCTTTTACAAAGAGTTTAATTTACATTCGCTTTTTTTCAGCTGAAAAACCTGAACCTGTCAAAGGAAGAGAGGACAAGCAAGATAAGCAAAAAAGAAACGATGAAATCTCTGAGACAAACAGTAGCAACTCTACTCTACACGCTGAAAAATCAAAGGTTTCGAAAATCAATTATGATATAACCGCAAAGAGTCCTGAAATAAATTCATCAACACCTGAGGCTGTTCAACTTCAAAGCGTGAAGTCTTCCCAGAAATCACTAAACTATGCTTTGCAAGAGGGCTACTCTGATAACTCCCATCCAATTAAAACTTCAGTGTCATCTGAAACTGACATTGCAAGTGATTTCGGTGATCAAGAAATCAGCATTTTAAACACAAGATCAGATAATGCTCAGAATTCCGATTCAGTCGGAAGGAAGTCTTGCATCCCATCCGAGGCTGAAACAGTGAAAGATTTGAGCCAGCTTAGCAGTGAGGTGGCGGCTCCTCAGTCTATGAGTCTACATTTTCAGGAAAATTCTCACAAAGAAAATGACTCAGGGATTGTTCAACAGTCACTAGAATACAACCTACCTAGCAGAAAGGATGATCTTGTTGACCAGGGAAAAAGGCCAGAAATAGAAAATTATGAGCAGCCCATGAACGGCAGTTTGGCATCCATGAAACTGTCCAAAAGTTGCCAAGCGTTGGCTGAAAATGTCGTGCGGGTAGAGGAAATGAAGAATGACCTTTTGAAAGCTTTTATTAAATCGGGAAAAGGATCGGCACCCATAGTTTCTCATGCGCTATCGTCACCAGACCTGGCAAGAAAACCTAGCAGCAAGCGGAAGAATTCGAGACCAAATTCGGCCCCTGAGTATGAATCTACCAATATAGACATGTGTGTTATTAAAACGATTAGTGTAGAATCTGAAAATTTACCCTGTGAAGAAGTAAAAAAATGTGAAAATGCAGTTCAGTCGAGAGCTGATATTTCTGAAAGCAGACCGGGGAAGGTATCTCACACTGCTTTGCAAGCCAAAGATTTAAAACAGGCTTTCAGTGACCTATCATTTGAGCCAAGTGTTAATGAATTAAGTGCCCTGTCTCACGTTAAAGAACCGATAGAGGCACTTTCGCGGCATGAAAATTTACAAATGGACCAGACTTGTAGCAATTTTTCTTCCAAGTCTAGCTGCAATGATTCAGGCACTAAGCTCAGTGTGCAGGCACATGTGGCACATACTGATTTAGCAAGACCCAGGCCTTTTTGTGATTTAACACCGAAGTCTAGCGCAAATATATCACACACCGGACTTCTTGAAGAACTGTCAAAAGCATGTTTCTTGCAAAATGATTTAGAATGTAAGAACGGTTTTAGCGATGTATCATCTAAGTCTAATCTTAGTGTTTACGATTTTGAAAATGTTATTCCAACCCCATCAAAGGTGTCTTTGAGGAAGAAAGATTTTGAAACAAACCAGGCTTTCAGTGATTTATCATCCAAGTCTAGTGTAAGCTCAGTAGTCTCTGAGCCTGGCACTCAAAGCTCAGCAGAAGCTTCATCAGCATCTGATGACATGCAGCCAATTTTTGTTTCAAAAACAGCAAGTGAAAAAGGACATTTAGAAGTCATTGATGATAAGGAAAAAGTTAGCGAGAATGAGACTTCTAGTGATTTGAATATTGTCGAGGCGAAAGGAAACAACATCGCTCAATCGTTTGTCGAGCTCTCTAATGAGATCTTGAAACATTTAAAATTAGAAAGTGAGCTTTTAATGCAACTTCATCCTTCTGATCTTGATTCAGAAGCTAACAGCTCAGTGAAAGGGACTGAAAATGTAATTCCAAAAATTTCAAGAACTAATCTGAATTCTTCAGAAACTACGTCAAGTCATTCAGAACTTGAAGTCGATCAAGATGACATTGTGTTTTTGAGTTCAGAAGCGTCTGCAGATTTTGAATGCCTCATGTCACAACTCTCTGAAAATGTCAGGGAATCCGTAGAGAGCATGGATGAGTTCTTAGGGGATAGCGCTGAAGAAATATTAAGTGTTCTTTCATCGGAACGATTTAGAGTTGATTGTTCTCAAGGATTAGACGCCTCAATCAAAGAAATTTTGTACAGTGATGTTGTTGATCCAAGCAATTTTGTAATGGAACGTTTTTAACGTTTTTGCATTAGTCTGGTCCAGTTCGTAATATACCCCAACTTCAAATTGATAATCATCTTGAACCCAGATATTTTTTTTCTGCAATGCTTTTACGAAAGCCCATTTATTTTTATCTAATTTTTTATTTAAGCTAATTTTATGTTTTAAAAAATTGTAATTACCACAAGAACTACATGCTTTGTATCTCTCTACAAGAATTCAATTTTCAAAGATGTGAATGTTGTCCTCTAGGATATGAATACAGCAGTGACTCAATGGAAAATGAAATTTAAGCTGTTAGCTCAATGTTTTAAACAATTAGGTAATAGCAAAACAATATCAAAAGGAAAGCAATATTTGTCATCTTCGTTAAAAAAATGTTTATTCTTGAGAATATCCCCCTCATAATGTGGGAACAATTTTTAATTATGCGCATGCCCACTGTGAGCGCACTATTACGTTGAACTTTGTAAAATTTGAATTATTTAGGTATTGTTGTAAAACATATGATTAGGAAATCAGTTTATGGAATTTATTTTTTTACACACCATTTCAAGAAAATGCTTTAATTAGATAATACCCATCATACCAGTAATAACTCTTACCATACCCTCAGATTTATAAGTAAAATGTGTTCAACTTTGTACCTATTTTACTTGGATGAATTCAGATAATTTTATTTTTCTGCCTTGTATTGACCAGTCATACCAGTATTGTTGTCAATTGTGACCTATCTAGATGATTATTCTGTTTCCTTTAATTAGATATTTTTTTAGTTACTTAAATGTACTTTGTCTACACTTGTTCCATTAATTTTAGGTTTCCTTCACTTTTCAATGGTTACATAGGTACTTACATTGAAATAAAGCTCTCAAAATATGGTCTTTTTCATATGCTGGTGTAATAAATTGTTTCAATTCGTTGAATTTTCAACGGAGTAATTTTTACCCGTGAATATTGAGTTTCCTTCATTGGACCACTAGGCACCATACAGTAGTTGGATTGCATTTAGCAAAAAGGAACCAGTGTGATTACCGTGTTTTCAAAATTATGTGTAAATTATTTTGTTCTTTTAAAAATACTAGATATATGTACAGTATTAAAATTAACACAATTATTTCCTCCAAAATTATAATTTTTTTTGATGGGATGCAAAAACTGTTTGCCATTTTGGGATAATATTTTTTAGATAATTATGAAGAGGCAACATTTTAACAACACAATTGCGCTGGTTCCTTTTTGCTGAATACAATCCAGTATATGTTCAAATTTGACCTCAAATAAGTAAAAACTATTTAAAAAGTATTGCAACATTTATGGAGAAACCTTTTTTAATTTTTTTTATATCATCCCTCTTGACCATGAGACCATGACAAAATGATGGTGAAATCGCAAAAATGTGTATCTCAGTTTGCGGCGTTGCTGACTTCCTGTAATACTTTACTTTCCACAAGGAAAACTACTGAAAGTCATTTCTTAAAAACTTTTCTTAATGTCTTTCTTCTCTGTGTGAAGAATATTCCGTGAAAATTTCCGAAGGAAAAGTGTCAGATATGACAAAATTTGCAGTTACGTATCACACGCGTCAATACATATTTCGCGCCACTTGAGTTTGCACTATACGTCATCAACATGGCGTGCAAATGGGCGAATGTACTATCCTTTCTGCATGCTTTGAATTGGTTGATGGTTTGCGCGAAATTTCCGCGTCTCGTTGAAATCTATTTCCACTATTTTTTAATTCACGAGGTTTTAGTTGTGTGCCGACCGGCAAATTTTCTTTCAAGTCCCTCCGTCTCGCGTCTTTGCTGTGAAAATCCCCAGAAAGTCGTAAGTATTAATTCTCTCTATTTTTCTTCTTATCACGTGCCGCAAGGCCTGCACTGTTTGACATTGCAGAATACCCTCTCTCTCTTTGCAGCTTTGTTTACTTGAGACCTAATTAATATTCCTAAGTTCACGAAAATTTGCGAAACACTATCAAAACCTCTAACGTTTTAAGGGTCATTCACGGTGTACGAAATCCACGAGCAGACGGGAAGTAAATGCAAGTTAGGGAGCACCCGTAGAGAGGTTCGCCAAGTTGTGCTTGAATTCTCGCTCCAATGTCCAGACAGTTAACCTAATTGCATCCGCCATTCTTCTGAAGGGGAACTAGTTATTGCAAGTATCCTGTAAATTTTTATAACTAGTAATCATTGATACAACCTCTGCTCTGTGACTAATAATTAATTTTTCAGTTTCGCTTATCTCTACCGGCAGTTTGCTGTGTCAACCTGCTTCCCGCAGCTATCTAGAGGTCACTTAACGCATTGTAACAGATCGTACTTTTCTGTAAGTGGGTGGCATATAAGATCACTCGCTTACACTTGGGCGTTCAAGAGTTTAGTACGAAAGCTTTTCCCTCTTATGAATTATCGGCTTAAAGATGATTATGTTGCGAAACCCGACTCCACTTACAATATCCACTAAATTTTCATAGTATTCCAACCTTCTTTTTCCTACTGATAGTTCTCTTACTATTACACTCAGAAGCCAACAATCATACAGAGAAATATTAAGTGAATTTGAGATTATATTAAGGATTGCGAGGGCAACAGGGTGGGGTTGAGAGAGCCCAAGGTAGAATGGCGAAAGACCTATAGACCAACATCAGTTTCCCACCCTATGAGCCATTATTGCAATTTTCGCTAACCTTGCTGAGAAGCATGATGTTTGCCTGAATGGTGTCCATTCCTGAGTATAGGAAACAGAATTTCACCAAATTTTGGACATCCACGTACAACGAGAAGAGGAGTCAAACCAGCCTCACGCAAAACCTATTTCTTTTTGGTATAATGGTCGCTTCATGATGAATAAAACTGACTCATACATTCTCTTTTCAAAACCAATGAGAGAACAGTAAAGAAAAGTAAGGTAAGTAGTCAGTGAGGTAGTCCACTTGACAAAAGTCGTTATTCAACATCCTGATACCAAGAGTAAAATGTCGTATCGAAAATCTTACTTCTTTGCATACATCTCATATTTTTATTCGTCTGAATTTTTTATTATTTTTTCCAGCCTTTTCAAGCTGCTTTGGCAATCAACATAAGGTTCACAGATTCGCCTCTATTTTCAGTGATATTGTTAAGCAACATTTATTGAATCCCAGCTCAAAAATCGCTAGAATCTGAGGCGAAGCACTTCTGCAGTCAAATTAGGTAATTGTGTCAGAATTTCACAGTTTCAACTTTCAAACATTCCTGAGTGTAAGCGTAGTATTGAAATGCGACTCAATAATCAGTCTTGGTAAGCAGTTGGACCTTCAAGAGCAGTAAATGATACTATAGTTTGATACTGATGAAGAGATAAAAATTACGCTTGATGTTTTCCTTTTGTGAAGGTTAGAAACGCCATTGTTCTCAACCTCTCATGCTCAGAGCCCTGCATCTCTTCATAACATTTTAGAACCGAGAAAAGGACTGTTAAGCCATGAACTTTAAATTTATATTTTTTATTTATTCGGTCAAGTCCAGTATTCTTAACAATCAACCATAGAACTGTAAATTTAATCATTGAAATGTCCATTGTGCGTAATTTTAATTTCCTAGAGTCAGGAAATTGCATCATACCCAAGTAACTATTAGATGGTGGATTTTTACCACCGGTGAAAGTGTTGTATCCACTGGTCAAAAGATTTTCAGAGTGACTTAGACTTGCAAATCAGTCCTTTTTCAACTTGCATGAATAATTTATGACACAGATCAAGCATAAGTTGATCCTCAATCAAATCATTCAATGGTTCGTAGCTTTAGGCCTATTTATTTATGTTAAAACAGGCTCTCAGCTATAAAATAAAATGAGTAGTCTCCGCAACGGAGATTAACCAACTACTTACCCTTCTCTTACCAAATAATTGCGCAGGTTAATGGAACATTGCTCAAATGAAAGTTTATGATAAAGCAAAGACATATTATCTCAGTTTCAGTTAAGGTTTCATTCAAGCTGTCCTTTAGTGTCACAAAATCCTTATTTTTTTAGTGCTGCATAATCTGAAAGTCTTTATTATCATGATAGTGCAGCAACATTTTATGACATTGCCCTGAAATTTTAATTTTTTCTCATGAAAGCAATTCTGTAACATTTGGAAAATTATATTCAGCCTTTACATGAAGAGGAAAACCACATGTAAGCATGTTGTTAAGTACGCAGCTCATAAATATCCAAACTTTACCAGAAATTGAAGAAAATAAATACCCTAATTAGAACAATTGCTTTAAAAATATCAGCTATGTTCGATCAAAATTGATCAAAGTATAACTAATTAAAAAACATCTGTGACCGAACAACTGATCTGGTTGCGTTCGATCGTGATAAAAATGTGAAGGCTGTCAAAAGAGGTTTTCTAAATATAAAAGCTACTTTTTTTGAATGAAACTACCAGACGCATCATTCTTTCGGATGGAAACTGCCGAGCGCATACCTCCTAGCGAAGGAAATTGTGAATTGTGTGTTTCATTCTAAAAAAATTATGAAGTGTGCAATCATATGTAGATAGCAGTTTGCTGACTCAAAAAATGTGTAGCTAAGGAAGTCTTTTGAGGACAGCAATGTGAAAGCAAAACATTTTCTGCGCCACTATGTTCACGCCTAGGAAAAAGTGGGGGTATTTTCTGGGGGAGGTGGTGAGAATGTTTCAGGAGGCGTTTTTGTGGTTCTTCAAAGTGTATGTGATTACCATGTTTATCTGCATGATTGAGTGTTTTCCTCTCAAAGCTCCCTTGGAAAGTTCTCACTTAGATCCATAATTTCATGCCCTATGACTGAAGTATGCCCATGATGTCTTAAATCAGGCTTGTCCAACATTTTTGCTATGCCCGTCAATCATTAGGCGCTGTGTTACAGTAAGCGACCCATAATGTGATGAAAAATTTATTTGATTTTTTTTAGCATTCTCCAACTCAGCTTCTTAATCAATCCATCAAGGGTGCATTAAGTCCTCAACAATTCCAGAGCGATTCAGGAAATTGTGGAGGCCTAAAATGATTTGCATCTCTTCAATACACTTATTTTGTGATTATTTTTTTACTTTTGCAAGTTTTTAAGTAACTTCAATTCTGTTTCAGATTGACAAATGATACCAGTGGTAGGTGATCGAGTGCTAACTAATGGATGAGTCAAAGCCAAGTCCAGCGCCAGTCTCACTGAAAAGATCGCGTCTGGGGCCTAACTTGAAAACATTGAAAGTGTTACGTCCAGTTGTACCCAATGGAAATGGTATTTCTTTCGATTACTCTTGATAATGTTTGAGTTTTTTTTTTAGTGCAAGTCTATCAACATGGGTAGCTATGAAAAAATTATTCGAAGTTGACTTCCTGACCTCTCCCAAAAAATTCTCAGCTATCTCCAACAAAAAATCAAGAACTACGCAATTTAAATCGCAGCTCTCAAATTGAGGTTTCAGAGAGTCAGCGGTATCTCCACATCATGCTAGATTGTCAAATTGACAAAGCGCAAAAAAAAATTCTACGTAGCTCATCCCATATTAGAATGGAGATAGTTCCTTCTGTTTAAGTATGTCCTTCAGCACTACAATGACAAAGTCCCTGATCTTGAAAAAATGTTGGATCCTGCAATTTTCTTAATTACAAAAAATCACTGTAATCATTTTCCACAATTCCTCGATTTTTCACTTGTGTTCTGAATTGTTATTTTTGTGCTTCTTGCTGGCATGAGTACACCATTTTTTTCAAAAAATAAAACACCAGTCCACCCTTTAAAAAAAGAACCGAAATAAACATAAAAAATAAAATATTAATCCAACTTACGTAAGGCTCATTCTTGTCACTAATTCTCATCCCATGTTTGTTCTTTTTCCCTATTATAGGCTTGAGCACTAGTAATGAAAAAAAAATTGAGGAAGCACCAGAAAATTCATCCAGTGTAGATAAGGTAATATTCTTCTTTTCATCCTTACTTTCATCATTTTTTTGCGGTATTAAGTAATTCCCTGAATGTAGAATACAGACAGAAAGTTCTCAGCTGCATGTTTTAAAAGCCCCTTTTTTTCCTTAAATATTTCAATGTGGTGACTTTCTTTTTGCTGTTGATGCCCTAGTTTCTGCAATTGTGTGACATTAATGCAATTTTTTAAAAACATGTTTTTCTTCCCATTATTGTTGAAAATCTTCAGTTTTTATGCCAATACGCGTCAGCTTTTCCATTTTTAAAATACATTTTTGAAACCTTCCCATTTCCATTCATGTCCAATCGCGGCCCGCTGGTCGATGGTGAAACAGTTTCTGCACCCCTGGTAGCCAAGAGCATTGATGCTCCAACTCAAATTGTGTAAGTTTGCACAGAAAAAAAAACATGTGAGGGGGCCGAGTCGCTCAATAAAGTTGAAACTTCGGTAGTCTGGTACAAATAATTTTATGAATTAAAGCCTGTAGTATCAAAGCTTGGCAATAGTGACATTTTAGTAGTCGCTTTTAGAATTTATTCTGTAAAGATTCATTCGCGAAAGTACCTCATCAAAATTTTCATAAAATCTCCCTACAGTAAATAGAATTGAATGAGTTGGGCCTCGACGTAGGGATGCAATGCACCAATTTGCTCTCCAAAAATCTTTGCCCAGGAGATTCACAATCCAACCTTTTCCTTCAAAGCTATTAACATGTCATTTAGTTTGCAATTTGCAAATATTTTTCCCTCTTTTTTTATCTAGCTACTAGGAGATTCAGAAATATTTCAAGATTAAGATTCCTGCTTTTTTTACTCGGCAATTTTACTAGTTCCTGAAAACCCATTTTATGTCCATTCTACTCTCTCAGAATCATAACAGGCAGTTGGTCAATGTCTTAAGCAACTGACACATTTAAGCAAGTCAGAGTCTTCAATAATCTTCGGCTAATTATTTTGGATCTTTGAAGAAAATAATTGACAAATTTGGCATCTTATACAAATTGACCTTCCCAAGTATTAATAAAAACTCCTTAAATTTTGAAATATTTTATTGGACATCGAATGGACTTGCTTGTACCGACTCAATGAGAGGTAATTATTATGATTCCGCTGAAATGGTTAAATTATTTCATGAAGCACAAATTACTAAAGGACTTGGTAAGTAAAAGACTCTCTTACTATAAGTTTCTCTGAGACAAGTGATATGTTTGAAATTCCCTTAGATCTGAGGATTATCTAATGAGTAACTTTGTTACGACGTCTAAGACCCACAGACTGAAGTTATCTTCTTGAGAGATTTTGATATTCCACAATTGAGATACATGTTCTTCACAGTAAAAATTATTCATGTTATGGGAGTATAGTTTGTTGCCTCTTTTCTCGTTTTTTTGAAAATACATGAACCAGTGTCACCCTTGGCGTTACATCTGATTTGTATCGTCATCCTTAGCAACCTGGGATATGAAAGTCAAATCATGTGCTTGAAGCATGTGCGGCTGTTTTTGCAAATGTGTCATATTTTTTGAAGCAAAATAAACTGATTTGCTTGTAGGTTTCATTTATTTACACTTGATATGAAATTGAAACTACCCATACAGGTTATTTGTCTTCAATGGCCTGCATATGTCACAATTGCACTAAGCCTACATTTTTTATTCTTTAAAATTTTATCTTTTATTCTGTTTGCCTTCAAAAACTGATAGGGCTGGATTCATAGCCGCTCCTCAAACTGCTTCTTTCCTCAAGAAGTGCCATATTGACGGTGAAACTACCAAACCACATATCCTGGTTTGCGACGTCGCAGATTTCCTGTCATACTTATTTTTTTACATGGAAAACGACTCAACGTCCATCCATGAAAACTTCCGTGATTTTTCCTCCTCATGCAGAAAAAACTCTGGGAAAATCTAAAGGAATGATATTGATTTGGTCTACCTCCAAAAAATAAAATGTGAGCAGATATTATTAAACACTGCAAATGAGAGACATGGTCTGGTAGTTTCACCATCGATATGGTTTACTTAATAATTAAGGGGATCCTTGACATGCACGGAAAAAAAAAGAATTGCTGATGCAGCAATTCAATTGCTAAAAACAGTGAGTGCAATGTTTCAACGCAGATTTTACAACAAAAAAATGTTACTTTAACCATGCAGTGGTGCCATTTATCCGTGGTTAAATTAGTTTACAATGTGGTTAAAGTAGCATTTTTTTGTTGTATAATCTGCGTTAAAACATTGTACTCTCTGTTTTTAGCAATTGAATTGCTGAATCAGCAATTTTTTTTCCCCCGTGTGGAATCATGAGAAAGACATTTTAATGAATCTCAAGTAAAATTTAACAGAATAACTTTGGAAATATAGCATTGTACACATTCTGATAATTTTAAGGTAGGTATGACCCTACTTTAAAGTTTTTCAATATCATTTAATATTTCTTTCCGAGTCACATATTTTTTGCAGGGGCCAATCACCGTAATTCACTGCAAGGATTATACCCTAATTAAACCGAAAAATTTCATTCCAGTTTCGCTTTAATGATTTTTTTGTGCAATGCCATGTTCAGGATCCCCTTAAACCTCCCTCGATCACTATGTAAACCGTTTAGGACCTTCTTAAGAAGGGAGCAGTTTAAGAAATGGATATGAATACGGCTCTAATTTTCTATGAAAATTGTTCTTCTGCTGAAGTTTTATCTTTATTGTCATCCAAATAATATCTGAGATGCTGCATATTGAAATAGCTGAAAATAAACTTGCAAAAAGTTTGGTGGAAATTTACTACACTTTCAAGTTTTTCAATAAAATTGACACCCTCTGCTGAGTGCTGTCGAGTTTCCCTCTGTTTCTTAACATTTTCTTGTATCTGCGGGATTCATTGTAGTGTCTGGTGCCGTCTGTTTTCCTTAAAATGCGAGATTCTTTTACTGATAGCCATTAACCACAAAATATGTTTTAATGTTCGCTCGTACATTATATTTTCCATTAAGGTATGAGAATTCATTTATTTTTTCGCTAATCATGAATGGTTCTTAACACTCAAGTGTGGATACTGTCGCCCTTTTTTTCTTTGGCCATCACATTTTTCCTTTATTCTCAATCTAATTAATGGGATGTTTCGCATGCCAACTAAACTGTAACCTGAGAACTTAACGTTTTAGTTCTAGTGTCGGGGTTAAGATTGAAGGATTTTTTTCCTCTCTTTCTTCGCAGAGGAGAAAGAAGAGTCTCTGTTCTTGAATTTGAGGAAAAATGAGCTTTAATAAGAACAGTGAAAGTCTATGAATAAATTATGAATTTAATACCAGAGTTAACTGTCCTTATGTGTAGATTTTCAATCCAATGGACAAGTATTATCAAATGCGGTTTTTACAGTCTTCTTTTCACAATTGTATATATTCTATTACGAATTACAAGCTGACAGGCTCTGAATCTCACCATCATTCCGCACAATTTCTCTCCAATTGTGTGTACAAGAAATTCTTGTCATGAAATTTATTTTAACTGCTATAACAGGCACTATCAGCTTTTATATCGATGTACTTTAAAATCCTGCTTTTCTAAGAAATTGATGTCTACTTTAGCCAAATGAACTAGTTTTTGCGCATGTTACAGTCAATGAGTATTCCTCCTACAATTTTTCTTCAACCAATCTTTGGCAAGTACGTTACCCGAGAATTGGACAAAAATTTCGTAAAGCATGACTTTATCTCCTTTGACCAACCTGCCGCTCGTTCATTTTTATTTTACATCCGATTTTTGTATGCAAATTTTGGAAACCGATGGCAGGTAAATTCGTAAATAGGAGCTCCTAAAAAAAAAATTCTTATCCCACTAATCATGCCCAGCATAAAATTTGGATAACAGTTTATGGCACATCACTCATATTCAGACCAGTTCAGTAGCCCATTATGGAATAAGTGTTTCCATTGCTTACCAGAATTTTTTGTATTCTCTTACTTAACGCGATATTTAGCGCACCGTTAATTCCTTTTTAACCCACCAGTTCAGGAATTTTTTCATAGCTCTACTCAAGGAAATAAGTTTCATTATCCTACCAAGCACAGTGAGCTACCTAAATTGCCCTGTGTTGGATTCAATTTAGTTTTTTTCTTTATATTATGACGAAGCAGTCCCAACTTTAAGTTCCCTTGTCCTCGCTTCTCCCCTCCCCTCTCTTGTTCTTTCATGCTGTCTTTTAGACTCGTCTTCCGCCGAAAGTTGCCCTGTCAGCACCTTCTTACATTTTCTAACTGAGACAGAGGGACAGGTAACTGAGGGAATGATACATTTCGCAGAGATACATGAATGCAGCGGATTCGTTCTCACTTCATGGATGAATACGGCAAGGCCCGTCATCAGCTTGGAGGCGTCGCTGTGGAATGTCCGACTAGCCGTTCCAAAAACATCTGCCATATCATAACGCGTCCACTTTCGTTTACGGGTGTATGTGTGTGTGTAAGGGTGTTAGAGCGTCTGTGTAATGGTGTAGTGCTGCGTCCCGCGGGCCCGTCGCTAGAAATTTCTGAACATTTCGAATGGCTGTGATGGGAAATTAAAACTCGTGTTCCTTTTTATATTTCACCAACTTTACCTCGGTCATAACCAGTTGGGCTGCATCTTTAGTTGCCGCATTTAGGCTGGTGTTGTTTACCTCGTTTCAACGTGCCGCTTTCCGCCAACGGGCGCTGCTTTGTTTTTGCCTGCAGACTATATCAAAGCCCTTGTCAATTTCTTCCCTCAACCCAGTCGGCTTTGGTTTATCACGTCCGCACCTTGCTACTCTATGAAGGTTCTCATTTTCCTCTTCTCAGGTAATTCAGTTACTTAACCTCGCTTCAGTATTTGTTTTTCATTTGTCGGTCTCCGCTCAGCAGTGCCCCTTCCTCGTATAATTCATGCACAATCACTGCCTGCATATCTCATACCTTGTCATCATGCTGATATTGTTGCCAGTGATGGCTGCTGGATGAATTACTTCTCCGTCTCATCCTCCTACTTAATTTTGTTACGCAAGAGTGACTTGTCGCCCATCTTAGTCCAGCAACTGTCACGAGTTAGGAAGGTTCTGTTCCATTTGGCAGCAACCTATTTAGCGCCATGCGTTTGAGCAAAACCTGAGAAGATGTTTTTTATGCCCGAACAAACCCAGGATTCACTCAGGTTTTTCTATTGTTAAGGTATAAGATTTTATTATAATCCAATATTGCGAGTGCACATATTGACTAGATTTGACTGTCCTAGTTTTCGTCTAGGTGCAGCTTATCCTTTCATAGATGAGCCGCTGACTCTAAGTGTACACTGGAGAGCATTCTCTCTTTAATTATTCCAGCCGATTAAGTCAAACTGGGATTATGTACCATGCGCTTGTATGTGTGCGCAGCAATGGCGCTACTTGTCGATCGCTTTTTTCACAACTGTTCCAAATTCTGGAAGGAGGTCTTACGGTTAAAAAGATTCGTCCTGGTATTATTCCCGTTTTATAATCCAGGGCTGTAAAATTAATAATTCTATGACAACTCAGCTTTATTTAAGTTCTAATTCCTTTAGTTTGCAATCATTTGACAGCTTTATTTCCTGCTTTGTAACAACTTCATATTTGCTCCTAGTGACAAATAATGGTCATACATCATTAAACGGTAATAATATGTGAAGGAGAAGATGCCTTTCTGTATCCAAGCCATCCAGATTACCTTCAAAATGAATGTAATTGAATTATTGCCCAGTCATAGTATATTCGTTACGGCTGTTCTAATTTGAGGTTATCCCTGGTCCGTTCTCGTGTTAAGATGATTCTATTTTCAGGATGCACTGATGTAGAACCTTTTCTGTTCTCAAATTCGTTTTCCTGAGAGAAATTTTTTTTTTCCCAGGAGAAACTTTTTCTTTGGAGAGAAGAGTTTTATTTTTGAGAGAAATTTTTTACTCCCAAGAAAAATGCTTTTCTTCCAAAAGAAAACTTTTCTACTGAGAAAAACTTTTTTTCTGAGTGAGAAAATACCGATAGAAACGAATATTTTTATTCTTTATTTTTGGAGGTTATGAAACCCCATTATTGCCATGTTGAACGGTATTTCTTGTTATTTGACAATTGATTCTTTGATTCCATTTTGATTTTATAGGGCTTTTTTTTATGCGGATCGCAGTCGAACGAGGTGGACCGTGATGAACATCGGTATTTTTTTATTCCGTTCCTCAGCCGCGCTCCATGTTTATCAGGGTGGAACGCTGGATCGCTCTTCCGAGGTGGGGCGAGCTCGCGATCCAATGTGATCTTATGCAAGGAACTTGCCGTCCCCAACAAATCAAACCAAATTCCAAGATAGGATTTTTTTATCACTTGGAACACTTTGGATCGCTCAGGATTCCGATCCAGTGCATTCCACTACGATCCACCCTGTTCCGCATTAAAAAAAAATCCCTTCAAAGTGTACTTTGAATTGGATCGGTGGCCATATTGTTTTTTTATAGTCTGGGGGAGGTAAGGGATTTTGGTGAGAGAATCTCCGAGGTTATGTACTTACCTATGTGCATTCATTTAAATTATTTTATTTTGGCGTAAGATGCCCTACGACAGGTCACAGTTTTGTATTTTTTAATCAAGTCATGAATTGGCGATGCCGAGCTACATCGATGCTTGAGTACTTACTTTTCTCAAAATTGTGGATGGCTTGGAGCAAATCTGCCATGACAAAGAACTACACTTGAACGAGGGTCTAGCAAGACGCGTGACCCCAACACAATATTCCCGCGATTTCTGACGCTTCGATAGTATCATGTAGATATAGTAAATAACAATAGAATGAAGGTAATCAATGTGATAATCAACAGTTTGACAGAATGGCATATTTTCCAACAATAAAATAGTTTTCTCCAGTTCCGAACGTTGCTCTCAGAAAAAGCAAGTTTCTCTGGAAGAAAAAAAAGTTTCTCAGAAAGGAAGGAATTCTTGAACAGAAGACGTTCCATACACTGAGGTGAACATTTCACCTTCTTTTTTTCTCTCAGTCTATGGGTATCTTGGTAAGAGGCATCAGGAATTCAGGATTCTTGAATTTGTATTTGAAGTATAATTTGTTATTATATTATTCCAATCCTTCCAACCAAGTTGCACTCTACCTGTGAAATTCCCATGATGTGTTCTCAAGTGCTTCCAAAGTTTGCATTGAGCTGGTCTCAGTCTAGTGAGAAAATAAGTTTGAATTCCTAACTTTTTGCATGGGTAGAAGTGCACTTCATCTACCGTAATTCATCAGCACTGTGATGAGTGATTTTTACCTGTAAGAGAAACAGACTTGTATAACACTGTTGAGTGTCCATGAAAGAAGAAAAAACAACAGCCTTCCTTCTTTGCCCGCAGTGACAATGTAGTTTGTCAGCTGCTTTTTGAACAAAGAGTTTGTCACACACTAGAGATATAGCCAACTAAGTGGACTGTGAATGTGTGTAATCGCTCCTCTTTTGGAAAGGAGGTTACATCAGTGCTATGCTATGTATGTCACTAGTATTTCTTTAAAGTCTTGCGCAGTCCTCGGTCACTGTTTCTTTGCGTTGCTATCGTTTTAATTTTGGACCCAGGGATGAAAATTCAGGCATTTTGAGAGTGGACAAGAAGTAATTTGCCTTCTCTCAGGTTCCAACTCCTAGTTGTGTGCCCAAAACATCTCCGGTCATGGAATGAGTTTTTTATCCTTCTCTTGTTTTTACATCAGTATGTACAGCATTATTATCTGTTTGCTCTTACAAGTTTTTTCTATCGAAAAGGATGAAATCCATGTTGAGGCCCCCTACAACACTGGCAACACTTTCCTCTGCAAAGTTATTTGACTGGGGGTTTTTTTTCATTTCATAGACAAGAAACTTTCCTTTTCACAGTCAAGCTCTGTCCTCTCATTGACATAAAACATTTTGTTTATTTTGTGGCTCATTGAATTTCCTTGTTTTCGGGTGTGCTCATGAAATGATAAGTATATGATAATTGCAAATAACTTCAAAATCGGAAGGAAAGCATTTCTAGATACTCATCTCCAAATTTTTTTACGAATCAACTATTCAGACAGCATTTTGCAATTTGAGACTACCACTGCTGCCTCATCTACGAAAGTAACTATCTGCATAAGGAAAGAAATGGATTAGATGCTGTATTCTAAAAAGGAACCAGACATAGCAGTTTTCAACCTCAAAATATAGTCAATTCTTTGTATTATGTTGCTTCAGAATTTTGTTATTTTTCTTTGAGTACTTCTCACATTTGATCTAGTATGTAATTGCTCTTTATTTATTTTCTTTTTTTTTCTGTTCCAGGACAAAGCATCTATGTCAGTGAGAAACAAAGAAATATGTCGTTTGCATATGGAAGAAACCAATTCCATCAATAATGCCCAGAATCCTGATGCGAAAGGTGATAAAAGTGAATCCAACGATCTTAATAAATCCGACACAAGTGCTGCTGATGTAGTTGTTAAAAAAGAGCCATCTGATCCTCATCCTGAAGAAAACAATTCTAATAGCACCGTAGAGAACTCTAGCTCAGCAACAGAGCAAAACAATAGTGGTGAAAGTGATAGTGTCGCTAATAATTGTGTTAGTAAAGTGAATAGTACTTCTTCTGAGGAGTCAAGCAAAACAAGTGAAGAAAATGGTAAGCTCAAACCTAGTGATGAAGCTAGTGATGATAAAGTTGAAAAAATCACTAACGAGGAAATTGTGAAAGCTGAAATTCAAGAAGACTCTGCGTCATCGGACGCTTCTAAGCTCAAAGACTCAACACAATCTGAGGCTGTCAAGCCAGTGAAAGAGCCGTCGGCAAAAACTGAAGTCTCAAAACCAGTGAAGGAATCCCCAAAGGCTAAAGCTTTGAAGAAAGAAGCAGCCAAAACTGACGTTCCTAAACCAGCTGACGACAAAGTTAAAGTAGAAAAAGACTCCGTTAAATCAGAAGAAAAGGCTGCCCAGGAAGTAGCCATTAATAAAACTGAAACCAAGTCTGAAAAAGACTTGTCAACAAAAGCAAAAGGAAAGACAGAGGCTGAGCCAGCGAAAAGAGAATCAGCAAGGAACAAAGCTAACGCCAGAAAAGGCAAGTTAAAAGACGAAGAATCCCAATCATCTGGATCTGAGGATTTCCTTGGTTTTGACAGTGAGCACACTGAGAAGTCCATGAAAGCCAAGAAAAAATTTATTGGTGAGCTCTTTCTTTTGATTTTTTTTCGGTGTTTAGACTAACAGGGTTGTTACAGTCTGAAAATATTTGAACAGTCTCCAAGAAAATGAGGAAAATGTCAAGTAAAAATTGTTAAGTCACCTTTATTTGCTTTTTAGAATGAGTTTGACATTTCGAACAACAAACATTTGTCTAAAAACTATTTCAAATTGTGTATGTTAACCATCTAGCCTGTTTCCAATTGTCAGGGAAAATGTATCAGGGAAATTTATTTTCTAAATTCTATAACAACCCCGGACAGATACAGTGGCCTTCATTTGAAATCATGTGCAAAATCATGACCGCAAAATGAGTTAGTGCAAACAATAACATGACCTCATCCCGTTTGGACAGAGTTTAAAAGAAAGGAACCAAGCCACATCAGCTGTTGCCAAGTTTAACTCGGCAATTAAATTTTTTATGAGAGAACGTTTGTTCGGATTTCTTTGAAAATTTTAAGGATTTTGCTTTGTACCATAGAGAATTTTCACTGAAATTTGCATGAAAATCCGCACAACCGTTTATGTAAAAAATTAAATTGCCCAATTAAATTTGGCAATAGCTGATGTGGCTTGGTTCCTTTCTGTTTAACGCAGTCCATTTATGCCTGAACAGTTGAATTTGTATTTTATTCATACCTGAAAGGATTCCTTTTAAACTGCAACCAAGTTAGAATCACTTCCAAAAGATTGTCTGAAGTGTTAATATCTTTAAAATTACTGTAATAAAATAATGATAATGTACAGAACCATGGATTGAGGTTTTTTTGAAGGAGATATACCAACCATGGGAGAGTCCTTCATTTTGGAACTGATGCAGACATAATGAGAACTGTGGGATATGAATAAACAATGAACAATGAAGTTTCATTTCAGGAAATTTAGCCGGTAGTGCAAGCAATAAATAATCATCAAATGATAACACTAATGTCAGAAGACGTTTTTGCTTTTCATTTTGTTTCATTTTCATTATCAGTTAAATTAGAATTACTGCACAATTATGAGTTCTAGATAAGCAGTTGTTGGCCACCAAACTCCAATTTGTAAAGCTTATTCCAGTCTTTGATTATTCTTTTGAATTTATTGGTTTTCATGTTTCTAAGTCTCTTTCTCAAAAAGATATGATCTTGAAAGAAGATCTTCTAATTCCTGTTGCTAAATGTAGTATGAGTCCCTTAAAATCATGTTATGCATTTAAAAATTGCAAAGGAGCTTTTAGCCAATTTTTTTTCTCTTTTCTCCAAATTACCTGTGTTCTTAACTTGTTGTACTTGAGAATTGCTAAGGATAATCAGTCAGTATATTGGTGATCAACTCATGGATAAGATAATACTATTCATTTTTTACTTTCTCGGGAGTGTTATGTTTAATGGTATTTCATCTGTTTCATGTTCCTGAATATCCTTCTCAGTTTATTTTTACCATTCATTTTTTTGCCTGCAGAATCAAGTGAAGAAAAGAAAGTAAGCAGCTCTCGAGTTCCTAGTACGCCAGTAAGCACAGATACATCCAAATCTGAAAACTCCTTCCTTGAAGCAACTCCAAGTTCCAACAAAAAGATGAGGAAAAACATAGTCGATATCTCTGACCCGCGCTACCTGAAACCGTTCGAATTTGGTAAGCTAAATTTTTTCTCTGTAAGTTTGGACTTTTCAGTTTGAGCCAACGCTTAAAAATTAGAAAACTCTTGACCCAAACTCCACCAACCTAGCCGTTCACTTAAAGTCTGTAATCAGTTGTTGCCTTTCCAAAGATCAAATTAAGATTATTATTTGCCTAAATGACTCTTCATCCTCACTCAATTCAGGTATAAATCTTTTCTCAAGGGCGGTTTTTTAATGTAATCAAGTTGGGAATAGAGCAATTGCCTCTGGAAAGGCTTCTGATTTCTTTCTTTTTTTTTCGGAATTGCACCAATGAGTGATGCGATCAAATAATGACCTATTCTATGCGAGCTTGTAAAGAATTCAGTGCTCGAGACTTAATATCCAAAAGTTATTTTGTGTCATTATCATTACCCTAAGCACTCAATCTTCTTCAGGTCCCCCCTACAGCTGCTATCTAGCTGTATCCTCCTCAGTGGCTGCGTTATCTCAGAAAAACGCTTTCCAGCAATGAAAAACTGTGTCTAATCAATCAATCCCTAAGCTGGGTCGTCAAGAGATCATTATCTTCTGATAGTGAAAAACTCAGGGAAATGAAACTTGTAGATCTCCAGGCATAACTATCATAAGAGAGAGCCGAAAAGATCAACACCCAATTTCTTTTCCCTGATGCATTGCTATTTTAAGCATTACTTGAATTCTCTGATTCCCTGATGAAAGGAAAGCCAATCTTAAACCTTATAACCTGATATAAACACCACCATCTTGGAATCTCAAAGATGTGAGTGCTTTTATTCACACAACAAATGTAAGCCCAGGATGATGTCTTGAGATCTACCCGCTTGGCATACATGATTCTTTGGCTGTCAGCAGGTCAACCTGCGGATGGCTGCAGAAGTGTGCATGCCATAAAAAATCATCTCAAGTCCTTTTTACTCTATGAAATCAGTTATCATTTAAAAAGCTCATAGCTCGAAGCTCATTTTAAAAGCTCAGAAATGCCCCCTTTCAAATTTTTATCAAAAGTCCATAAGATCTAGGCTATTTTAGGATCACCAATTGGTCCCATTTCTAGTAACTGTGATTTGAGTAAAAGCTTAAATTCATTTCTCGCAAAATAAGCATTTTGATGATTTGTGTCATTTTTAATTTTGAATTTTAATGTTTTAATTTTCTTTACAGGATGGAGGAGGGAGCTCGTCTATCGCGCTACCAATGAAGATGGCAAGCGCCAAGGAGATATTTACTACTACACCCCTAGCGGCAAAAAAGTTCGCTCACAAAGAGAAGTCTCAGAACATAGTAAGCTCTTTTCATTTTATTAATCTCAAGTGATTTCAATCCGCCAAAAACAATAATTTTTTAAAAAAAAAATTTCAGACCTCATCTCTGACTTCTCGGAGTTGTGCGTTTAAATGAAATCTCAAAATATGTCCGTTTGAAATAATTTCGTCAGTGAGTTCATATCGTTTGAAAAGAAATCCTGGAAAATTCCTGTCAGCAATGTGCACTCTCTAGTTTTCACAAATAAAAGAGTCGGCGATTACTGAATATACTCATTTAGGCCAGGGCCAGTTTCTCATTTATGTGATACTTCGGGCAAGAGAACCACTTTTTTCCTAGTGCATATTTTGCGGTTTTCTTTCATGAATTTGCGAAACTTGCCGCGCTTTCGTTCATAATCTTTCTTGAGTTAGTGTCAAAATCAAACATGGTCACCAGACTGGTTGTGGAAATTGTTAGGCAAAGCAACAGACAAAGATATAGGGAGTATGAGCGATCCTATTGGTTGAAATGGGTGGTTCCTATGGATTCAGAGAGAAAATGATGGACTAACTATAGGGTCTCTCATCGGTTGCCTTTAGGTAGTTAATTACCTACTTCCTTTGTCCATCGCAACCACCCGCTTACATCAATAGAACCCCTCCATATCCCTTTTGTCCTCTTGGTCTCCGCTTTATCTACCAATTTCAACAATCAGCCTGCAGACACTCCAAAACTTTTCATTTTCCTCTTGTCAGCTCTCAAGCACTGCCAGCTGGGCGGCATGGCTCCATAGATGCATTTGGCGAAAAGACCTTTGAGATTAATATGTATGTGCCTCTTTAATTCTTGTGTTTGGTTTGTGTTGCAGTTACTGATCCAGAACTTACTGCAGATAACTTTACATTTAGCAAAGAGCCCATTGGCCTGAATGATAGCGAAAAGGAAATAATTCGAGATGCTAAAATGCGAATGAGCAAGGTAAACAATTGTCAATAAATTCACTCCACAAGATAAAAGACCCTGGCTGTCAGAAAAAAGATTTCAACAGGGTAATTTTCATCAAATAAGGTTGAAAAATCTGCCCTTGAGTTTTTTTAGGGAGTATTGTTCATAACTTATCAGTGAAAAATGTTAAATTATACCCTGATCCGAAGATTTTAAGCTTCTTGCTGCTTCCTACCCTTTAATCTTTGAACAATCATAATTTTGTACTGTGAAGTTTTTGGCACTGTTCAAGTCTTATTATATTTATATATTTATCCCCTCCCCCTCTAAAGACTTGTTAAAATCAATTACACGATACCTTTTTGGCACTTTTGAACTCAGTTGCTCATTACGAATAATTTGGAACCGTCTAAATGAAAAAGTTGGTGAAAAAGATTTTGTTTAGTTTTTTGAAGTACCTGCTCTCTTCTTATTAGGTCCTCGTTGTTTCTTTGATGAGGCAAGATCTTCAGCGCAGGTCCGCTTCAGTAAAAGCTGTTTCTCATGCCTATCCTCATACTATCTACAGGTCTACAAAATTGAGAATGAATCAGTTATGTCATTTTTTCTATTGTGTCATTCGAAAGTCATTTGTGACTTCAACTTACAGTTATTTTCATAACTCTTTCTGATGACAGTAACCGGGAGAGAATTTCACCCAGATGTGCAAAAATTAGGGTAACTGAAAACAGAGTTGAAACCATGTGCTCGTAGCTTGTTGAAACTTAGATCCGTTTCTGATCCGAGCTTTAACAAGCTCAAAACAGCTTTCTTGCCTTTGAGAAAAAAGCTTTAAGATGAAGTTTTAAAAATTTGAAAATGAATTGAACAAAATTGTGCATCAGACCCACTCTCAAATATAGTGTGATTGTTTTTTTTGGGGGGGTCTACAGGAACTTCCATCTCAGCATTTATTGTGCACTTCGTTCATTTTGTTTTCTCACCATTATTTCACAATTTATCCCGCAGGACTTTGCAACTCCACCACCAAGAGCTGCAATGAAAACGCCGAAAGCCAAAGCAACAGCAACTCCTCCTGCTACTCCAAAAACCACGCCAAAAGTGGTAATCAAGACGCCGACGCCCAGCTCAGGTGGATTGAAAGTAAAGTTCACAGGAATCAAATCTGGTTCCACAGCAGCTAAGTCAAGTGTACCTAAATCGAGACCCGCTAAAGGTAAGGCTGTGTCCACGCAACTGGTCTATCTTCTCTTAAAATTGGGTGTCTTTATGAACAATGAGTCATTCTGCTGTGGATACTCTATGTAGACGGATTTCTTTTGCATAAATCAGGGTTGCCACTGTCGAGGAATACCAGGAATTGTTAGGGAAAAATTGTCTAGTCACATTTACTTGCTTTTAGAACGGGTTTGATTCGAGCGATAAATTTTGCCTGGAAACTTTTTCAAATCATGTGTTTTGAACCAACCGGCGGATCCTCCATCGTCTGGGAATTTTATCAAAATGTGTCAGGAACTTTCTTTTTACTCAATTCTGTGGTAAACTTGTATGTTGATGGATTTCTTTTGCGTAATTGTTCAAGTGTATTTAATTCTCTCAAAAGTATCTCCTTTTGTCTGATCGTCCCTGACTGTTACCGAACTATTTTAGATCCTAATCTATCAAAGAGCATTGTGACTGGTTACTCCTCAAACGTCCATGTATTCAAAAGTTTTGACTCGACTCTACATTGAGCATCAAGTTCAAAAAGAAAAAGAGCGAACACTCTCCTTTACCTTGATTAGAAAAATAGCGCTGTAATGGCTCTCAAAGATTTTAATTTTTAAAAAGCATCGTAAATATTTTTTCAAAATTTCCTTTTCTCACAACTGCTGTCTTAAGACAGCAGTTGTGAGAAAAGTGTAAAGTGTAAAAAAAGTGTATGTTGTTTGTGTGTGTAGTGTGTGTGTGCTTCTAAAGTGTATTTAAATACACTTTAGATATTAAAAGTTTTTACGGTAAGAAAACTTGAAGGGATGAAGCGCGCCATATTATGCATAAATATGCAATTATTTGACCCCTTTTTAAATGAATTAGTAAAAAAAAAAATTAGTTTTCATTTTGTTCCATTAGTGATATCAATACCTAGTGACCCCATGCAAGGAATTCATCATCATTTTTTCTAACTTATTTTTTGCAGTTCTTTCATTGTTTTGTTTATCTTTTTATTTTTTTCTTATTCTAACAGTACTATTCAAAAATCCAGTCCTTTTTATAGGATCTGAAATTTTTAACCCATTCACATGCATTGAAGAGTTAAATCGCGGCGTTGCTAAGAGTTTGTTTTGGTGGTGTTTTTTTATTTCCCTACAAACCGCTGCTCAAGCTTTATTCTCAGGACCATGTAGGAGTATTCCGTTGCCAACCTGAATGATTCATAGAATTCATCGTCGCTTGCGAATGGGTCGATGCATCTCTCTCCTTTCTCTTGTGACATCAGAGGAAGCATTGTCTTTTCTGAAAAGCTACCAGTAATAAATTTAATAACAGGGAGAACTAAATCGTGTTCATTAGTTAAACCTTGTAATATTACGTAATTTTATCTCTATACTTCGAAGTGTCTGATTTTCATCTGGAACAGGGTTGTATGCACTAAAACATCTGATTTCAACTTTCCATGCTGTAAGTATTGAAATATTTCCTGCCAAGTTAGTTGTCAGGACAGGTCTGCCACTGAGTGTGTTTTCAAGTTGCTGAGTTATTCTGATTCACTTTTGACTTTTGCACCCCTGGACTGTCTTTCTCTCAAAATTAACTTTGCCTGACTGACCCAGTCTTTTTTATATCTTTATGACTAATGTGTCTCAGGATTAAATGAAAGTTTATGTATAACTTAAGGCGACATGTTTTGACGTTTTTGTCAATGAGCCTTTTGGAAGCTCTCATGAGCTCACGAAGAGTCCAGTATTTCAGGAGAAAATCACGAAGTGACACAAAATGAGCGCACTGATCAAAAAGAAATTTCATTGTCTGTATGTAATAACTCTAATCATGTATTCGCCTAAGTACACGTTAGTACTCAATTTTGTATGACATCTTTTGCCTTCATTTCTCAAGAAGGTCACGTGAGTTACTGCAGCATAATAGAACATTTTGTTGACAGCTTTTCCCCTAAAAATCGCTCTTTTTGGGACCTCAGTGCGATGAAGGTATTAATACCTTCAAGAAAATAACCCAAAAGCAAAACTTATCAGGAAAAATAGCTTTGAAGGATTTTGTGAAACTATTTTATGTTTTATTCAACGTTTTCATTCGGCTTGAAGTAATGCTTTGATTTTTGTGTTGCAGTTAAAAAGCGCAAGAGTTCAGGAAGCAGTGAATTAGAAATGGGTATGTTACCGCCAATGTGGAGTTCACCAGAAGCCAAAAATGATGACGTTTCTACTGCACGGTCGTGGAGCCCGCCCACTGTCTCAGACTCGTCAAAGTAAGTCAGTTCTTTCCATCTTTTTGCCTTCTCTTTCAATATGGAGCAAACTTACTATTATTTCATACACATCAATGTCAACAAGAAAACAATGAACCTTGAACAAGTCATGTTTCCTCCTAGCTTATGAGAAACATCTAGTATAATTGATGAAAATTAATACTGGAGTGATCAGGCTGAGGATGCTAATAGTTCTGCAGTTTTTCTGCAAGCCCAAAAAGGTGTATCTTCGTACAGCAATTTCTACTACTGAAAATTCCTCATCCAGCTTGTTATTGGCCTGTAGATATATTCCTTATGACGATGGTAGAACAGACTGAGAAGTCCAGTTCTTACTTGGATGTAATTATTTTTAATAGTGAAGCTAGCACCTTGTAGCTGAAAGCTGTTAACTTCTGCCGTCTAGCAGGGTCATTCATCTTGACTTCTGTGGTAGAAGTGTAAGCAACGGTGAATATGCACTATTTTTCACAATTGGTGGCCACCTTTTCTCTAAAAGCAGACTTGTCTCTTTGTTCTTACTGTGTGATTTTCTGCACCTCTTTTTCTAGTCTCACAAGGTCTTCATCAACTTTATTCAAGCCTTTTCTGTGTGCTTGCTCTTCATTGTTCGTTAATTTTGATTCAATCTCATTTTCCTTTCATTGGCTCCTTCAGCGAGGATTTCCCGTATTATCGCTCATTTTGTCCGGACCAACTGACGCTTCAAGTCTCACCTCTGTCACAGAGAATTGTGTTGTCTTAAAAGTGAAAGTATTGCTTACTTTGTGTCAGAATTAGCAGCTGTAATTTTAAATTTAACCCGAGAAAATGTTAGGTTTTTTTAATTTCTACTCCAAACCAAAAAATAGAAGTATTGTCGATCTTTCATTTTCGTTTTTTGAAAGGGGGACCAGCATAGCAGTATTGAGTTAGTGTTCAGTTTGCTTCTTTTTGTCATTATCAAATGTTGTAGTATCAGGAACAAGAAAACTGAACTTCTTTCTCAGGTTGAATTTATGAAGTAGTTTTTAAGACCTTGCAAGCATATCTGCAAGCAAAAATAAAGTGTTACCTATAATGATAATTCTCGCAATTGATCATGGTGAATCAATGTGTGACTTAGGGCGTTTTATTTCTGAAAAAGTTGATTTTGATTACCGAAGTGACACGAACTTTGATTTGGTGCTGCAAGTGTATTCGACTGTTGAGAATTGCCAACAAGTATTTCTCTAGCCATTACTCTGATGAATGAGGATATTTTGTACGGGAATAGATTACCGGCGCACAGTTGCATGAGTAGTTCAAAGCTAAGAACAAGCAGAAAATAGGGAATTACAGCAGGAATTTCGACTAAGATAAGATAAAATAGATAACCTTTGTAAAAAAAAAAAAATCAAAAAGAAAAATCAAATTGATAATTGCCAACTTTTGAAATAATGGGAAAATTTCCAAATTTCCAAGAAGCAAGTTCAGTGAATTAAAGTCCCAGTGTTAACGTTTCATAAAATAAAAAATTACCTTTTGTTCTCCCACAAGAATGTTAAGAAATGTTAATTTTTAATGGCTAAAGCATTCTGCATCGTTGAATTACCTGAATCGTTGCTAAATGTTGGAGGAGAAGTAATGCCTCTGTTGGATTCTTCGATTTTTTCTCCGCTGTACAACCATTTTTTTCTCAAAGTTTGAATTAGATGAGAAAAATTTCTTCTATTTTTTGTTTTTTTTTTTTTTTTAAAAAAAAAGGCTTCTGGCAGGAGAATTCGTTTGATGTATCCATTGTTTTTACATTTTGCAATGACTCGATCCTCTGTTGGTAAAGCTAACAGGCTTTTCAGTTTTTTTCTTTTTTTTTATTATTATTTTTCGATTTTTATAATTATGCATGTTTTTTGAGTATATCCCATTTGTATCCCTGACCTTTTCCTTCCCCGGGGATGCACACCAGAGTGGAGATGGACAGAAGCTGTTCGATTTACTGTCCGCGAGCAATGGGCATCATCCCGTCTCTCCAGTGTCATGCTTGCCAGTGCCTCTTCCATCCCGAGTGTTGCGGAATTTCACCTGGTCGAACTATTCTGCAGTACGTTTGCAAAGTAAGTTGGCGTTACTGCTTTCAAGTGTGTTATCCTTAACTCGGATCCTATGAAAACCAGCAGGATAATCGCTCTGTCTACTCGATCAATCTTTCCCGGAACTATGGCTGAAGAGGTCAAGCAGATTGAGCACAGTCAGTTCTATGTAATAGTTTTAACTTAGTTCAGTTTGATTCGGAGAAGTGAGGTTATCCTCGCCTGTGCTCCGTTGAGTCTAATTATTACAGAAGTTTGCCAATATTGAAAATCAACAATATTTTTTTACTCATTACTTGTGGCTCAGTATCAGGACTATTACTTTGATTAAGACTTTGCAATGCGATGATTAAAATAATTGAAAATGTCGATGGAAGAATCGTCCCCTTTATTCAACCTAAATGACGGAAGCCTAGAATTGAAATGTTGGCTTTTTTGCCGAGAGGAGTGCTCAGTAAAAACTTCAGCCTTAAACATGTTCGACTAAACCTGAGGTATGAAAGTTAAAAGGTTACAGCTTGAGAAAATGCTCTTGGCTAGAAAAGTAAATAAATCTCCTGCAACCACCGCAAGTGGCATTATGAGGAACTTCTTTCTCCAGAAACTTAAGCACCAAATTTTTTTTTCCAACTGGACGAAATTACTTTCTTGAAACTCTTGTCTTGGCCACTGAAGTCCCTCTGTTGGTGAGCGACCACAATTAAAATGTAGAAAATAATTTTGATTGATGTTAAGTCCCAAAATATGACCTCAGTCGTTATTAAATCAAGATTGATTACTGCACTGAAATAGATGTAGGATTTCTATACTCCTGCTGGTTTCTCTGACAATCTTTTCGCTTTTAGTGAGGCATGGAGCGAAATAAAAATCACAAGTAAAGAAAAAAGCTGAAGACCCTCAGAATATTCAGAAAATAAGTTGGTAATTGTTTGCTTCCTCTTAGCAAATAATTGTGCTGCCACTGTTCAACAGGAGTCAAGATTTACTGAAAGTGATGATGCAGCGCTGTCCAAACAATCAAGTGATTACTGCGCATGACAGTAAAAAGTAAAGAATTGTCAACTTAATTTGATGCGAATTCCAATTTTCTGCTGTCTGTTCATTTTTGGAGCGCATTCAAAGCTGATATTGAATCAGATGATATCCAAATATATCCAATGTCCATTGATATCCAATTTTAGGAGGCAATAGAAATGAAGCTGCAACTAAAAATTGAACTTTTCATACATGGATTGGTGAATTTTGAAGAAGCAAGTTTATCATGAGCTCTAAAGGAAGGCCGTAGAGTTTCGTAGATTCCTCTCAAAGACTGAACAGTTAGTTGAAACAAACATACTCTATAAGTTTTTATTCTTGCATTATTCAGAGAACTATTACGCACTGGACACCATCTTAATTTTCAAATTTTATTTCTAAGCTAAAACTGAGAGATGAGCAAGGCAAAATTTAAATTGAATCAACCTGTCTCAATGAAATAAAAGCAAGTTTCCTAAATTGCGACATTTTTATTTATTTATAGAAATGCCAAAAAAATTGGAACTGGAAAGCTCGCACTCTAGCCTCGACGATGAAAAGCGGGAACAGTATAACCGTAAGTCTGCCGGCTCCCAAGTCAACCCTTGTCTCTCTATCCAGCTCCGCCCCTACCAAGTCCCTGACCACCAGCACGATTGCCAAAACGGCCAAGATCACCTCCATCGTAGGAGGTGTGACAACATGGCTTCCACCCTCTTCCACAATCCAATTCTCGAGCAGTAATGTCACAACTAAGGCACAGAAAAATCCGAAGTCAAACACTCCCTCTGTCCCTCGACCCGCTGATAGTCAATCAACAGCTCCTCCTGCACAGGCAGTGGTCGAGATGAATGGAAAACGATTTATAGTTATGCCAAAGCAGAATGTTGTATCTGTGTCGCAGCCAATGCCTGTCTCGAACCCTGATGATAATCCTCCCCCTCCGGTTCCTGTCACTGCAATCCAGTGCTTTCCTCGTCCTCCCGCTCAGTTCATGCTCCCATCATCGGAGTCGCTGGCTCTAGCTCCAATTTCAACTCCCAATCTTGCCGCTGGTGGTGCCTTTCTTCCGCATTTCGCTCCAGGCCTAACGCCTGGAGCGTTTCTCATGAGCTCCCAGTCTACAAACCCCCCTGGAGTCCTTCTAGTCCCTTGTCTCCCGCAGCAAAGTGCCCTTGGCGAAGGAATGGCAGTGCAGCCGCAATATGTTCTAGTAAACGGTGCTGGAGTCGGAGGAAATCTTATGTTTGGCAACCCGCTCCCTCAGTCTTCAGATGATAAAGAGTGAGTATTGATCAGGGAAGAAGCATTTTCTTACTGTCACACTAACTCTGCACCCAACGTCTTGTGGATTTCATGTTAAGACCCACCCCACTTATAGAGTCTCTTTAGGCTTTTATTTTGATGTAGAGTTTTCCTGGGTTTTATCAGTCTTTTGGTTCTTTTTCATTTATTCGTCATAGCAGAACAACTTACCTTTTCATTTAAAACTTGTACCGCTGCAGGTTGCTCACACTTGCATATTTTGTTGTTCAGAATGGCGAATAGAACGTTTGTGCTCTGACCTACCGTGATAGCTAAGAGAGCAGTAAGCATAAAAATGATGAATGCCCCTTTTATGTAATTGAAATAAAGTCAGTCCATTTTTAATCATCCAAACGATTTCCAAGAGTCTTCCGGACAATTAGTGGCAGTTTGACAAAGAACGGAGGCTTCTCTCACTCAAATTCTCCTGTTATAAGCTTCTGAACCTGTTTTCTCAAAACTTCATTTTTGGACTAACTGTTCCCTTCGCTATCACAGCAGTGATGCGTATAGTTTCATTTATCCATTCTGCATGATGAGGCCTGTTCTGCTAGCTTTAGGTTTTCATGACCCGCATCAAAGTGAATTTGGCTCATGGGATGCTCCACTGTGCGTTAATGTTGATGCCTTAATTAGGCACTTTTTACGTGGATTACTTCTTGCCTGTTCGTAAAATGGTCCAGCACCTCTTGTTTAAATTTATTCAAAATAATAAATAGTACTCACCTGCGCATGCAGCACAACGGAATGTGCTATTGTGAATGTAGCTCGATGGTAACTGAACAAATCATGAAAATGGTTTAAATTTATACTGAAATTAATCGCGCTAGGAACTAGAAAAAGGCTCATGCTTAACTGAGGGGGTTTATTTTTCTCCCTCCCAATGTAAGGGTGTAATGCACTCTCTTCTTTTCTTTTACTTGGTCACCCACTTCAAGTTATCAGTCGATCAAGTTAAAGATCGTCTCACTATTTAGAATCATTAATGCTTGGAGGCTCAGTCAAAATCAGGCTCCTTCAAATCAACTTTTTCATGACCCTAGTGAACCCTCGAACAAATGCACGCGCAAAAACATGCCTTAAGAAAATTTGTGTAGCCTTTCAGGTAACTTCCGGAGGTCTTGTTGTAAATAAGTTTAGCTTAGTGACAGGTCTTCCTGTTGAAAGAGCGTTTTTTTGTGCGAATGCATTCACAAGTACTCATCCGAGTTCCTCCGAAGTGTGATAACCATGGGTTGAATTTTTTCACCGCATCTATTTCTTATGTCTGCACTTTTCCATTGTCTTAGGGTGGACTTCAAGTTCAAGTTCTACGAATTCAACCAAGAAAGATTTGTCTGAATTCGATTTTTTAGTGTTCTCAAGTGTATGAGGTTTGCATTGATGAAAATGTTGAGTCCTTCGAGCAGGTTTTGCTTAAGGGGTATCAGGTGCCCAAATTGCAATTATGCTTCCTTAAGGATACTTCCGAACTTTGGAAAAGAAGTTTTTCTCTAATATTTTTCCAAGTTGGATGCAGTCGATTCATCAGAAAGTAGTAGTTGACCCTGAATCACTTTCTGTATGACTTACTTGTCAATTTCAAATTCAATCTTTCTCAGTTCCATAAAATCAGTTGCGAAATTTGCTGGGCGCTCAGTGCTGCATTTCTTTTAGAGTCTTTTTGCTTTGAGGTGCACACTTGCTATATGGGTACTTCAATCATTCTTCATGATGTCCCTATCTCTTGAATATTTCATAATTCGTTCTTTGCATTAATTTCTATGGGAGAAGGGGCACCAGGTTCTATTTTTCACGTGAAGTTGAGCAGAATGTAAACACACCCTTGATTTCACCATGAGTTCGGAAGGCTAGTTAATCATCAAAGAATGATTTTTCGACAGGAAAACCACGCAAAATAATTCCTTGAAATTATCTGCAAGTAAGCATTCATAAAATTTTGTAGTAGATTGTTACAAGGAAAGGAAATTAGATGTTTAATGTTGTTAGGTTGTTTCTGATTGAAATCGCTCAATAAGGTAGGCAAGCAGTGAAAAAGTAATTTGGCAACAGTTGATTAAAACAGTTCTGGGCCTGTGGAAAACAGTGAATGTGTTAAAATCTTTCAAAAAATCATCCCTGTGAAGGAGTAAAGTGTGTTCTCGTAAGACTGGCCAAAATTTTTAATGAGCAGATTGGAGCGCTGACCTTAACTCTGCATTATCCAACCACATTGTATAATGTTAACAAGTAACACACTACTGTGTATTCTTCCACTGCGGAACCTGCTGCTATGTGCTCACGTGACGTAACTTGCCAGATTCATGGGCGCAAAACTCAAACTCCTTGAACCACTGCTTAAGTATTTTCCACTTGAAAATCAATTTTCCTTCAGTCATCATCATCAAAATACATTGTAGTAATAAATATAAGCTCACTCTCAAATTATGTATCGAAAAAAATTTACCCAGGCTTGCTATGTTAGTTTTTGTGTTTGAACCCTCAAGTTTAGCAGAGAAATTGTTTGAAACGATTTTCCCTCCCTTCCTCTGGAGAATCTTTCTTTCATCAACTCTGTTCTCTTTAGCCAGTTTTTGCGCTCTTGAAATGTTGGCATTGCACATGAAAAGATGGATGCAATTTTTTCGTAGAGAAATATCACCTGCAATGAGTTCTGGAAAGCTCTAAAGTAGAAAGCACATTTATGGTATTTAAAATTTTGCCAGCATTTGTTGAATTAATTACGTGCTTGCTTCAAAGCTTATTACCCCTTACAAAGCGTTTCAAAAATCTGTTTACCTGTACTAATAGCAGTCTCTAAAACCAGGAGTTCTGAAATGATGGCCAGTCCAACTTGAAAATAAACAGTAATTTTTAGCGGCCTCTCTGTTGACCTTGTCAATTAGATTCAAACTATCCTTTTTTCTTCTGGCACATAATTTGTGCAACAAATTTTAATCCTCCTGTCATAAATTCATATCAAAATACATGTGCCTCACAATTTTGGTCTTTGAATAGATTATTTAAAAAAAATCGCAAGCCTGTGTCTTTGGAAAGCCAAACTCTCAACTTTCATCTACTATCTTTCGCGTTCCATTCCTCAAAGCACATTTATTGTATTATTTTGCTCTTGATCACTTTGTTATCATGGAATTTTTAATTAAATTCTTTGTTTGTTTTTGTTGTTTTTTCAGATTGTATTGTAAAAACGGAACATTTAGGTGTGCATTTCCTGTTTCCTCCTCCATCCCAAGCTCTCCTTTCCTCATTTGTTTTTTCATCAACAATAATTTTGTTCTCTCCAATTAGTTGCCAAACGTTTTTCTGTCAGTATTTGAAGCCTTCAGTAGAAGAAACCATGGATGTGCAATGTATTTTGAATTAAACATCCAATTCTTTTACACTCAAACTTAAAATTTTCCTACATTGTTTTGCATACGTTAACTGTGTACCTTTACATGAAATAAGTAGGAGCTAGATAAGCTTAATTGTATCATAAGAGCCTTGGTTGACGATTTTTTTTTTCTTCCTCAAACAATTGCAAATTATTTCCCCCTTTTTTTACTTGAAAATCATTCTCAGAAATTTTTAGTCTATTAACATCCACTTGTTATTACGTAAAATAGTAAGTTGTTGAATGAAACTTTGCAACGCTCCAATACTACGAAGCCCCTCCGGCGGTAACCTTTTATTTCAAGACCTGCAAGCCTTTTACTTTGAGGCTCAGAGGCTCTCTTCAAAAGATTGAAGCTGCAAGTTTCAATTCTAATGCTCCAAAACCTATTTATATGTAGAGCCAATCCATCCAAAAACTGATTAATTCATTCTACATGGTCTATTTGCTTGCCTCCTTTCTTCACTGAATGTGTGTGTAATCTCTATTAGAATACCTATCCATGATGTTTACAGGTCTAGAAAACGAGGAATTTTATCAGGTCAGGGAAATTAGGAAAGAGTCTGGAAATTTAATGGAAAAGATTAGAAATCTGAAATATCTTAAAACGTACAATCTGAAAATATATCAGCGTTGTCCTTGCAGTCAAACTGTGTCTCAGGCCTGTTTCTGGGTTCTGTGCTGTTAGTCACTTGCTGAATGGTGAATTGAGTTATAATTTTCAATGAGGAATGGCAAATTTAATTCGTCACATGATTAATACCTGAAGAAAAAATGTTCACATGTTCCTTTTATTTGCAGTGGAATTGATGCTAAAAATTGTTTATTTTTAGTTCCTTACTTGCCAGTTGTTGATGTGGAAATTTTGATTTTTATGGTCCAGGAAAACTTGGAAAAGTCAGGGTATTTTTTACTCTAAGTTTGTAAATACCCTGTTATTGCTCAAGGATGCTACCTACTAAGATGCGACGAACGTATCACTGCAGCACCAAAAATTGTTTCGTGTCAAAAAGCTGATTTTGCAGGTGTCTCAAGATAGTTATATTTTTCGTAGTAAATTGAACTCAGTAAATTTACATGTAAGCTCAAGACTTGAAGAGACCAACTAGTTATTAGAGTTGTACCATTATGATTGGAATTTTGTCGCCCTCGTAAGTTGTAGGAGAATCTTTTTTGTCTCCCAACTCAGGATTTACGTAAAATGCTCATATCAGTCAGAGCTGGTGCATGCTGCCATCAAAAAGCAACAGTGTTACGACTGGGAATGGCAAATCAATGCAAATTTTAGGGTAAAACATAAAGGCTAACTTTTTAAGGGGGAATGGAACACTCCATCCAGGCGCAATTGAGGGGCTCGGAGGACAAGGCGCATAAGTGCAGCCTTTGCTATTTTGAGAAATATATGTTTGAAGTTTCAAAATCACATAGAGCCTTATGGCGGAAAGAAAGTTTTACTGACTTTTTGATGTTTAAAAATTGGAATTTTGGAGCAACTTTTTCTCAGAATATGCATTGAAACTAGTTTTACTCCAAATTATTTATACCTCAATTTTTTCAAAAACTGCACTTATGCGCCTTGTCCTCGAAGCCCCTCAATTACACTGTCTTATAACCTCATTGGATGATATCTAATCTAATCCACTGAAGCTAATGTTGCTCAGCTTGAGTAACTAGTTGGAACAAAGTTTAGCTTAAATTTGTGCATGTAAATGAAGCTTTAAATTTTGATTGGTTAATGAGTTGAGACTCAGCATTTTGGGGTTCTTCCTGAATGTAATTATCTGAGATACTGTCCGTCTAGTGCTGCTTTTGTCCTTTCAGGATTTTTTTATCGGTCTTGTGTTCTGAGACGGAATTTGTAGTCTGTTGAATAAAATGAAATTTAAGGGAGTCAAGGAGCGATTGGCTAGCCTCTCCTCCATCAAGTTAGGTTTTTCCAGGGCACCAAGGATGTTTTCATTACCCTAGTTGCCAATGCTCTTAAAACATTCTCTCATTTCTTTTTTTGATCGGTCCTTAGGAGTAATTACTCTTAAATGAATCCCAGTGAAAGTTTCAATATTCATCATGAATTTTCTCCTTCCACAACGAGAGAGGTCTGTTTTAAATATAGTCCAAGGTTAAACTTTGGATGATCAATGATTGGTTGGGTTGGTCGACTTTTCTTTCATTCATCGCCTTGAATCCCACTCTATGGCTTTGCAGGTAGAGAAAATGAGCTAAGTTATGAATGAAACAGGTTATTTGCCCAGCTAATTATTCCTCTTTTGATCTCTATCGGGGTCTGATGTCATCTCTATCCATTTATCAGACTTCGTTTGATCTCTATTGTGGTCTGATGTCATTTCAATCCATTTGTCAAACTTCTTTTGATCTCTATCGTGGTCTGATGTCTTTTCTATCCACTTGTCAGACTTTGTTTTATCTCTATCGTAGTCTGATGTCATTTCAATCCATTTGTCAAACTTCTTTTGATCTCTATCGTGGTCTGATGTCTTTTCTATCCACTTGTCAGACTTTGTTTTATCTCTATCGTAGTCTGATGACATTTCTATCCATTTGTCAGCTGTGTTATGTGAGTATTAGGACCAACGTTGTAAGGTGTATTTATGCCAAAAAGCTCTGGAAAGGATCCTTAGTAAGTTTTTACAGACTTCATGTTTCTTCTGATCAGTCATAGGCAAATCATTTCGATTTTTAAGAGGCACTATTTTTGTGTGACTAGAATTGCACAGTTGTCATTTCAGAACAGTCAGCACATTGTATCAATGCATCTCCGTTGAATCCTTTTAGCATTTTTATTCCTTCCATCTTTAATCATTTATTATTTTGGTCTGTAGATTTGTTAGTCTTGAGCAATTGTTATTGAAAGATTTGATTCAAAACAAATGTATCTGTTTTGATTGAATCTTGTTTCCATGGCCTTGATTCTTCAGGAGTCTCAATATCATATCGTATCACTTTTACTAAATCTAACGATTAATTTCTACGATTTACACCATCACATCTCATGTAGTGCAATGAATCAGTATGTACAGTACGAATTTTAGTATTCTTATAAGTTTTCTCTCCCAAAATCTCAACGATTTTCACAACGAAAATTGCTGATACTAACTTCTGACCAAAAAAGTACAGATAAAAGCCTAACAAATCACACACACAAGGAGAAAAAATTATTAACAAGTAAAAACTTCTAACAAAAATATTAACATCCGAATTAAGCAATGCATCCCCATCATTGGAACTATGTCAGCATGACAAGATGAGATGTAGCCCTTTCTCAACAACCCAATACATCGCATTTCAATGTCTTGTTGGGCTGCTTTATTCTCTCAATTATTGGCCTACTGGTTGCCCAAAATTTGATATTCCTGAGTAAAGAAAAACCAGATTTTATGTGAACTAAGGAGTTACTTTCAATCATTCTTGTTCATAATCGTGCTCGACATGAAATTTTGATGAGGAAATTTACGCTGCAATGCTGAAATTTGCACCTTGTCTAATGATCCATTTCCAGTTTGTCACCTAGATACATATTAGTAGCCAAAAATAGGAGTTATAGCTACCTCTTTCATTCAAATTAGTATTTTTAAATTCGCATGTAGCAAAGACTTATCCATGTTTTATGAAATTCTGATTTTTTGTTACTTGTACAGAAAACTTTCTTTTGCACTAAATATTCCATCATGAAATCCCCCAAGAAATTTTTGACCAACACTAAATAAAAACGTTCGTATTTTGGTCAAGTTTTCATGTCAGTAATTTTCGTTTTGCCAATCGTTTTCCATCTAAAATTGGCGGAAGAAATATTTATCAGACCGCTTAGATTCATGCCATTTCTAGTGATCCATTAGGTCTCAGTGGGGTGAGGTCCTAAGGACAAATATGTAAGTAAAACTCGCAGTTTCAGTTGAAAGGTTATCTACGAGAAAATCACTGCGTACCAGAATTTTACCAACAGCTGTATTCGACATCATACAAATTGCAGAAGCTGAATCGGAAGAACCTAAGTTTAGATTCCAACCAATCCCCTCTCTTCTCTTCTGTCTGAAGACTCAAGAGCAACTCAAATCCTAACAAGATTTTAATTTTATCTCTCTTTTTGTTCTTCTGTCCAGGAATGTTGGCAAAAAGCGATCTGCTGAAAGAGGTGATGCGAAAAAAGGATCTCCACCATCAAAGAGAGCGAGAGTAGCGAATAACTCAGACTGCGGGTCCACAGTTTTGCGTGGCTCCGCTCCTGTTGTGACAAGTGGGTCTGCCGAATTGAGTGGTTCCGCTGCCGTTGTAACAACAACGACCACTGACAGCAGCCTAGCGCAGCTTAAACCGAGCCATTACTTCATGATGAACCTTGCTGCTGGATACTCTACACTTATGCATATCTTCAGATACCTTAACTTGAAGGAGCTTCTCGTCGCATCGAGAGTCTGCCGGTTGTGGCATGATGTCGCATCTAAACAACATTTTGTGAGTGAATTGCCCTCCTTTGTTTACTTTTCTTGAATTGAAGCGTAGGTAAACCCAAATTTCTAACTGCATAATCAAAGAAAAAAATGCTGCAGCAGTGACGATCTCTGTAATTTCCCAGTTGAAATCTAGATTGCAGTGCTCTTTGGGTGAGTCAAGTGAGACATAGTTGAGGATGTCTTATCAGTGCTGAAATAGTACAAATTTTTTATAGGTGGATCAGGAATACTGAAAAAGTACAGAAATTTTGCAAGAAGCTCCAGAACTTTTTGCCCTATGCCACGCATATTTTATGAGACAGGCTGGAAAGTATGCAATCCCTTTTGCATCCACCAGATCGCGATTCTGCAGCCAGTGGAGCTTCGAATTTCTTGACAACATCATTTTAGTCGCAATTTGCGTAAGAATTTCACATTTTTTAAATTTGTCGAATTTCGTCACTGGAAGTACTGAAATAGTACTGACTTTTTCGGTGAAGCACCATAAAAGTACTGAGCCAGTTTTAGTAAATACCCTGATAGTTCAAGTGCTGAGAGCTTAGGAACTTTGTTAACCTATTATTTTGGATAGCATTGGCATTGCAGAATTGTGGACCAAAAAAGCTTCGGCGGTCAACATATTAACTGCTATGTGTAAAACTATTTGTCCAAGAAAACTGTTGTCTGCAAAGGAAAAATTGCTCATTAGTCAGTTACCTTTTTGAACTGAACAAGCTAGTCTTTTTGCCTATGTGGTATGACATCCTTTCTAACCTGGTACTTTTTTTATCTCTTTCAGTGGCAGACCGTCAGAATGAAGAATACTCAGGTCTCCGATTGGAAAGGTTTTGCGAACGCTTTAATCAAGCACGAGACAAAGCATTTGGACCTAAGGAAAATGCTTGTTGGAACTAAAACAGAAGAAGTTAAAAACAACTGGTTAGAGTTCTATAATGTTATTGGGCAAGTTAAATCATTGAAAAGGATAGAGCTGTGCAGATGTCTCTCTTCAGTCATCGAAAATTTGGCGAAACATGTTCCTCATATAGAAGCATTAACTGCTACGTCTATCAAGTAAGTTGTGTTGTTGTTGTATCTCTCAAAATCAAAATACAGTTGGATTTTCCAATTCTCTCCTTTGGAAAACAGCCATAAATTCCCCTGTTGAGAGCTTGCACTCCAATTATTCCCTACACTGAAAAATACTTGATGATCATGCTAGAGGGCCACTGTCTGAATCATTGTGAGTTTCTGTTGTTAAAATATCCTTTTGATCGAGGGGAAAGAAGGAAATGTCAATTAAATAAGGTGTTGGATGCCAAAAGTCCACTTCTTGGTCGCTAATAATTTCACTGCTAATTGGAATTTCATACAAGAAACTTTTGAGTGGATTATCAGACATTTTTCGTCTGCATCATAAAATCAAGAAGAATATTCAGTTTAGTGAATTACACACTTTTGCTTTGATCATCATAGATGAAACATTCGCAGAGATTTTGCAGCACTGCATCGGAGAAGTGCCCTTTCTGCACCTAACGCTTCAAGATTTGAGAAAGTTGAGCCCCCTCTCATCCTTTACCAGCACTCAGCTCTGAAGCATGTTTATTTTTTGTGTTTCCTTTGATTTAGAAAAAAGGTCAGGAAAATTATGGAAAGTCAGGGAGAAGGAAAAACAAATTTGCTAGACACCCTGTCTTATGAGTATTTTAAAGTAATTTCACCTCCCAGAAAGAAGGGAAGAATATGTTAAAATTGGTGCAAAATCTCATCTGTTATTTTTGTCAACGTAAGTCCAGTAAGCTGTCAAAGAAATGACTCTTTTCTCTCTGTGTATCCATTAATCACCAATTTCTTTCTGCCGATGTAACTATTTTAATCTTCATAATACTAATGGTAGATGCAAATATGACATAAGTTTTTTATCCTTTTTCAGGAACACTTCCTTGAACTTGGAGCCGTTGGCTGCAATTACCAACTTGACAGAATTACGCTTGAAAGGAATGTCAGGAATAGAACTATCCTTCAATCATTTGAGTAATCTCACCACACTCAAACTGCTGGTGAGCACCGGGTTTTTATCCGCTTTTTACGTTGTCCTCACTTATTTTGACGTTTTCTAATACCAAGAACTGACCTACTCAGGACATTGTTCTCACCTTATGAGGGACGTGGTCCCAGTTGATAGGCTGATTTGTTTTACATATTGCAGACCTTGAACCCCCTCCTCTGTTGATAAGGATCCCCAGGAGTCAACCTCTAACTTGATGTTATACTTTCTTTTTGGAGGTCTAAGAATATCCCTCACTCTTTACCTCTGGCAAAGTTTTTCAGTTTCCCTCTAAATTTTTGCTTTGATCTAAAAATTTCTCATTCCTCTGTAAATTCTCATAAAAAAGTTTCTGTGAGAAGAAAGGTTTATCTAATTTTGAAAATTCCCTCATTCCGCTTACAGTTCTTCTCAATGTAGCAATGCTAGATTGAGTATTTTCTGCACCTCTGGTCAGTTCTGAACGCGGTTGATCGAAAAGATCTACACCTTCGGAAATTTCAAAATGTAATATTTACAGGGTGTCTACAAGTCTGTAAATAGTACTGATTTTTTGAGGGCGGACCAAAGTACTGAAAAAGTGCGAAAATTCCGCAAGTTAGTCCGAAATTTATTTTTTTTGTCATTTTTGATGCAGAGAGAGTGAGAAATTCAAAATTTTGAAATTTGTCGAATTTTGTCAATTAAAGGTACTGAAAAAGTTCTGAATGTTTTTGTTGAGGAGGTACTGGATTTCTTGGGAATGCACTCAAAAAGCACTTTGAAAGTACTGATTTTTAGCCAGCCTGTTTTAGTAGACACCCTGATGTGTAGTTATTGTAAGATTCTGCCCCGTTCTGTAGTAAACAAAATCACAATTTTTTTGCAGTCGATAACTGGAATCAAGAATTTAGACAGTGAAGCGTCACAATCGATTGGATCTCTGGTGAATTTAGAACAGTTGGAAATCGGTGACTGCAACAACATCCACCAAGTAACAGTGACAGAAGCACTACCAAAACTGATCAACTTGAAAAGGCTGAGGCTCGAGAAGGGCCAGAACTCAGTGCCGCTCATCATTCAACTGATAGAGTCTGCCAGTCAACTCCCGGCACTGGAGATCCTCGAGCTCATCAACTTCGACGTCAAACCAGGATTCGAAGAAGCGCTCAAAAAGTGCACCAACATCAAATCGCTCCTCATGATTCCTACTTATATCACACAGGTAATTATCTTCTTATATCTCTACAGGGTGTCCCAGGATTAAGTAGGATTATGGAAAGAGCCGCTTCTTTCGGTCAAAAAAAGACGTTTTTGTGGTATAACTTTTTTTCCAAAAACGCTTTCCCTTCCCCAAAGTTGGAGAAAGAATCGTCTTTCTAACACTGTAATTATGTCTATCAGCCATTTTTGATGAAAATTGGCAAATGGGAGTAATTTTTAGCGCTTTTTTCATTTTTGACTTCCAGAAGAGGAAAAACGCATTTTGAGGGGGGGTTTAGGGGAGTTTCAAAACTAAAGGTGGCCTAAATTAATGTTTTAGCGACAAAAATTGGTTTTTGATGGCACCACTAGATTTAGCGTTGACAAATACTGAGAAAATGTGTCTTGCATTTTTTCGTTATGACTCATCATTTTTGAGGTGCGAGGGACTGTATGGAGCGCAGGTGGGGCGCAAAGGGGTGAGAGGTGGCCTCTAGGGAGAAGCGTTTTTGGAAAAAAAGTTAAACCACAAAAACGTCTTTTGTTTTACCCCAAGAATGGACTCCTTCAATATTTGTAACAGGGTTGCCAGCGACCGGGAAAACCTGAAAAGTCAGGGAAAAAAATCAACCGGGAAAAGTCAGGGAATTTCGGTGTTGGTCAGGGATTTTTCTGATTTTTCGTGGAATTAGGCGCGGGCGGTCTCGGGCTCGCGTTGCGGGATCAACTGGATCAATTTCACTTTAACAGACTGCGTCAGATCCATACTTAAAAGTCAGGGAAAAGTCAGGGAATGGAAACAAATAATTTGGCTGGCAACCCTGTTGTAATTACTCCTGGGATACCCTGTATATTTCGTTATCTGATTTAGCAGCTTCATTCTTTTGCTTTTTGTAGCACTTGATCTGACAGTTGTGCGGCATTGTGCAACAAGGAGCTACTTTTTTCAGCCGAACATTGTTTCTGAAATAAGCCAAAACTTGTTGTAATTCCTTTAGCAAAATGTACTTCATAAGGCTTTCTTTTGTAACTACTGTACTGAACCTTTCAAACCTCCAACAGCAATATTTCAAGTGAGGTTTCACATTTTTAGGAGTTCCTTGTGTTAAAATGTGAGTAAAACATTCCTTTTAGTATGTAGTGGAGTCAAAATTTAACTTGAGATTTTTGACACAATAGACACCCACAAATAACAGATGAAGAAGAGCTAAATTGAACATATATATCTTTGAACAGAGAAGACAGTGTTCGATTTTTTAATGGTGGGTTACAGTCTTTCTGAATCATTTCATTCACTCCTCTTTTCCAGTACTTAGTTTTTTTCTTATGATTTATTTTTCAGTCAGCTACAACAAACCACATTGTCATGGTCGGCGTTAGTCACCTGAAACAAACGCTGAAGAATTTTGTCTGGGGTCTGACTCTGGAACTCCTACGAGTGACGGATTTGTTCATTGACCAATGCGAAACTGCCAAGAACTCTCCAGCCCAGAGCCCGACATCAAACGGTAGCAATGCCAGCAAAAAGGGCAAAGGTGACAGCATCCCGATCCTAAAGCCGCTCATTGATACGCTGGAAGAAGGCCGTTACCTCAAGGAGCCAATCCAGATCCCCTCGACAGGACCCTCCAAGGTGGACATTCTCCCAATCCCGAAGCTCCGTAAGGTCCTCTCTCAGATTCTCCCAACCACGGAAATCAAGATTCTCAAAATCCCGTTCAACCAAACTTGGCGGCAAACGCTTGTCTAATGATGTCTCTCCACCTACTTGCTCTGTTTAGTCTGCAGACTGATTATTGAAATTGATGGACAAAGAAGCCACAAGGAGTATGGGACAATCCTATTGGTTGCAATGAGTGGTCATTATAGACTGAAGGGGTAAATGATGGACTAATTGTAGGGACTCTCATGGGTTGCTGTTCGTCAGTCTATTACTTACCTCCTTTGTCCATTGCAACCACCCACTTCCACCAATAGGATTGCCTCATTTACCTTTATGTCTTCTTTGTCTATAGCTGTGACTGTCAATTTCAACAATCAGCCTGCTGGTCCTTGTCCGATTCAGAATGTAGATTGACAAGAAGCTGTGACAAGAAAATTCATTAGAAATTTTTACAAAATTTAGATGGTTCTCTACATTTTCTGCAAGAGAAGAATGTTAGAGCAGTTTAACTGATTGTGAGTCAGCAAAATGAATTTTGCTGCATTTGCAAGTTCCTTATCTTTTATTTATTCTTACCTTTCTCCATGTTTTTCTGAACCTGCATCAGAATGGCAACTCTAGAAAGGTTAAGATGATTTGTTCCGGTTTCTGGCAAGGTTCAACTGGCGTGCAGTATATTGCAAAGCAGGATTCATTTTGGAGAAAATCTTCGCATTCGGTATAGTTGTCAACTTCTGTATTGAATTCAAAGTTTTTTTACGGCAAGAATCCTGCTTCCATCTCTCTGAATTTTGCCAATTTCTTGATTTAGAATGATTGCAGACTCATGCGCAAGAGCTTTCATCCTTTCTTTGGCTTCAAATTCAAAATCTACCAAAATTTTTGACCTTTTTGTTGCGACGTATTGCATGCCAGTTCGACCATGCCAGAAAGCAAGACAAATCACCTTAATGACTGATTTCTTTCACTTGGAATTTTTGATGAAATAGCAATTCACCCTGTAAAGCAAAGCTTGAATTCCAAACAAATATTTCATTGGTAATGTATCAAGTACAATATTTTTTTTTATACATATTTGTTATTGTTTTATAATTACGGCCCTGTAGGTATAGTTATATTTACTACTTTAGTTTCATCTTAGTGTGTGAACACAAGTCAAAATCCTTATCATTCTACTTGAGAAGAGAAATTAAAATTAATACCCCGCGGGCTGATTGTTGAAACTGATAGACAAAGCAATAGACAAAGGAGACAAAAAGGATTTGGAAGGATCCTATTGGTGGAAGCGGGTGGTTGCAATGGACAAAAGACACAGGTAATGGACAAACTCACGGCAACCCACGAGAGACCCGATAGTTAGTCTATCATTTACCCCCCTAGTCTATAAGGACCACCCATTTCAACCAACAGGATCGCTCCATACTCCCGAAGTCTTCTATGTCTATCGCTTTGTCTATCAATTTCAACAATCAGCCTGCCGGTCTTCAATTTCCTCTGAGATATCATAATGTTTGTCTTTCACTTAAATAGTGCAGTTGCTGAAAGCATTGTTTGACAACCAGTTGAAAGAGGAATTGTCTAACAATTTATTGGACAGATTTGAAGGGAGTCATGAATTCCTATATTCACTATCTGAAATTTACTGATACGAAGGTAAATTTTTTCAAGTTCTACTGGATGGATGTTCAATAACATTTTTTTTTGTTTAGACAAGAGTATTTTGGAAAATTCAAAAAATTGAAATTTTCAAAAGTTGTTGATAGAAAAATGTAAGAATTTCATCCAAAGGGTCCTTCAGAGTGATTTTTTTTTTCTCTCTCTCTCTCTCTCGCCTCAAGAATAAGTAGAGAAATCTCTTTCGTTTGTAGTAAGAGAAAGAGATTAGAAAAAAAACCAGGTCTTGAAAATCCAGGTCTTGAAAATCCATCTAGTAGACCCAGGTAAAAATGTACCCTAAGATAAGAAAAAAAAAATGTTCCGAGAAAAACCTGTTCACAGTTATGAATACACATAAGAATGGCATTATGGGGGTACTGGATTGTATTGCTCCATGTGTCACTAAATGTTGCGCAACTGATGAAATAATGATCAGATTTCTAACTAACTTGGCCTTGATTAGAGTTGCCATTGGACTGTAAATCAGGAAAGTCAGGGAATTTCTGACGACCAGAAAAAGTTGGAAAATTTCTGATACATCTCCTAATCTTTAAAACGCATCACTGATCTTCCAAGTTTTTACCCTTTCTGGTTCTTTTTAAGGCTTGTCTTCTTTTAACCAGCTACGGAATGCCTTTTTCCATAATTTGATCTCCAAAGAAGGAAATTTTGTCCCAAGTTCAGCAAAAATCAGTGGTTTTAAAAGTAAGTGGAAATTGAATTTCGAAGTGAGAGTAAGTCAGAGAGAAAATTTTGGAGTCAGGGAATTTGATGATTAAGAAATTATGGCAACCCTGCCTGATTTACAACTGAGAATATGTGTAATTTGATTTTACAAAAGAGCGTAGTGAAATAATTCCATTTGATCAAAAATGACCCCCCTTAGCCTGAATCAACGTAACTGCATTTCACATTGCCTCATCGCCTCTCATGATTTATTTTTTTAATCAGAGAACGGTACAGCTTACCTCTTCTAAGCTCTCAGAGATCTTTCCTTAGATATCAAAAATGTACGCATAAAAGTTCAAGTCAGAGTGATGATTTGTTTTCTGTTTCAAAAATAAAATCCACGAAAAAATTAGGCAAAATACTTCCAGTAGATTCTTTTAAAATTCATCCAACTCCTCTGTCAATCACTCCAGATGGGCCAAACTCAGTCAAGCAATCGGAACATTCATTTTATTTGTAGTTTTAACAAACTGCAAAAATAGCACTAATATCTTAAAAAGTATGTATTAAATTTTGTCGCCATGAGACGGGAAGAGGAGAGGCCCTCTTTCTCAAATTTGCATTGCATTTGTCCAGCTCTCGTCAGTCGAAATTTTGTGACTGAGAGATTTTGTTGTGATAAATTGTTTATTTTGTATGTATTAATTTATTTATTCACTCCTTGGGAGGTGTTTCACTGCTTGGGTTGGTCAAGACATCCCAAAGGGTACAATGCAAGTCTTGGTTCCCAATTGGAACTTGACTGTGCTACAAGCGAAAGTTTCTCAGTGATTTTTAACTACTCTGAATCAAAAAGTTCCTTGCAAAACCATGTATACCTTTTATATTACTGCTATGTCAGTCCATCTGTGTACAGGTTTTACATCAGATCAATTCTACATGCTTAATTAATTTTAAAGCAGAAATTTTAGCAAATTGACGTAGAATATTTGTCGAAAAATTCATGGGCATGATTTCAAAGTTGCTCTCAAGAACAATTCATTAATTTGCACAATTTTAGCAGCATTGCAAAGGGTCTACGTAGTTGCTGAAAAGAACTGCTTGATAATCACTTTCTCATCTACTTTTTGTCATTACTATTCTCTGATGCAGTTCTGAAACTTTTGTATGGAATGAAGTTGATTTATTATTTATTTATGTACAGTATTTTTGTACCTACCTTAAATTTTGCTTAGTCTTAAGTCTTCGGAGTGTTACTTTTATTCCAAGGCGGCTGGATCTTGACACCTCCCTGCAAGAACACTTCATTGGTCGTTATTAATAGTGTACAAATTTTTTGAAAATTGAAACCCGTGATCTAGCCAAAAGCTGTGTTGGCAGTTTTTATCAAGCGTTATGATTAAACTTGTGTACAGTAATAACGTTTTCTCATTTCACTACCACCCTCTATTCATTCTGTTCTCGCCTTATCTTAGTATTTTATTATCAATTATACACTGGTGTGAACTTGTGCGGCACTTAAATGGGAAGTCTTGCCTGTTTTTCTCCTCAGCTGTAATGTTCCTTTTTTTCATAATTCTGGGGCAAGTGTTATTTCTAGTCTCAGGCTCAAATTTTTTCTGAAGCAGTTGGCAGTTAGCATAGCCAGTGCAGCCCCACCCTCCAACTTTAACTAGTAGCATGAGTAATTTTTAAAACTCAAGCTCTTCCCCAATCGAATAGCTTTCTTATTGGGGAAGTAAAACCCACTCTCAAACCCTGAATGCTCTCACTTCTACCAATTTCTGGAAACATACCTGTCCTCATCCTTCTGTCGTCATCCAGTTAGTGATTGTCATTGTTTCATTCGAGGTAATCAAAAACAATCCAATTCAGGCTTTTTAGGAGCCAATTATTATCTACCCTCAATTTCAATTGATTCTCTTGCCCGTTTTATTATTTCAAGATGCTGATGAGAAAACTGTGAGGGTGCCAATGCCGTTTTTCTGAAGAAATGCTTGTATTTAGCATTTCAAAACAATGTCTTATTCCTTGAGAAGAATGAATGCTTCGTCGAGAGGAAAGCTCCACTTCTATAACAAGAACTTCTTCCTTTATAAAGAAGTCAAGGTTAGTGAAACTGGCTGACTTCTGATTTTTGTAGTTATGCCCTAATGAATCACCAATACAACAGTTTGACACAGTATTGTATTGCCTGATCAGTCAGTTTCCAGCAGCAAAGAACTGGTCATTAATAATGTTAAAACTGTGAGCAAACATAAAACAGGAGGCCCCACCCTCATACATGAAGTTTTGAGATTTTAGGGACAAATTTTCCTTCACAAATTGCATTTTACTTCATTTTATCACACATTCTCTTAGTCCTTCCTCAGAGAAACAGCGTAGAGAGAAAAAAGGTGTTGCATCTTGAGGATTGTTCACCCCCTGAAGTAGGTCGGTACTGCAAAGACCGGAATTCGTAGTAAGAAAGACCATTAAGTCCGTTTTTTTGCTTAAATCAATAATCATTATAATTTCAAACACTTTTTATAGAATGACTTTTTTTCATTAACTACACCATTTCCAAGAAAATTGATAATAAAGTTGTCCGTACGGACCTACGTTGTCAAAAAAATCCAAAATGCCCGAAATGCGAACACCTCCGTTTTTTTCTCTATGGAGAAACAGCATCTGTCACTTACAAAAATCAATAAGATAGAAATGAGTGTTCAGTAACCGAATACTACCAAAGCAGAGTTACAATGAATGTCTAACTGAGGTGTTGAAACAAAATTTCAAGCTCTCTGAATGCAGATAGCATTATTTCAAATTATTCAAGGTGACTTTCCTAAATTGTCAGTTCGCATCTCAGTTTTCTACGGCTGGTCCCCCCCCCCCCCCCCCCNCTTTTTTGAGGGTATTGGGAATTATTTTGTTTTGATGCATTCATGAAGATTCAAAAGTATTTTTTCTCCCTTTCTTGAGTATGTTTAACCGTTTTCCTCAAAATCTAGTAAGGGCTTTTCTAAGCTGGCAATATTAATTATGTATTCAAATCTTTCCCTTCTTAACACAAAAAGTGTAACTTATCTACAAAGCTGTGAGAGGTAAATTAATTTTTTTTCTTTTCAATAAAAGTTTAATAATATAGTTTTACTATTCACACTGGATAAATTTTGCTCGTATTCCGAATCCTATCTTCTTTTTTTTGGATAATTTTATCCCTATTAGTCAAATGTCAAGTCCAGATAAATGCTACTTTTTCCTCTCGATGGAACCAAGACCAATCCACACAGGTCAGTCATTGCGCATCTTATTGAAAGCCACTTCCCCGCCCGGCCCTAACTTGGCTGCACTCAATAGTACGTCACAATGGGTGCTCCCATAAGAAATACATTGCAAGCACTCAATAGTACGTCACTGCGCAGTAGAGTACCAAAACTCGTCCACGGGAATGACTGACCTGTGTGGATTGGTCTTGAATGGAACATTGCAAGTGTTTATCAGGGGGAGAGTAGGCTAAAATGTTAATGTTAGTGGCACTGTTAAAGGAAAATTATTAGATGTTAAGTGAATGTTTGAGCTGTCACCGTAATGTAATTCAGTTACGAAAATTAAGCAAATCTGCACCACTGAAGAACAATGACATTTTATCAAATTTCCCAGATAAAAGTCTATTTCTGTGATAACTATATTACGGTGTACGATAAATATGAGTGATTTTCCAAATCAAACTGCTTAGAAATTTCATAGATGACACTCGTACGTCATTCAGACTATCAAGTGAAATTGCATGATAAGTCCAAAGGTATTTTACAATTTACAAGGAAACTTACTAATTGTAAGTATCCTTCGCAAAAGTAAGGAAATACTTACTAATTGTAAGTTTCCTTTTAGCTTGGAAGAGGAAGTTTATAGTGCTTCAGCTTTTCTTCACTTTTTTCAAAATGGAAAACAACATTTTTATAGCATTTGTGACCATATGTCGGCAAAGAGATCCTGTTCCTAGAAAGTAGAAGGTGAGAAACTGACATCACTGTATGAAAGCATACCTACTGCACAAACGCGTAGGCATAACTGTCAAACCAGATAAGTCATAAGTTCACGCTTCAAGAAGAAACAGCTAAAAAGTTTCATCCTGCCAAGCAAATAGTTCAAAATCCTCAAATTTTAATATCTAGCTATGATCATAAGTGATGCGCCGGGTGCAGGAAGGGTGGTGTCTCATAAACTCTGCCAACAGTTTAAATCCATTACATGATCAGAGCAAATCTATATAATTCATTGAAACTCTTGCTGATTGTTTTTTACAATTTTACAATGCTCAGAACGAAAAAATTCATCCAATAATTTCCTCTCTAAAACCTAAATTAGCAGTGGAAATTCTCAAACAGCGTAGCAGAGAAGTGCTCCTCCTGCACCCAACGCCTCAATGAGTCAATTCCAGTAGTCGCAGAATCTTGATTTGATGGTTTACACCTGCAGCATTTCCTTCAGTTGCATCTTGGAATTCAAATCAAAGGAGGACATTTAATCGCCAAAAGGTACGCAATTTATTCAATTTTTATTGATTCTCATAGATCGGTTCTTTTTTTTTTTTACAAATAAATATTAACGCAACTTTTTACAAAAGGAAACTGGCACAAAACAAATCAATCCCTCCCGAAGAATGTGGGCCGATGCGATTTTTTTTCCAACGATTTATTCTGTATTCTTGAGGAGAAAGAAATCACTTCCGGAATTTCATTTTGATGCAGTTTAATTTTAACAGATGACAAGTACTTCATATTAGGTGAAGTACATACTGATCCATCAAAGCAAAGTACTCCGTCCAGGGACCAAGAAAGTGGTTGTCAGTTAAAAATATAAAAGAGTGCCTACTCTCTCATACGGACTGTTCATGTTGGAGCAAATCATTTCACCAGCTTACAAATTCTTAGAAACTTTTTCATGGCTTAATTTAAAAAAAAGGAACAAAATTAACACTAATTGAACCAATGTTTCTGGAGGGGATTGACAGAGTAACAGAGGGTCAGCAATTTGAAGACCATTTATCAAAAGAGGACATAATTGTGCCGTTGTGAAAATGAGCTTGTTGACTTCTGAAAGAGAGGTAAAATTGAGCAAGAACTAGGTGATGTTCAGCTATTACAACTACGAACTCAACTGGACTGTACTGGGAGAGAATGAACATTTTCAAAACCGGGAGGTTTTTGTTATCATTTAAGTTTTACCACAAACTAATGGGATAAAAACTAAAAAGCCTACAAATAATTTCCTTCAGTCAAACTTTAATTTTAATAGTGTTAAATGTTTACAAGAAATTTGAAATTAGAAAAACCTCCACTTTTCCCTGGATATCAACCAATTTCAAGTGTGTTCATCTTCAGTGAGGGCTTACAAGGCCTCAAACGAATTTCTGGGAAAAATTTAGACTTTGAAATTTTGGATCTTGTGAGCAAACGATGATATTGAGAAATGCTTTGAGCAATTTTCTTTTCAGGAAGAAGATAGTAAAATGTGCTTTCGGTAATCATTAAAAATTAAAAGTCCAATCTATTTGATTTAGTGATGTCGTTGTTCATTTTTTAAATTTTACCATGCCTACTAACGAACTCTGGTCTTTTTATTTGGGCAGACATCTGTTCATTTTGTACTGCGCACAGAATTCATGGGTTTTCGGTACTCAGACGTTTAAAATTGAAGCCACCTAGGGGAGAATGTGGGAGATGATGTTAAGCTATCTTGGCTCTGTATCAGATGAGTTAATTTTGGACCATGTGGCATCAATTTCAGTTCAAATTTTTTGTAGATTCTGATTCTCATGGAAGTATGGCATAGTATTAGCAAGAAAATGTATGATCTTTTAACTTTCGCACATACTACGTTATCTGAAAAGCGCCATGAGGAAAATTTTATCTCAATTTTATCGTATTCAGGCCAACACTTTAAAAACAGGCTCATAACTTCTAAACCATTGGTTTTCCTGAGATATGCGGCGTATATAATGGTTTACAAAAAGGTAAGAAAACATACAGGAAATAAAAGAAATACATTTTTGCCCTAATAACCAGATGCCAGATGTTACAGTGATTGAACGTAATTAATTTGTGATTACAAAAAAAAAATTTTGCAAGCTAAAATTGACTGCACTCATGAATTTTAAGAGAAATCTCGAAGTAAACTTTTAAAAACAAGATTTTGAATTTTGTTAGGATGTTACACTGCAAGGAATTAGTTGTATTGTACTTTAAATTGGTCGATATCCAAGAGAGAAGGTTTTATAGTTTTAGACGAATCCCATTGGAGCCAGAAAATTAAAGACACCTATCTCTGAGCAAGGTGGTTACTAATTCTTACATAGATGGTTTACAAACAAAAAATTAAAATGGTGGGACTGCTTCACCGGCAGTTAAATAAATTTTTTATCACAGAATTCCTTTTGGAGGAATTTTTTTCCCAAAATACTTGATGATTTTTGGCTTAACAAAAGAATATATAAGATTTTCCCCTTCATGGTTTATCTCAATTTTCATGTTGTAGACGGCAAGTATGACAGCAGCAAAGAATTGTGTTTGTAAAACTCGACAAGATACCTTAAGGTGTACAAAAGGAACTTGGTAATAAAAAATTACACCATCTCATGGTGATCCATGCATGTACTTAGATCTGGAATTAAGGCACATCGTTGGAACAAAAAATTGCCGTAAGAAGAACTAGGTAATCAGACTTAAGAAATGACAGCAAAGCTGAAAAATATGAAACTCTTCCATCTGATGCGTTTGCCGATGAAATACAACAATTTTACACACTTCTAATTATTAAAAAGCAAGGGAAATTTATCCACAGTTTGAATCTATTTCATCGTGTGAACTAAGTACACAAAATTTGATACATGCAGCCAAAAAATTCCAGTATTTTCACATGTAGTTTAAAAACTTAAGAGGAGGATCTTGATAATGTTTTAAAAAAATTCCTCACCGATATTTTCATTCTAATCTGTCAATATTTTTCTGATGTGTGTGCCTCTTTGTTCCGATTGATAAATACTTTCATCTCACAATTAGTTACATGGAATATTATTTTGAAACTAAAAAAACTAGAACAACACACAAAAAGTCTCATTTTTTCCCCCCGTAATAAAAAGCAACTTAAAAATGGATGAAAATGAAACAAACCGATGGGCATTGCTTAGGTAACAAAACTACACAAATCCAAAGTAAATACAACTTTATGCACTTGTATACAAAATTTAAAACAAGTGGCTGATTTCACAAGATGCACTAGGAGAGAAAACATAGTACTGTTGATTCATCAAAGTTATTACTTTTCCTCTTTTAAAATTACATATTGTTTTATTTTTTTTAGCTGATTATCAAGAGACTATCATGCAATCAAACCATTTATCTTGTTGGTAGCACTTCTCTCTCTTTGATATCAGACAATATTCTTTCACAGGGATCATCAAAAATCAACTGCAAAAGTTACTAGCATTACCCAGGAAAAGAGGATTGATCGTTAAAAGCTCCGTAAGATTCTAAATACTAATAACTTCTGTGCAGCCCACAAACAAATGTAAATTTTTATCTGAGGAATAACAATCTTCCCTGAAATTGGAGAGAGATCTCAAGGAAGAATTAACAACAGGAAACGGAAGATCTGAACAAACACAGAACAAAAAAAACGACTAGTAAGCGCCCCTTCCTCTACCCCGACCACGGCCTCTACTGTGGGGTCCACCGCGAGAGTTGAATCCACCTCGTCCAGCATCTCCCTCTCTATTTTCCGAATAACCTTTGGTTTCTTGATAGTACTGCCTAGGGTCTTGGAAGTTATTCCTCTCTTGGTAAACAGCCGCGTCTCCGTAGTTACTGTACTGGTAGCCAGTCTGATGGTTAGGAGCAAAGTTTTGGTAATTGTTTTGAGCGCCTCTGTTGTCCTGATAGGCGCCCCTACTATTCTGGTACGTCCCTCGGTTGCTAGTTGAGTTCTGGAAGGGTTGAGGGGCACCTCGATTGCTCTGCCCACCGCGACTGTCGTGATAGCCTCCTCGGTTATCTTGATAATTACTTCGATTGTCTTGATAGCCCCTGTTATCTTGGTAAGCTCTAGTTTCTTGGTAGCCTCTGTTGTCTCTGTAGTTTCTATTGTCCTGATAGCCGCGACTGTCTTGATAACTCCGTCCGTCTTGATATCCACCCCTGTGATCTTGGTAACCCCCTCGGTTGTTTTGATAACCACCTCTTTGGTCTTGGTAGCCACCTCGGTTGTCTTGATAGCCTATCCTGTTGTCTTGGAAGTTTCCTGGACCCTTGTCCTGGTATGCTGGTTTATCTGTATGATAGGTGCTCCTCGACTCTTGGTTCATTTGATTTCCAGCCGGGCGACTGTTCTGGTAGTTATCTCCTGTTTGCCTTTGACCGCCTCCAGAATTCCAACCGGCTTGAACCCTATTACTGCCACCACCCGTTGATGCAGTTCCTCCAACTGAAAAAACAAACAAAATTGCTAAACCAAGCTCTAACTCTGAGCGGACAAAAAATACAAAGCAGGAACAGAACTCATTGGAAAAAGATCTTCATTTGAAGGCACTGTTCATGCAAAAGGAAAGTCGATTTTTCAAAAACTTATTTTATTACGTCATTTTCAGACTGTCTTTATATGTTTACAAACACTGTCTGTAAGTACATTTAACTGGACATATAATGCAACAACATTTACATTGTAAATATTTTTGTTCTTACTGATTTTCTCCCTTCTACAAACAATGCGATGATCTGATCAGCAGACTTGTAACAACATTTTGATGGAACATGACATGTGGAATGCCATGATACTGGTGAACGAAGGTTTGCTGGACACTTTTTCTATGAGCCTCCTCCCTTCAAAAACACAAGAACAACGTCTGCCAGCTAAGTTATTTCTTTCACCATGATTCTCACACAATCTTGAATTGGAGAATTTTTCTATGGATAATCTAAGTAACTTTATGCTTTTTAACCAATGCAGTATAGCTAACAACTCAAAAATTTCCACAGCAAATTCCGTGGTTAAGCTCCTATTCACAAACTAGCACTTCCAAACTGTAATGCAAACGGAGCTGAAAAATACAGACACTAGAGGGCAATTTGTTCTAAATACGGTTTTAGATTGATGACTTTGTAAACAAAAATCTTCATTATTGCAGAAAAGAAGCAACAACAATCTGTATCTCCCTGTTAAATATGGAATCTTCAAAGCCTTGAGATAAAATTTCATGCAAGTTTCACAAGCATTCTGTTACCTGAGCTTGGACCAGGAGCAGAAGATCTTTGTTGCCAGCTTGGCATTTCTGGCGGTGGTGGTTGCTGCTCATGTGGGCGCCCACCTCGGTCTGGAACCTGATACACATGAAAATAGAATCAATGAAAAAAATCTGTTTATTCTATTCCACAAATTTACGAAACATTATTACAACATTAATATGGACAATACAATGCAAAACAAGATGACATCAAGGTAGGAGACAAAATAATGGAAAATCAGAAGACACATCAACTGCGGAGTCGAATGACAAAAAAATAATACATCAAGGATGGGCATTAGCTTTTTGCTGTGCTGTTCAAAGGAGGCAATGGACAAATGGAGAAAATCAACACTGAAAGAAAATTCATTATCAATCCCACAAACACAGGACATACAGTGAAATCCCGCTAAGTCGAAATTCGCTCAGGACGAAGTCCCGCTTAACACAAGTTTTTTTCGGCCTCTAGACACTTCCATAAGTGGCAATAGCATCGGGAGGATTTCAGATCAAGTGAAAAACTAATTAAGTTGAAGAAAAATTTCTAAAAAAATGACTTAAAATTTCAGCATAAGTATGAAACTATTGCATGCAATAGGGATTTGCGATTTAAAAGCTTTTCTTTGTATGAAAGTTTGAGAGAGACCTAATAGTACCACTGGTTTTCTCTGAAATAGACTATCAAGCTAAAAAACAGCACTCAAAGTTAAGGCCACAATAGTGGAGACCGCCTATGTTATGGTGAGAGTCCACCTCTATATCGAATCAAACTCTCCAAGCACAGATTGGAACAAATACATTGGCAGGGTTGCGGAGGCTCCAGCCCTGGAGTACTCACACGAAGTAGCAACCCTGCTAATGCATTTGCTCCCTATCTGTGTATGATGAGTTCCGCTGGATGTGGGGGGTGAAGACTCACCATAACATTCCGTTATCGCCTACATTTTGAAAGCATTTTTGGAGCTTTGGAGTTCGTTTCAGGAGAAACCAGGGGCATCATTGTGTTTTTTACAAAATATAATGGAGAATAAAATACTTGAATCATAAATGGATTGCATTATGCAAAAAGGAACCACTAGCATTGCAATGTTGCTAAGACTGTGCAACTTCTTTTGTCTTGGAGGAAAAACCCGATTATCCATTATAGTTTCTATTTTACTCGCTAAAAACTGTGAATTTAAGACAAAAATTACCATCTAAATTTCATAGTTTTTCACGATTTCCGCAATTTTATTGCAAAGGATGAAGTTGCACAATCTTAGCATCATTGCAATGCTAGTGGTTCCTTTTGGCAAAATGCAATCCAAATCACCATGACATGCAATAACTCCATAAAAGAGTAAAACCACAAACTGAAAATTCTTAAAACATTTTGCTTTTTGTCAGATACAGAGCCTTAGATATAGCATAGTGAATATGTGCTTTGAAAGTTAGTTTATGATCGAAAAAAATTCAAGGATCAGAAATTTTATTCCTCACCGCAACAAAATGACTATCAATTTTAATTTCCATACCATTTTTGGAACCTCCAGAATAAATGTTTTAATTCTTTTCGTCAAGCTTAACATCAAAATCAATTTTTGTCATCGATTAAATTCCTATAATCACTACAGGAATGCGATAAAATTTGATCATCCATTGGAGATGAGACCTCCATTCATAAATAATCAAAATTTAATGACCGAAACCAGACCTTAGCAGAAAGTTCTGTGAAAATTTGGGACAAAAAACGTCCAAAAATACCAGACTATCTGAGTGGGAGTTAACTACAGTTGGAAGTTAGAGAATCTAGAATCATAGTTTTGAAAAAAACGCTTCATCAAAGATGCGTTCTCTGGAGGCATCAGGTCAACTGTTGGTTACCCGATGAGTACCGTTGGGATTTTGACAATTGTTCTTGAAGACTTGCTGACTTCTCGCTAATTGCCCGATTACTGTCATCGCGGGTTATCGGCCAACGCAATCGCCCAGCACCTTTCAAAGGTGTTGGGCAAGGCCGCTGAGCGTTGAGATAACCTCAATGTCTGCTTGAGCCACCATGATAGTCACATGACGAAAGTTGGTCACGGGGCAATTCATGAAAAATCAACAACATTTTTTCTCTGATGCCTCCAGAGACCACATCTCAAATTCGAATCTACCATGTTCAGGGCTAGAAATTGCTGGATACTACTGAAATTTCACTCCCTAAATTGGCATGAAAGATGATTAAACTGCTGGAAACTTATTCTTTGCTAAACAACAGTGAGTTTTCGAGTGAGCCAAGTTTTTCTCCTCGCATGATAGAATAATTCTGATGAAAAATTTGTCTCGTGGATTAAGGCCTCTCTTCCCTTAGAAGATTACAAATTAGAACAAAAGATGAAGATGATAATGGTGATAAGACCCATAATAAGACAATAATTCTGCCGTGCTAAGGAAGAACACCACATGAACTTTCGAGAGTTGTCAAATTTCCCCAGGCAAAACATGTATTTTTGACGAAATTCATGCATATTTTTCCTTGAAATTTTCAGATATTTTAGATTAAATTGCAAACAAAATAGTCTGAAAAATTGGAAGGCAAATATTTACAATTCCTCAATAAATTCGTATTACATCAGAGGAAAATTGGCAACGCTTGAAGGTTGATACGGCGTTTTTCCTTAGTATGGCAGAATTAGATTGAGCTGAACAAACATGCACAAAAATAAAAGATTCAAAAACGATTGAAGCAAATTATCATCCAACTAACAGGTGTTTCAATGATTCTGATGTGTACTCAATATATATTTGTTCGCTTTAAAAATCAGGCATAATAATAAAAAGTACTTTTAATGAAATAATCCAAAGAGAGATTGACTACAGATTTGACCTTTTTTTGCATGGAAGTATGTTCAAAACTAAACGATCAGCAGCCAAACTTAATCTTCAGCGAAACTAAAAAACATGGATAGGTCTTTTTTTCTATGATCATTTAATCCTTCTCCCACTGATGAATGAAAAGGTGAATTCTTACCTGGCCGATGACTACTTTGTTGATTGAGGACTGAGTGTTGCGGCGCACACTGGCGCTGGATGTTTTCTCAATTATAGTCAAGTCATCTCTGGCGGCTAGTACATCAGCAATACTGATGTTCGGCTCTAATGTTAAGGCTTGCCGTTTTGGCGTGTAAGACTGAGTGATGACCTGTGCTTTGCTCTTCAATTTGTCTGACCACTAAACCAAAATTCAAAATTGAAAAATACTATCAAGGTTGTGAGGTTTGACATGACGATAGACAGGGGAGCAAAAAGTTTCAGAATAAAGACTGTTCTTTGCAATCTGGCAATTTTGCCTGACAGCAAAAGAGGAAAAATGCCCAATATGCCACATTCTTCAAAGAAAATACGATTTTCTGAAAATTGCTAAACATTCCAAGATTAATCTCATGTTTGCTGCTATCAACGGATCGCAAGATCAGGCATATTTCATGCTCATGACCCTCAGAAGTGATTTTTCAAGTTATCGATACTGCTTCTAGAAGAGACAGATAGTAAAATGATGGCAAAACAAGAAAAACACATGAGTCAATTTGAGACAGTAGAAAGATCAACCATTTTCTATTCATAGATCAATAAGAACAAAGGGACACACTTAGTTCAAAATGTTTGAGTTTAGGCTGTAAGACACCATTAGGTTGATGTAACTTTCTTGTAAAGAAACCTTGTGAAAGCTATTTTTTACTATGACTAAACTTCAATATATACGTCTTATTTTAAGGCTGAGATTTTGAATAATACTTGTGCCATTGAGAAGACCATTCTGAACTACTGAATGAAAGCAGTCACAGGAGGACCTACCTCAAATGATAGTACGGTGACATCCAATCGTTTCAACAACATTTCTCTTCTGATTGTGTAATCGGTGTGAAGTTCAGTCTGTATTTTTGCGAGACGAAACCACTGCTTGTCAGTGAGTACGCCAGTGAATAGTGGTTTGCGGAGGAGATCATCAGGCACTTTACTTAAAACTTCCTTCAACTGAAATAGAAAGGACAAACAGAAATCAATTACTACTATTCGCAAAGATCTATGTATTCCAAGTTTAATTAAAAGCACAAGTGTGCGACAAATTATTGAAAGTGACCAGTTCTTTTTCCTTTTCTTTTTTTGTTTGTTTGTAAGAAAGTGAATTTTCTAGGAGTATGAGATACGTCTAGTCGGTTAAAAAGCATAATTTCAGTTTTTGACGGAAAATTCCCGAACGTCAAATGGACCGCATTTAGCAGAAGGGAATTAAGCCACATCAGCTATTGCCAAATTTAATGGGAAATTTAATTTTTACAAGAGAACTTTCGAGGGATTCCTTTGAATATTTCAAGGAATTTACTTCATACTATGCAGAATATTCATTAAAATTTGGACAAAAATCTGCATAACCGTTCTCATGAAAAAAGTTAAATTGCCCGATTAAATTTGGCAAAAGCTGATGTGGTTTGGTTTCTTTCTGCTAAACGCAGTCCAAACGTGTCTACTGTCATGATGTTGAAGAGTATATTGCAGACAATTTACTTCAATTTTATGCCAGCGATGAACAAAACATTGGATGTGAACCTGAAAATTTTACACTTGAGATATTATCACTTCTCAAAACTATTCTTTTTGCACTACTAACTTTTAACAGTTAAGGCTTGGATTAATTTTGACATTTAGGGGGTTTTATATACAAGCATTTTCATGAAATACTTCCCTGCGTAATAGTTTTACTGACTCAATTTTGAAATTTGCAGATCTGAGACTGCTTTTTCCAAGACTGCTTTTTCCAAGAACGGTCAAAAATTAATGAATGAGGGCATTATTTTCTGAGAGAGTTCTCATGACATGCAGTATCTCTAACATTGCACACCTTTATGCCACTTCTGCACTGATATAAAAACTTTTTTTCATGATATTCTTTCAATTTGTGTTCATTATTCTGGATAATGTAGTGATTGTACCTTAAAAGTATTACAATTGTTGTGGCTAAATTTGACAAGAATGGTTTACCTTTGCTTGCACTTTTCCAAACAGCACTTCTGGTGTTATGTTGTCCGGTGGCTTGGCGAATTTCAATGTTATTAGCATGTTCTTTAAATCAGCCGCAACGCTACTTTCTTGCTGTAAAAACGAGCGAATATGTAGTGAGTCAGTTGAGCTCAGGAGGAATTTGCCTACAAATAGTTGATTACCACAGTGTTTAGCACAAGAAAAATAATGAGTGCAGAATAATCACGGTTTATGTTTGTTTAAATTAAATTAATTTAAAATTTCCCTTACATGAAAAATCAAAACAAGTAAAACTATCTATTGATTATCAACTTGTCATTAGGAAGAAATTATAAGATGAATATCACAGAAATGTCCTTCTTTCTTTGATATTTTCATCCTGAAAGATTCAGCAAACTGAAAGAGGGATTTCACCATAAAGAATACTGCAATTAGTTTTGTGCTTGATAAGATTCAAGAAGACTTGGGTTTCTTCCGCGAGAGGAAGGTTTGACTTTACAATAACTGTAAATGTTAATTTCTCACATGTGTAAGTGAGTACATGATCACATTTTTAGAAATGTCCACCATGTAGGTATTGACAAAGATTTTGTGAGAAAACATGAATTTAGTGCTTAAAATTGGACACTAGTCCATAACTTTCTTATGGGTCATGTAATAATAAAATTAGGAACCTCTAATTCATGCTTGCATTCTTCAACAGTAAATAATTGTTTGATATGTAAACATTTAAAATTATGCTTTAAGCTCCATCAGTTCCTTTTTTTCTCAAAAAGTTTATCAAAATGGTCCATAGAAATTTTTTGCCAGAAAGTGTTGCTTATGATAGGACCATATTAGCAGGCAGATTACTGAAAGTTTAAAGGAGCCTGATAAGAGATTGACAAAGTGCAATATATTGCATGGTCAAGGTGGGGCTATGTTTTGTCTTGTCGTCCTAACATGGTTTCAATAATAGGGCCGCTGATCAATTTTAAGAGGAGGGTGATTAGAGAAAGGAGGGAGACTTACCAAGTGAATAGACATAGTTTTTGATTCCTCAGGGCAGTGTGCTCGCATCATTCTTGCAGCCTCAACCTCCGAGATCAAATAATCAAGGAGAAGCAACCGTGAATCACGCGAGTTGAGACGATCATTGATGTGGCCCTCTGTCAGCGACTTGTAATTGCAACCTGAAATGCAACACTTTGTTTACTTGTGTAATATTAAGTGACGATCAAATATAAGAAAAAGCTTTCCATCAACCTTTACTATTTCATGTTTTTAAAACCGTTCTGTGTTTTTCCAAAGAAAAATTATTACACTGAAGTTTCTTGCCAAAAATGAAATCTGGAGAAACTCAAGTTCCACTTCTGTACTCTCTGAGAAAATTCTCCATGAATTCTCTGGATGTAATGGATGATTGACCCTGTTAAAAAGTCTTTTTTGATGACTACAGCTTATGCATTAAATAAAAAAAATAAGATTCGTTGAGGAAAATTTTGTTGACAAACACAACTGATCCATTCTGCTGCAGAGAAAAATCATACAACTCAGAAATTTGAGGACAAATCATTACTTTATTGTAGTGATAATTAATGCAAAATCAGCGATGTTTTTAAAATATTTTACAAGATCAAAGTAAATGCTTTATTTAAAATTCATGTTACAAGATAGCTTTTTTTAGAGAGAAGTGAATACTTCTGGAAGTAGAAAAGGCTGCAACATTTTTTTAAAGAAAAAAAACTAGTCCTCTAAGATCCCTGACTCTTCACTTCTTGCAACCATGAGCTCAGATTTGTTGATAAAAAACTTATGTCCACCCCCCAGTGAAAAAGGTTCAAACTTTGAATGGCCTTTTAATTACATGATGAGAAGGTTCAAAGGTATTATTTGGATTATTAATTATACAAAAATACATCATCCACTTTGAGTGCCTTCATCAGATGTGGTAAGTATTTTTCCGACAGATACAAGAATCATTCCATTCTTAAACTGGGGTTTTCCAAATCTGCATTGTCAAAGGAATACAAAAAATGCCTGATGTTGCAGCAGACTTGATGCAGATTATCTGTCAAGAGGCAATTTTCAAAAGCAACAACCTTTTTTTTCTTTTTCTTTCTTTTCTTATTTTCTAAAGTTAATTAATATTGTTATTCTTCTGTATTACTTGCAGACGTAGAAGTATACAAGTATATTTGCTCAGGACCATTAACTTAAAAAACTAATTAAATTTGTTTAAAAAGTGTCACTATTTGTTCTTCTATACTCTCCTTTCCATATGATATGTTTATTGCAATAAATTAAAATCGCCCTCTTGGTGATATACTCTTGGCAAATCTCCTACTTAAGACTGTCTATCAGACAAATATGATCTGATTAACTAGTGCTTATCATTTGAATTACTTCAATTGAATTTTGCCTTTTTCTCTAAAAATTTGACAAGGTGCACATTATTGAGACAAGTTCCAGGGGTGCACAAAACTTCTTGACCACACAACCAGGCGGGTCATGAAGGTTACATGCAAAAATGGGAGGACCTCCAAAACAGATTTTGAAAACTGAGAGGGCTGGCAAATTTGTGTTTTTTTTTTTTCTTCTTTTTTTTGGAAACACAGCTGTAAAAATCACAAGTTTTTATGCAAAATTACAGCAATTTATACGAACAGAGCCATTAAAAGGGTATCACTTTAAATTACTGAAGAAACAAGGGTTTTCAAATGGGGAGACTAATTAAAAAAAGGGGAAAGTCAAGAACTTTTTCCATTCCTGATAAGTTTCAAGAAATTTAAAAAAGAGAAATAATGGTATTGCATTTTTATTTGTTTGAACAAACCAATTTCTTTGAGAAATCCACTAAGCTCAAGCATAAATGCGCTTGAGTCATCCGGCGAAGCAATGGCATTGACATGATCATCTAGAGCACAAAGTGACCCCAGCTCCTTTGACAACCACTCAACCAGCTGCGTATACTTGACTGACTTGGGACCATCACTCAAGATGTCGTTCACATAATTTGTGTCCACATTAGTAAATCTGGTAAAAATAAATTCATATGAAAGACATGAGCAGAAGTAGATAAAACTAATTATTTTAAGGGATAAACATTTATTTTACGATAATGAGAATCTGCTCAAAAAAAGCCATTATCATCTCTTCAAGAGGGAACCTAAGAATATGAAGATGAGACCTTCAAATGAGATGAGCCTCTAGTTAGAGTTTAGACTTGAGTTCAAAGCTGGTTTTAATGCTGTAACAATTTAAAGTAAACCATATTCAACAATTTTTCATACTTTGGACGTATGCAGAGAATTAATTTACTAACACTACTATTCCCTCGCCCCGCTAATCTTCAGCAATCAGTAGGAAGTCCACTTCGAGATAAGCATTAAAATGTTTCTACTACGTTGACCTCAAATTTCTACCCTACAACTTGGTGCCTTGCAGGCCTTGCTTACACAGTACACTTACTTTAGTTACTTGCAATGCAGCATCTTACTGCACCAGAGATTCTATCACAATGAAAGTAACTTCTTCCACCAGTTCAATTCTAAAATTTCTGGCTCCTGATCTTAACATTCCATATAAGATAATAAACGTGTTGGTGACAACATCAAGTGCTGGCACCTGACAACATTTTGAATTTTGAGACAGTATCAGGCATCAGTGACTGACAGTTCAATATCAAACTGTAGATTGATAAATCTATTCATCTACAGGTTGAAATCTCACAGTTCCACGAAGAGTCTCAGAAACATTTTTAGAGAGTACTAGTTTCAATGTAAAGTGATTTTGGACCTCAGCTCTAAAGTGAGAGATAGTTTTACTTGGGAACATTGTCAGGTACTTGCGCGTAATGATACAGCTGGTTCACTTTCATTTCCGCCTAGTTTCATTAGTATTTCATTTCAGTTAAAAGAACCTTTGTTGTCAGAGTGTTAGTTATGGTAAATCAACACAGATTGATTCTGAACTAGATTCATTGACACTTAAATATACAGCTAATTATGTGCTTCACTCTTCACAGATAGGACACAGTTAATTAATATTAGAAAATTATCAAGTTTTCGATTGAAGTGCTCAAATATTATCACTGTGCCCAGACAGTGCATTCACCTACTTCTACCATAATTTTGTTTCCATTCTCTGATATTTTGACTTCGATATTTGGTCATTTACCCTTGAGTTAAGTAGATTACAACTTTATATCAATCACAACATACCTATCAACCAAATTGACAGAAAACTTGCATGGACCCTCTTGAAAAACATTTGTTGATTTTGTTTGTTACACATCAAAATAATACCAGATTCATACCACACTATTCATTGCACAGGCATAGAATACTATCAAAACATGAAATACCTAATGATGATAAGATAAGGAACTTCTTTCTCCGAGACTTGATGGGCAAAAACCCACTAATCTCTCCTAAAAACACTTTCTCACTATTCATGAAAAGTACTCATAGATACCTTCCAAATAGCTCTGGATGCCTTTTCCCTCAGCAAGCATATTGAAAAGGATAATATTATCATTCAGTCCTTCAGAAAATTCATCTCTTCCAATGCAAGATCTGAGCCTCGGAAGAAACAAATCATTATTGGATCTCACAGGAGTGGTCATCTCGAATGAACGTCATGTTCGTGATAAGGATTGCTGACATGTTAGTGCTTTGTTGTTGCGGCACGGAAGCATTTAACTCAAAGAGCGATTTGATGGTGAATTAATAGGACAGAGGAGGGAGCTTAGGTGACAAATATAAGCGAGAAATCAACCCTGCCAACGAGTCATGAACTGATGGAAGTGAGGTTAAACTTCGTTTACACAGACTCATGAAAGTGTATGGTAGTTCATTATTAGGCTCGATATTCCTTTAAATTTGAGAGGGTATGATATGCGGTAGTGAAACTTACCCAATTTGCGTTAGAGCGTCTATTATGTTGTTCATTTGGCACGTGTATCGGCTAAAATCCACGCGAAAATTGATAAGCAGCCGGGACCGACCAAACCAAAACAAGAAAATTTGATTACGGTGGAGGCGAGGGGCAGGGGCAGGCAATGAAAGTGGGGAGGTGAAGAGAAAAAAGTGGAAGGGTAGGGTGGGGTTCACTGACACTGCAAGGGGGAGAGAGGGGGAAAGTTCAGGATTTTAGTTCTCAGCGTCGACTTCATTCGAAATGTTTTTGTTCGAAATTCACTGACACTTTTTAACTCCTTCGCCCAGAGATTTTAGTACAATTTCAAAATTAAAAGACGAAACACTCAAAATTATTTTAATGGGAAACAGGGCCAAGACAATAAAAAGCGGGAAAATTCATTCGAAATTCAGGCTTCCTCAGATTGCAGAATGAGCATACCCTACAGTTTCGATTGAAAAAGTACGAGAAAAGGAAAAAACTATCAACTATTTTACATTATTTTTAGCTCAAAATACTGCAAAGTATATTAACATAATGTCATACATGAGAATACATTGAATCTCCAAATATTTCGGGTTGACCTAACCCGGGCCGGAAGATTTTGGGATGTTGACGTTGGTACTACACTATTATGCCTGCTTCAGCCAATATGGCGACTGAAGTTTTCGCATTTCCCTCCGCATGAAAAGACCTTTCTTCTCTTGTGTTTACAAGTCACAGTGATTTTATTGTGAATTTCTCAACACTTACGTTTTCTCTGAAGTGCGATACCTTATAATTTTATATCAAAGACTAATTTTTAATTACCTGACGAAACATCATCCATTTTTATTGTAGTGTTGTAATCCATCGGAACTTATCCGGTATTTTTGAGTGCGTGCAAGGTATCTTTTGTCAAAATGGTTAAAACGGGGTCTGAAAACCGGTCAGACGACGGTTCCGATGGTGAAGAATTGTCGAACGAATCATCCTCTATGGAAGCTCCGCCCGCTCCGAAAAGTCTTAAAGCAGAATTCGATAAACCTGGAGTTGACCAGAGTAAGCGCTTTGAATTCTTACTAAAACAGACCGAAATTTTCTCTCACTTCATGACGAACAGCAACAAGGATAAAACTTCCCCAACAACCACTGGAAAACCCAAAGGTAGGCCTCGGAAAGAACAACCCAAATCCTCCGATTCACCCTCTAAAGATTCTGCTGATCATCGTCACCGGAAAACAGAGCAAGAGGAAGATGAAGAACTACTGGCTGAGAGTAACGCAGCCACAAAGACCATAACCATGTTTGACTCCTCACCATTCTACATTAAAAATGGTGAATTACGAGATTACCAAGTTCGTGGTCTAAACTGGATGATTTCTCTCTTTGAAAATGGCATTAACGGTATTCTTGCCGATGAGATGGGTCTAGGTAAAACCCTTCAAACCATCTCGCTACTTGGTTACATGAAGAACTTCCGCAACATCTCTGGCCCTCATATGGTCATTGTCCCTAAGTCAACCTTGATGAACTGGATGAATGAATTCAAAAAGTGGTGTCCCTCGCTGAAAGCAGTTTGTTTAATTGGAGACCAAGAAGCTCGTAATAATTTCATCAGAGACGTTTTAATGCCTGGAGACTGGGACGTTTGTGTAACTTCTTATGAAATGATCATTCGGGAGAAAAGCACCTTGAAGAAATTTAATTGGCGTTACATGGTCATTGACGAAGCTCACCGTATTAAAAACGAGAAATCCAAGTTATCAGAAATTGTTCGAGAATTCAAGACAACCAACAGATTGCTGCTAACTGGAACTCCATTACAAAACAACCTTCATGAGTTATGGTCTCTGTTGAATTTCTTGCTACCTGATGTCTTTAATTCATCAGATGATTTTGATGCATGGTTCAATACGAATACTTGTCTTGGTGACAATGCACTTGTTGAAAGATTGCATGCAGTTTTAAGACCTTTCTTGTTGCGTCGTCTCAAGTCTGAAGTGGAAAAGCGATTGAAACCCAAAAAAGAATTAAAGGTGTATGTTGGCTTAAGTAAAATGCAAAGAGAGTGGTATACTAAAGTCCTGATGAAAGATATTGACATTGTGAATGGTGCTGGAAAAATTGAGAAAATGCGGCTTCAAAACATCCTGATGCAACTGCGAAAGTGCTGTAACCACCCGTATCTTTTTGATGGCGCTGAACCTGGTCCACCATATACAACAGATGAGCACTTGGTATTTAACTGTGGCAAAATGGTCATTCTTGATAAGCTGCTGCCGAAATTACAAGAACAAGACTCAAGGGTGCTAATTTTTAGTCAAATGACGCGTATGATTGACATCCTTGAAGATTTCTGCCACTGGCGTGGATACAAGTATTGCAGGTTAGATGGTCAAACTCCCCATGAAGATCGACAGCGGCAGATCAATGAATTTAATGCCCCAAACAGCGACAAATTCATTTTCATGTTGTCAACTCGCGCTGGTGGTCTTGGTATCAACTTGGCAACTGCAGATGTAGTTATCATTTATGATTCTGACTGGAATCCTCAAATGGACTTGCAGGCCATGGACCGAGCTCATCGTATAGGTCAGAAAAAACAAGTGCGAGTTTTCCGACTAATCACCGAAAATACTGTTGAGGAAAAAATTGTTGAAAGAGCAGAAGTCAAATTACGTCTGGACAAGCTGGTCATTCAACAAGGTCGCTTAGTCGACAACAAGGCTGCTCTCCAAAAAGACGAAATGCTCAACATGATTCGGCATGGTGCCAATCATGTCTTTGCTTCAAAAGACTCAGAAATTACAGATGAAGATATTGATACAATTCTTGAGAAAGGTGAGGCTAAGACTGAAGAGATGAAGCAGAAGCTAGAAACGCTCGGGGAATCCTCTCTTCGAAATTTCACCCTCGATGCTCCCACTGAATCTGTTTATCAGTTTGAAGGGGAAGACTACCGTGAAAAGCAAAAACTCACTGGGATTGGAAATTGGATTGAGCCTCCTAAGAGAGAGAGGAAAGCAAACTATGCTGTCGATGCATATTTCCGTGAAGCGCTCCGAGTTTCAGAACCGAAAGCACCAAAAGCTCCAAGACCTCCAAAACAACCAATTGTCCAAGATTTCCAGTTCTTTCCAATGCGTCTATTTGAGCTGTTAGATCAAGAAATCTACTATTTCCGCAAGTCAGTGGGCTACCGGGTACCCAAGAACCCAGAGTTGGGTGTAGATGCAAACAAAATACAGAAAGAAGAGCAGAAGAAGATTGACGAGGCACAACCACTGACTGAAGAAGAACTGTTGGAAAAAGAAGATCTTCTGACGCAAGGATTTACCAACTGGACGAAGCGTGATTTCAACCAATTTATAAAAGCTAATGAAAAATTCGGTAGAGACGATATTCACAACATTTGCAAGGAAGTCGAAGGCAAAACCCCCGAAGAAGTTATAGAGTATAGCAGTGTATTTTGGGAACGCTGTCAGGAATTACAAGATATTGAACGAATAATGGCTCAAATAGAACGTGGTGAAGCAAAAATCCAACGCCGTGCCAGTATAAAGCGAGCCTTAGATGCTAAAATGGAGAGGTATCAAGCGCCATTCCACCAGCTGAGAATATCCTACGGCACAAACAAAGGCAAAAACTACACCGAAGAAGAAGATCGGTTTTTGGTTTGTATGTTGCATCGACTTGGATTCGACAAGGAGAATGTGTATGAAGAACTCCGATCTGCAACAAGGTTTGCCCCTCAGTTCCGCTTTGACTGGTTCATCAAGAGCAGAACTGCGATGGAATTGCAGCGACGATGTAACACATTAATCACACTCATTGAGCGAGAAAATCAAGAACTAGAGGAGAAAGAGAAAGCAGCTGACAAAACAAAGAACAAGCGAGGGCCTCGTGCTGGCCAAGGCAAACGGAAAAGCGAAGCTAACGCTGTGGCCGATTCGAAACCAACCTCAGCTAAAAAGAAGAAAAAGAACTAAAAATCCTCGAGTCAGGTGTTTCTTCTCAATTTCTCGGTGTACAGTCCTGAACTTGAAAATTTTGAGCTGTTTTAATTTTGTCCAGACAGAAATTTCAGTTTGTATAAAGCACACTATTTGCTTTAAATAAGAATCCTCCTCCTTTCATCTTAATTTCTGATAAACTTATGAATTTGTAAATAGTCATTTGATATCTCTAAAGAAACAACTAAGTAAAGTGAGGATAATATTCTCAGCTGCATATTTCATGTGAGAAAAAGGGCATAACTGAGAATATATCTGATAGACTCATCTTGGCATCAATGGTATGCCCTCCTTACATTGATGAATCAGTTTCTATCAAGGTGGCCAATCAAAATGATTCGGTCTCTTTTTCCTGTACCTGTGATTACTTAGAATGTAGGTATTTTAAGCTTTATGTCAATCTGTATTATTTAGCCTTGAGATGCGTCGTCCTAAAAGGGTTGAAATATGCTGTTGTTTGTTTTTTTCAATTGAAATTCTTCATGTGTGCAAAATATTTTATTATGTGTACAAAGTTTTTCATAAAAAGCCTCACAGTATTTTAGTAAGAATTTGAAATAAAACAGCTCAGAATTAATTCGTTAATCATTCCTTTCAATGACAAATTTCTTTTGGCTGATATTTTTACTTTTATTTAATCTGATCTTGCGTCAGTAACGACCCTCGTAAATTTTCAATCTTTCAAGACTTTTCCTGTAACATCGTCTATGCTTTCATTCACCTGTTCTCTGTAAGTAGATGATACTTGAGGGGCTTGAAGGACAAGTGGGCTAAGTGCAGTTTTTGGGGAAAAAATTGAGATATCAATTACCTATTTCAATTTAAACTAGTCTTAAATTAGGCTCTAAGAAAGTTTCAGCACTTGAATCAAATTTTTAAGCATCGAAACGTGAGTTTAAACTTTCTTACCGCTAAAAGGATCTATGTAATTCTGAAACTTATTACACGTATGTATTTCTTGAAATATCTAAAACTGCACTTTTTCCACTTGTCCTCCAAGCCCCAAGAGCATGTTCATGCTCCCAAAGCTCTCTTTTATTGCTTTAAAAATGAAATTTCAAAAACTATCTGTTCCGTCTTTTCAATTCTTTGGATTCGCCGAAGAACTGCCCCTCTTCTCTTGGCATCGATCAAGAACTCACAAGCCCCTTACAATTGTCTCAACATCCTTCTCTTTGTTTTTCATTAGATGATTCTGTACATAGTGTGTCAATCTGGTTTTTAATTTATTAACAGCATATTTTTATGTTTGCCAAAGGTCCTGTACCTTCTCCTTGATTGTATACTCATTTTTTTTTCTTTTTTTTTTCCTATTTTAAACTCAGTGGATTTATCTTTATATTCTGAATAAAATGTCAATACGCATTTCTTGCATTATATTATTTGTCCTTCTTACGATACTGCATCACTTTGTGTGAATTAGGTACCTTGGTCCATTTGATGTTATAGAGATGCGAGAGAAACCTACCTTTGAATTGCACCTTAAAATTTTGATTATCATTCTATATAATTAAATTAATCTCTTATAAGGTAAATTAATTTTTTCCATTTTATTAGAAGATCACTTGATTATAATGTGAATTTTATTAACTTTGTCAAAAATGCCTGAATTAACCTGAACAGACTAAAGCTTCAATTCATCTGTCCAGTTATATTATTTTATCAAATCAATTAAATGAAGTTCTACTTCACAGCTTACCTGCCTATAATGTATCTAAAAACTTATACCTACCTAAAATGTGTTATAGGTAAAAAATAAACGTGATACAGGTAATAAATAAAGTCGCAACAAATCGCTTTTCAAAATTTGAGCCGTCCTTGGCAGCAAGGACTCTTGAAAAAATTGTTAAAATGTTCATATTAGAAAACCCCTTTTGGCTGTTTTTTTAAGTAAAATTTACGAGCAGTAAAATTTTTACGAGTAATAGATAAAGTGTGAAAAAAAACTTTTAGAACATCAACTGCAGTTATTCGACACTAAAAAATGTTAAATAAGTACAGTGATATTTTAAGAGCTTCTTTAACACCTTTTTCCTCTATACCACTCGTAAATTTTACTTTAAAAAATAGCCAAGAAGGGTTTCCTAATACCTATACGAACATTTTAACAGTTTTTTAAGAGTTTTTGAATAATGTTTTTACAGATCATATTGTTACTAGGGATTATATTATAATTTTAGTTTGACAGAGGAGAGGTCAAATGCCATATTAATAGCAAATTTTCGAAAATTGCTTTTCATTTCATTTTCATTGCTCATCATTTTGCTTTCCATTGGCATTGGAATTTCACAGGTAGAAAGAAAATCATAATTAAAATAAAGTTACATAGCATTGAATGTATTATCTATGCTGTACAGTAGATAGCCCATTTATCACTATCAATTTTGAATTCCTTCTCCAAGAGCTATGCTTTGTGGGTTGCACAGAACTTAAGCTTCAGAAATTCCCAATTCTCAAGAAAGCACTAGATTGAGTTGGTTGCTTGAATAATTAATGCTCGTGACAATGGAAACTTTCAAGACGGGCCTTTGAAAGACTACTCTCAAATATTCAGTGATGCATGGCTCATTGGACAAGTAAATCAACTTAATCACTTTCTCCAGGTGAAATAAGGTTTGGAAGGGGTCTCTGCCTGTCTCAATTTGTGTAGGCAAGGTGCACATAAACATCCACTTGACAGCAGTTATCCCAGTGCGTTATCATTTACTTGATATAAAATATCCTCTGCTTTCTATTTGATTCTTAAGCTTGGCAGCTATAATGATTAGACCTGGTTTAACAGAAATGCACCAAGTTCGAACCGAGAAACAGAGGTTTGAAGTTTTATTCCCCGTGAAGATTCAAGGTTGAAGACAGTTTAACGAGTGTTTTACGGAGACTGAATATTTTTTCGTGACAAAACATTTTTTGACAGGAGACGAAGCGCGTAAAATTTGCTAGTTGAATGCAAAATTACTCAAAAATTCTTTAATTTTCAAAATATGGATTAAATTTTGCAACAAGAAACCACTATCTCTGGCTTTTCCATAAAAGCACCTTTCTGCGGAGGGAAACCAATGGCTTAGGTATATGGACTACTTTTTGTAACTAGGAACTAAAATATCTAGCTCATCCCTGAAAACACTCATGTGCATAGGGCAACTAATGGTACACACATCGTTTCTAAACTGAGCCTTATATTCTAGTTCCGAATTGCAAAATGCAGTCCATATGTTGTTTTTAAAATGAGGCAGTAATAGTGGTTTCTCATTGCAAATATTGCAAAATGTGGTCCACATAACCCAAAACTCGGTCCAATTCATGGAAGCTTGGATACCTATTAAAATTGCTCCATGGAATAGGTACCAATATGTTAAAAGTGCGTGTAACCATTCCAAGGCGAAAGGAGAATACTGCAAGAAGAAAACAAAATTTTGGAGCATACTTACCTACCTAATTTCATAGAGTTGGACCGGATAATCAGAATCAGAGTTCTGGGCGACATTTGCGTATTCTAGTGTTCCAAAGAAATAGTCACGACTAATTAAATAAATTGTCACGCTAATAGGGAGACATTTTTGAGACCTAAATACAGCAGATGAAAACTTAGAATTGTAAATCCTAAAATTTTCGTGAGAACATGTCCATGGGGCTTTCATAAAGACAGTGATGCCAACGTTCTAGTTTCGAGTTCATGGGCAATATAAAGTTTTCCTACAAATGGTCACATTCAGGAATTGTACTATACCAGTTTCATCTCTCAAGCTGAAACATCCTTTGGAATTGGACTACCCACAAATATGGCTTCGTGTAAACAGTGCAATGAGAACAACAGTTAAGTTTCCAAATAACGTCTGTGAGCATGTTGAAGACGAGTAAAAAGAATCACTTTAAAAAGCAAATTGCAGTTTTGATAAATTTCTACAAACTTTTTGGCGTGTCAGTAAGAAATAAGGATGAGAAAATATTTTTTTACTGTGAATATATATTTGCCATCTGTGTTTGGGCGATAACTGTTATTGGCTACACAAGAGGCACTCTATGGTTGTTGGCAAACTTCCAAAATCTCCTTAACGCAACCTTCATCGTCCTTGTGATCAGCATTCAAATGAGCACGATGCCATCAATCTATACAATGGCAATGTACATCCTAAAGGGTGACCAAATACACGAAGTTCTGAAGAACTTCGATGAAATAGACCAATTATTACTGGAAGAGGGTGTCGTCTTAAATTACAAAAAGTTTGCAGGATATGGTGTAATAGTAAGTATCTTTGTCTTGGGAATCATGACTATTACTGAACTACTTTACGTTTTAACCAGTGCTCAAAGAAACAATCTCCCATTTTATGCCTACGATTACTTGTTTATCAGTGAAACGGTAGTCCTGCCTGCAGCACCTCTACTACAATTTGCACTGGCTGTCATGTTGTGTAAGAAGATATTGATGAAAGTGAATGAAAGAATACATGCCCTGAAGAGATCATCACGTAATTTGTGGATGGATTTTTCCGTCACAGATGACTTTACTGTTGATGAAAAACTGCTCCAGTTATATTTAAAAGAAGATAACTACCGGTATGTGAAACCAAGGCAAAATCTGCAGGTGCGGGTATCATGTTTTAAGAAGCTCCACAAGGCATCTTGTCAAAATAAATTGACTGAGTTTCAGAATTTATTTAAAATACACAAAAAGTTGATGATTCTGGTGAAGAATATGATGAAGTTTTACGGCTTTTTAATTTCACTCAACATGTTTAGATTTGCAACATCAATAGTTCCAAGTACCAATCAAGTCATTTTTGCAGACCAAGATATTGTGGGCGATGGTTTAATGGTTTTTAAAGTGATTGGGGCTTTTTCATCCATTCAACGATTGGTTTTCCTGTTTTGGATAGCCCACACTTGTGAATCTGTTTTGGAGCAGGTAAATATATATTTTGTAACTTACTCCACATCCTCCAGTATTCTAAAAAAAATTTGCAGAGGATCTTGGGTCTGAGAGAAAAACAGAAAATAGTTAAAACAAAGACTGATTTACTTCAAGAGATCATGACATAAAACATTAAATCCTAGACAACTTTAATGGAGATTTATCCTGAGGTAATAGGATACTTAAAATACTAAACAAGACAGGAGTTACAAGGCAGAGATGTGACCAAAAGAATGAGGAAAGGACGTCTCACATAAGGAACACCATTTTTCAGAGAAATGTTGGCTTATTTTCAACATTTTAAATTTTTTTCTAGACAAGAAGTTCTGACTTCCATCAAATAAAATGTCACCTCCTTTCCCTTTTCGGAATTTGAGCAACAATCCTCCTGAACATATAGGCGGAACTTACACAAACAAAAATCATGTACTTTCAAAATAAATCTATTTTACCACAAAAGATAAAAAAATTCTCATGGTCAGTCATTGAGAATGGAAGGGTAAAAGGGTAATTCATTCTTCCTCTCTGATCAGTGATCAATGTCTCTGATTACAACTGACCATTATGTTGATTTCTAACTCATTTTTATACACGGATTTTTTTCTACTTGGTAGTATCCATTTCATTTACATGCTTTTACATGGCAGCTATGAGCGGAAGGCATAGAGCACCTCCCAAATTAGAGACAAAGAAGTTGACGTAAAGTTATAGCTTTAGTGTTCCTCCAAACAGAGTAACTTAAAAAGGAAAATTTTACTCAAATGAGTTTTTTCCCTTTATGATGAGTACACGTATCGACAGCTATGACTTTAAGTCAACTTCTTTCTCTGTTGTGACAATAATGACATTCAAGCATTTCATAGCAAGAATACACTACTGATTATAACAATTAGCTGATGCAAATAATTACTGTTTTTCAGCATCGATTGACAAAAAGAATGATTCACAAGATGCTAAATCAAAACCCGGAGCCTTGCTTGAATAAACAGGTAGGTTCAATACATACGAGATTAATGTCTGGAGAAATGAAAAATTAAAATCAGTTATTGCATCAAACAAACAGTCTGAGTAAAAGTAAATAAAATCTCTTTCCCCTTGTAAATTTTCTCGTAGTGGGGTGACTCCTGCACTGTTTCGGCCAAAAATGAAAATAATCTGTCGAGCTCTTCGAAAATAAAATCGATTTTGTATTTTTGGCCCTGAAATTGGCGCAAAAACTTTAAACTGGTTTGACAACTTCAGTCTACTCAATTGAGAGACAATTTTTGAGAATTTCAGGAGCTTACTTTGATGTTTCTTGGAAAGACACAGGCTAACTTTTCATTTAAATTTCCTGGTGCGTACAACCACGCTTCAATTTTCATTCCCTGATGAATCTCGGAATTTTTCGACTAACCCAGGTCTTAGACATCATGGCTTAAAACCGTAAAGATGATTGTCCATAACCTTCAGAGTGGTCGACAAGCACATTTTCCTCTTTTATCTACATTTCCATTAGCTGAAAGTTGGATCTCACATTTTAGTTACTGAAAACTCAACATGCTCATTTTGATTCTAGCTAATTTTGGCATCACTCCAACTGAAACATGACCAGCTGAGGTTTTCTGCTCATGGATTGCATGATATTTGCTTCAAGCAAGTTTTTTCTGTGAGTTTGTCACTGTAACATATTTTCAAGTCGTTTTAAACTTTTTCACCTGTTTTTTTTTTTTTTTTTTTTTTTTTTTTTTTTTTTTTTTTTTTTTTTTTTTTTNTTTTTTTTTTTTTTTTTGAAAATTAAATTATTTACTCATTTTTGTGTTTAACTTTTTCCTTCATTTCTCAATATAATGATGGACCTACACCTTCGATTAGTTAGGATTCACAGGATTTCTCATTCTACTAAGAGCCATTTTTTACACAAGGGAAGAAAATAGAGGATGCTTCAACAATTTTGCATGGTATTTCTACTAAAATTAGCTACTGCTGCTGTAACTTCGTAGAAAGGAGACAATATTTTGTGTACCATGTACTTGGAAATTAATTTACTGTGATGCATTTATTGTGATGTTACTTTCATTGTAAACTTGCACATCTCTGTATAATGAGTTGTGATTATATCTCTAGACGTCCTGCAGTTATCCTTTTGCTTCCTACTTAGCTAAGTTCATCAAGCACTGTGACACTTTTCTATTTCATTTGCTGTAGTTTTTGTTGCTATGTAACATTCTTTCATTTTGTTAAAATTTAAGATTGACCATGCTCCAAAAAGCATTCATGAATAAACACTATCCAAACCGTCCTCCAGCACAGAACCTTTTTGGATAATCTTTGTGTTACGAATCCTTGTTTCAATAACTTCATAAACTTACTTATTCTTTACTCATAATATTCATGAAAAACTGATCCTAAAGTTTTGGGTACCTAAGGGCGCCTATGTTGAATTTAACAACCCCTGAGGTGAAATTGTGTTCAAGACTTTAACTTCAGTTGCATAGAAGACCATAGTTTCACTATCACTCTCAACCTGCCTCAGATGAAAATATTGTCAGTACTTTCATCCTAATAAGTTCTACTGTTATGTCATGGTTCTCTGTTACAGCTTTTTGTGGTCATTATCGCATTTATGATCATCCAGTGTCAACTCAGATTAGCCTCAAATATTGGCGGAATAATCAGAGCTCGAGAATAAGGTAGGCAACCAAGTAGCTAATGGTTGTAAAATGTCATCTTTCCATCTAATATAAAACATCCCTGCATTCCATTGATGCTCTCGGGTATCTCCACCAATTGCAAATCCATGAAAATTTTATAGTTTTCAGTAAGATTCGATCAATAAATTAAGTTGTTCCTTAACTTTGCATCAAAAACAGTCATGCAAAAGCCAATTTGTTTGATCTGAGATTTAGAGGTATCAAAGCACATGTTATCGTTTTGAATAGAGTAAGATACCATTACTCCATTACTTTAAGTAAAAGTTTGAATGCAAATAAAATCTTAGAAGATTGTGGCATGGACAAACGTAATCCTTGTACAGCACCATCAATAATGGTGGATTTGATAACGATAATAAGAGTGAGCTGATTGCTCAGACATCCTACAGAAGAGCAACAGACAGCTTGTTTTATCTATAAAATAATACTAGACCCGATTGCACTTCTGCTCTGAGCGAAGTGAGAGGACATAATGAAAATCCGTCCAGAAAAAAAAAAGTAGCAAAAATATATGATGAGGTACTTAAGAGGGACTTCACTACAGACTTAAAACTAAGATATCACAAGTCCTGTCAGCCAGTTCATGCATTTTATGGTCAATTGCATCTAGGACAAAAAATCTCTAAGTGGATTTGTAGCTTTGCTGGTCCAAGAAGCAGTAACTTGGCAAATTAGAAAGCAAATAAATAATATCCGCTTCATCACTGAGGCTGAATACATAGAAATGGCTGTGACTGTATCAGACTTAAAGTGGCTAGGAATTTTTTTTAACCGAGATTGACTGATCCGAATTCATTCAAAATCCAAATGTGGTATTTGCTGACAATCGGAAAGCTATTTCACTCAGTAAGGATCCTTTACTGTTTGAAAGGACCAGGCATGTTTATATTTAATCATATTGACAAAGAAGAGGAGAGGAAAGGTAGGATTTGATTTGAATATGTACCTTTGTCTCAAAACGTTGCCGATATCTTTACAAAAGTATTTCCTAGCCCAAACACTGAACAGCTCCCTGAAAAACTAGGGCTCAAAAACCCTACAGTGTCTATAAAAAAAACTTGGGTTTCATTCCCGTTGAATTTGATTCAATTAAGAATTCCGAAACTAAAAAGAGACAACATCACCAAATAAACGGAGCGCGTTCCCTCAGAATTTTGATACTGTGCTTGCGCCACATTGCAGGTGTGAGCCACAGTTCTTGCGCAGATTCCAGGAACGACATGACTGAGGCACCTTTCCAGGTAGCGATTTCAGGGTCCACTTCTTTCGGGACGGTGATCACATCAATTTGTTCTGAAATTATTCATGAGTAATAAATCAACAAATGGAAAATCAAAGATTAAAATTAGTTTGAGGTTCTTTTGGCGAAATACAAAACCATACCAAGAATGCTTTACTTTTTGCTGATGGCATTTAGTTTTATGCTACTGTTGTATTAGTAGTAGTGTATAATTATAGCAAGTTGATTTAGGATGCTACAGTAAATACTGAAGGTTGATCATGTTGAAGTTACTTTTTTTTAAAATTTTCATTAAAGAAAAGATCCTTTCGAGCTAAGGCCATGTTAACTGAATTATTATTTACTTGCTATACTATCGTTGTCTCATTTTATTTTTTTCTGTTCATGGCGCTGTATTGTTTCAATACTGTGCATCATATACACTTGGAATATTTGTTTGCATGAGCTGTTAAACCGTCAGTGTTACAAAAAGAATAAACAAATAAAAAGTCCTGACAGAGAAAAGCATGTTCTGCTTTCAACAGCTTATCCTCGTCAGTCTTGCACTGAAACTCATTAGAGATTTGGATTTTTAAGCTTTGATTTCTCCATAGAATAGTGTGGAACCTCAAGTTAGGTTAGGAACAAAGAGTCCTGCACCATCCTTATGGGAAACCCCCCCCCCCCCCCCCCAGTCAAATCTGATGAAACTTTGATATGTTGCTCAGCTAGTCATTCTGATCAAAAGCTCTCGCGGGCCCATGGAGATCACATGTGCAGTTTTCCAGATATTCGCCGTTTTGTATGCTTGAACGGAGGTCCCTCCAGCCGGACCATTGTGCAGCACTACTCGAACCCTTCCCTCCCAGTCCACTCCGGCCTCTCTCCGCTTCTTCGTCACCCATACTCGAGGCTCGGACACCAGCGGTCACGAGGTGGCCCACTGGCCCAGGTGGTCTAACGACCACCCAGATAAGGCCACTCGGGCCGGCGATGATGAGCAAAGCCTCGTGAGCGTCGAAGTCGGAGCTTCGGGTATGGGTGGCGGAGAAGCGAAGAGGAGCTGGAGTGGACTGGAAGGGAAGGGTTTGAGCAGTGCTGCACAATGGTACGGCCGACGGGACCTCCGTTCACGCATATAAAACAGCGAATATCTCGAAAACCACACATGGGATCTCTTTGGGCCTGTGAGAGCTTTTGATCAGAATGACTAGCTGAGCAACATATCAAAGTTTCATCAGATTTGACTGGAGGGGATTTCCTATAAGAATGGTGCTGGATTCTTCTTGGTGTTTTTTTTTTCTTATCTAAAAATCAGATATAGGTTGCTCGTTAGGGATTTTGTGTTTAATTTTCACCTGGACGATGTTGAGCTGGTATTTGCAATGAGAGATGGTTTTGAAGCCAAGATCCAATATTGCTAAATTTCATTCCTCCTCCAACAATTAAGATACAACTGTACATTTTCTTCTTAAGGTCATCAGTGCCTGCAGGGCAAAATAAAACATTAATGGCACAGACATTCAAGTCTTGAGAATTATTTACCATTCTTCCAAAAAAGCTGACATTAATATTGGCCAGATTTAGCAGCGGTGCCTAATAAATCCAGTAAATTGAGCTTTACCTATAGTTTCTTCCCCCACCCCTCCTATTTATTCCTTTCTGAATGAATGTGCATTTACATAAAATCTGTCACTTCTGGAAAAAACTAAAAAAAAAAAAACATACAGTTCCTTTAAACATTCAAGAAATGTAATTCCAAGCATACCACAATTTAGGGAAAATTATATTGTTTCTATACCACACTGAGAATACAACTGCTTTGGATTACCTAGGTATTCTGTTCGAATTGAGCTGTTAAAAATTAAATTAAATTTTTTTTAAAAAAAAGTCTGTAGGTAATTGTTTAATGACAAACTAAAGCAAAGCCACCGTGTGCATTAAAAGTGACCTTTATGATGAATAGTTGAACAACACTGTGCAAAAAGATGAACTACCATTGCAATATTGTTGTAATTGTACAACTTCTATGTTTCAGTAAATTAACAGAGAACAGATGAGAACATAAGATTTACGGCGTAACTTCCTCATTCAATTAAAATTTTTTAGTGCTTGAAGAGAAACTAGGGAGAATCTGCAGATTGTTATTGTATACATAATTTCGTCCATCAGATTTTAGCACAAGCACTAATTCATAAGAGTCAATTAAATAGTCGGAAACATGGCACTTACCGCAGCGTTCTATGCTGTCCAAAATGAGAGTGTCTAGGCCAGGTAACTGTCCCGAGTCCACAATGAATTCACCACCTCCACTGGGCTCGTCAACAACAAGCTCTTCCTCTCCGCCAGTTACAACAGTCGTATCACCGCCAGCTTCCTCCATATTTTCTTTTGTCCCACGCCGCTAATGACATTACATCTTTTGTTAGAATGTTATTTCATGCCGCTGTTTAACCATTTTAGGCACTTGTAATAAAAGGCTTGGTCCAATTTTTTATGTATCATTGTTCACTTCAGATCAAGTAGAATAACTTTTTGCCCACTAATAGATATGTCCATCTGAGGGGTCTTTTTTACGTCAACACCCAGTTTCAGGGACTTTCTTCCACTTTAATTAGGTTGAAATGAAGATTTACAGGGCTGAGCAATTGATGCTACACGTCTATAAATCACTGATTTTCCTCAAAAAAATAAATTTTTCTGGTGAATGAGTCCAACTTACCGGTTAAAGTTAGTACACATAGCGACAAACAAATTAAACACATTTTTGAAACTCCTGCCTCCATCTGGCGATATAAACATTCCACTAACTACTACAGCTAAAGTAGTCTCTTACACACAAGAGATGCAGCCAAATAAATGAACTCTGTCAGAAAAAATCAAACGAAAATAACGCTGGGCATGTTAAAAAAGTCTGAAATCTATTCCTTAGCTCACAATCTGCATAGTTTGTAACACGCTTGTTCCAGTTTCAAACGTCTTCCAGTCACCACCAACCAGGTTTGCACAGGCAGAGGAGTAAGAATAAATTAACCTGAGTAAACAAACGATTTCACTAATTTTATCTATAGTATGATTTCAATCATTTTCACACGTTTGTTTGTTTCTTCTTTCCTTACTTTGCAAGAAGAAAAGCTTTGAATCAGTTTAAATTTCACGAGAGTTGAAAACAGTTCACAAGATTGTTAGGTAATTTAGGTTAGGTCTCACTCTGGGCAAACTTGACTGCCGGCCACCAAGAAAAACCGCCCACATACGTGGTAAAATTGAGTGAGCAAGTTACGAACTACGCAGATTGCGCGCTAAGGAATGGATTTAAAACCTTTTTGGAGTGCCCAACTTGATTTTCCAGCGAATTTACACTTAGAGAGTGTATTCAGTTGGTTGTATTTCTTGCGTTTAATGGACCCATTGTGTTGACAATTATGGCAAAACACCTTTTTGATGATTTTTCTCACAGCAAAATCATAATTTTAGTTCAATACTGCAATTCTTGTAAACATTAGAAACCCTTTTCGGAAAATATTGTCAGCGAGTCCATGATCAATACTAATTTATTGCAAAAAATTACTCATTTGCTTCAGAATCAAAGCTGCAACATTGTAACCGACTACACATTTTAAGTCTTTACAGTCTCATATTTTTAAATAAAGTGTAAACTTTTCATGATTTTTTGCAGTGACAAGTTTGGGATCATCATTCTTTTTGATTTATTACCTCGATTTTCAACCTTTATGCCCTATGTTGTTCATGGTCATGGCTACACAACCATTCCTGTTACCGTGAGATTACCCTCGCCAAAGCTTAACCTAAACTTTTGGGAGCATTTATTTTGTACCAAAATGGCTTTTAAAGTTTAGATACCTACACTAGTTTCTCGAATGAATTCTGCATCAAAAGGATCTTCAGGGTCACTGAGTGTCCTCTTTTGCGTTGTTACAGTTTTCTTGCCTGTCAGATCAAATAATTCAGGTTGGAATAGTCCTAATGGTGCTATGAGACACTCATCGCCAACCTGTAAAATATTAACGATTTCATAAGACATAATATGTACTTTGAATTAGTTTGTTGAAAAAATGTATGTGCTGACTGGAAAGAAAGTAATCAGCATGAAATTTTACAGTTTCTACAGAAATGATGTTCTCCCACTGAATATATTTCTTCTTTCACTACAAAGAAACCTGCCAGAAATGAGATAATCCCAATTTTTTATTAGCGAAATAGTGCATTTGAATTCAGTGCATTCTTAAATGATACAAAATTTGTGACACTGCATGCCACAATTCGTGGAATCATTATTTAAAATCTTGGGAATTCATTTGCATGAAATCTTCTAAGTGAGTACTTCTATTTTCCAGGAATTCAAAATGGGTTAAAAACGGTTCAAATCTCACTTGTTACAAATTTTTCTAGAGAGGGCGTTTCAAGGCGGCAGTCAATAATCAGTGTGACTCAGAATTTTCTCTCTAAATGTGATTTTAATTAAATTAGATAGAATTTTGATGGGTCTGAAATATGAAGATTTAAAAAAAGTCAAGTTTGTTCTGTCAAAGAAGCGGTCTTTTGAACTAAAGGTTTGGCTTTTTTAGTGCAAACTTTGACCCAAAAAAAAGATGTCTTAATAATACTAGATTAAATACCTGCTAAAGAATTAACCATAATGTTTACTTGAATTGGTACACCAAAAAAGTAACAACTGTGAAGACAGAATGTAAATTTTCTGGATCTAATTTTTCTCCGTTTTAAAATTGACACTTTTTTGCGCAATTTTTTCATTTTATAGACCTAATACAAGATTTAAATAGACATACCTGAAAAGTGTAGCGCACGGCAGGTTTACCCGGCTGCCGGACTGCAAAGTTCTTTTCCTGACAGCCGCAGATGTCCATGTTAACATGGCAAAGGTCATGTTTTAACTTCTGGAGCAGTACAGCATCATGGTAAGAGATGGTTGGATTGGCAGTAGTGTACGGAAAAGCTGCACGCTGAAGGAGCCAGTGCAGCGACTGAGTTATGTCCCCACCACCATAACTCACTCGGATTCGGGTGTTTGCTTGGGATAAACCATCTTCAACACAGCTCACTGACGTTTTCTCATGGCCAACGTCGACAACGCAAGCGTACGCGAGACCAGCCCCAAAAGTTGCTGCAGCATGATCCTGTGATTATTCCATTGCCAGAAAAATTTTGTATTAATATTGACATTCATTGATTTATATAACGGCTGAAACTTTACAATGAACTTGAACAGTAAGTGAACTTCAACCTTGAATATTAAGCAGGGGTGCGAACAATTCAGAGGGCCAAATAGTCAAAACTTGGCTGTGGACATGTTCCTTAAATTATACACACAGACAGAATCTTTTTCTGTCAGCGATTATTGCCTTCTGCGAAGAGCACGTTCAAACGATTTGTGCAAATATCAGTTAGCAAATTAAAAATCAACTAAAAATTGGACGAAATTTTAATCAGAATGTTGTGTTGACTTTCTTGCAAAAACCCTTCGCGTTTCAAAACATTGTGGTGGCCTTTTCAAAAATCGCAGAGGCCTACAACTATTTGCTCCCCTGCATTAAGAGCAAGAATCAGCTCTGGTTTTAATTTTTGTCACGAAGAATGGGGCTTTGAAATAATGTTATACAAATTACTTAACAAATGAGAAGGTCCTTGATTCAGTTCCTCTGGGTGCAAAAGGTAGATTGGGACCGATGAGAGGGTCGAGGGATGGAGTGGAATCTAAAATGGTGGCAGTTAGGGTTTGTAGGATAAGAGGGCGCCCTCTAAGACCACTGACACACAGTCGCAGAAACACACTCTCAACCTCGTTCTTTACACTGAAGTAGCAGTGCAAATTCCTGAGGCTAAGACCACTTAATTGCTTTGTAATGAGAGCCCCAGAAAGGATGGCGAAAAATGGAAGACAGGGTTCGACTTATCTTGGGTCATATGCTGTTTTGTCATTTTTCTCGCTTGCCCTGGTTGTTAGGCACTTTTTATTCTGTGTATTCTTCAAGAACTCAAATTGTGACTCCTATTAACGGGCTGCACGCGGTTTCGTCTGGAGTAGTTCGTCCCCCCGTTGCTAAGGATGGGAGATCCCGGGGCCTTACCGTCAACACCCGCTCAAGGTCAAGAACTCAAATTAGGCTTAAGAAGAGATTCTACATGGAGGACGAGTTGAGGGCAGGTTGTTTCAGAGTTGTCTTTGACTGTCCTAGGCCTTAGAAGTTTCTCTAATATTTCTGTTGAGTGAAAACGTGATCTGAAGATGAAGTATGTTTCAATAAAATGATAGTGTCTGAGAGGAAATTGAAAAAGTAAAAAAAAAAACCTAAGAAAGTGGTTGTTTTTCTGATTGGTTCAATGCTTTTGCCCATTATATTTAATATTAACTTCAGAGTGAAGAGTTTGAGAGCTTGGTTGTGTATTTGATGAGAATTTTATTGGAAAATTTCAGGGTAGACAAGAAAAAGCTCATAATTGTTTATGAACTTTAATGCATCAAGTACTTACAAAATTTTGCGTTAAGTCCATATTCCGTGGGGTTTTAAAACTGGTTTTACTATAAAGAAAATTATATGAGTGTTGCTGATTTTTTAACCAAGATGCATTAAAATACAGTATAACTGAAATCCTCATTACAGAGCAAGAAAGCTCATTGGACCATAATTTTTCCTCGTAGAGAAATGCTGCATGGTGCAACACTAGTTAAACCTGATCAGGAAGGCAACTGCAGACTTGTTTCTGGTCTAACTGGACCCATCATTTGTGCATCGCAGCCTCCTGATTTCCTGCTTCCAGTCTCGAGGAAGTCTTGAAAACCAGACCAAGATTTGGGCATGCAGCTGTGGCGGCAAGCGAATCTACTGCCAATTTTAATGCATCCACAGTTGCCTTCCTGATAAGTTGTAACAAGTATTTCACCAAACAGCATTTTTCTACAGGGAAAATTGTGCTTGAATGATTTGTTTCCCTTTATAATAAAAATTTCAATTTAATGACATAATGTAACGCAAATTTGCAAAAAAAAATCACCAACATGGTTGTTAAAACGACTTGTGCGTCAAACCGCTATATGTTTCAGTAAAAACAAAATGCTTGAGTACTCACCTGAACGAGGAAGCAAGCACCAAAACCCATACCATTTAGCAGCAGAGAAATCAATTCTCGCATATGAGTTCTGTCACAGATATCAGGGATAACAAGAACTGCTCGGTAGAGCTATAAATGCAAAAAATACATAAATTAACTTTTAAATGACTCATTCAATGCACAATGTCACCAAATTAAAATAATTATGATTGGAAAAAATTGCTGGGTGTAGAATGTTCTGAGCTTTTGAAATTGAGGTCCAGACTTATTTATTTGCTCTTTGCTTACTTTTGCATGTTTTCATGCTGGCATGAACCAGCCTTCCAATTTTTAAAATGCCTTTGCGCGATCATCTGACATTTGAGGCTGCTTGACCTGCGCAGTTGAAAAGTTTCTACTACTTGGTGGGCAATGCTAAAATCAAGGTTGAATTTAAACTTAAAAAATTGGATTTTAAAAAAGCAAGGTGAAGAAGAGGGATGAACACCAAACTGTGACATGGAGTTATCTGTAAAGCGTTTGTGTCCAAAAGCAATATTTGAAAATTGTAGCATTTGCTGCATGACTAAATAAATTTACTGAGGTTTCTGGTGGTCCAGAGAAACTAAAAAAAAATCTAGGGCAACAGGAATCTCGGCTCCTTTAATTTTCGAGTAGAGAAGGGGAAAAAAATTAAGTTAGGTTAATTTCTTGGAGAGGATTTTACCTACTAATGTACTTGCCTTCAGATCTTTGATAGAAATATCTAACTTGTTCCGAATTAGATAAGTCCATATTGACTCCATATTTGCTAATACTGAGGTGAGAGATCCTCCTATTCCTGAGTGGAGATTTAGCTGGCCTCTCTGCATCGGAAAATGGATGTTGTAATCTAAATCTGGGTTTAATAGTAGAACCTAAAATCATAGATCAAGCAAATTGTTGACAAGATTTTCACAATTGAATGGGCACAGAGGCTTGGAACTAAATCACTCCATTTGTTTTCTCAGGGGTACATTTAGTTCTAGGCCTCCACAATTTTCTGGAACGCGCTGGATTTTCACAAAAAGGTTAACACGACAGGCTGATGAAAATTTTGTCAAATTTTCCGGTTGATTTGCAATTTTAATTAAGATGTGACCACACATGATAAAATTGTTAAATGAATTGGCCCTCTGTATACCCTTCACAGGTATATGTTTATTTACTTAACAACCGCAGTTGTAACAAGAGATGTATCCAGCCCTTGCACATGATGTCATCATTGTTTGAAGTTAATAATTAAGCTGTTTTTCTGGAAGAAATAATTTGATCTTCATGTGAATTGTATGACAGTCGTGTTACTGTGAAATCACAATGGTTAAAACTATAGGTCTTCACTTATTTTATTTATTTATGTTTTTTTCGTTTTACATGATGTCATTCATAATAGGGCTCGTACAGAGTTGTTTAATTTAATGATATATGAATTTCACTTATAAGAGGAGTAGATAGCTTTTATTTCAATTTGTGTGGAAGTAATAATTACAATTAATTTTAAATTAAAAGTTGGGATGAATAGTCTTCACACCAAGTTGGTAAAATATATATATGTAATGAGTTAAATCATAGAAATTATGAAATGGGATGTCTCACTAAAGAATAACAATAAAATAACGATATCGATGTGAGTTTCTATTTTAGATTTTGTTGGGTGAATAATTATTTTGTAAATCAGATGTTTCGCAATTAACGTTCGAAAAACTTGGGGGTTGGTTTTTTCTCCAATTTCCCTCAATAATTTATTAAATTTTTTTAAATCTTTAGTCATGATGGAATTTTCTTCATTTTCTTTCCTCCTTAATTTTCTCACCTCTTCTTCATTGCTGATGTTACAATGGTATACGTCTTCATTTTCTCATAATTTACCTTGGATGTTAGAATATTTCATAATTAGACGCTAAATTGTAAGTGGTGGAATCAATTTTAATTTGTTCTCCTTGAAAATTTCTCTCCTTGATGCATCTTTACAGTCAAACCTCACTAAAAAGGAATGCACGGGACCAAGGGTTCATTCTGACTAAGCAGGGTTTCCGAGTTAAATGGACTTGGTATTCGCAAACAAAAAATCGGGACCAAACCATTAATCCTGAGTTACCGGGGTTTTTGATTTAAAAAGTTTGTGACTTAGTTAGGTTTGACTGCATCCAAATTATACACAATTTTACTTGCTTTTTTTCTGAGCAAGAAAGACCCTATCATGACCCCTAGTTTCACAATGACACCAAACCTGAGGACAGTAATTTTTAGGTGTAAAAAATGATTAGCAAGCTTTAGAATATGACATCATAAGATACGGGCCTTTACGATATGTACTTGGTATTTCTATGACTTTAAACTCCTTTTCATGTCAAAAAAGCTGCTTGGAGCTTTTATGATCTCTGATGTGCATTCCTCACTAAAAAGTCGAGAAACACCTACTTTCAAGGCGATACCTAGATTACACAGCAGCCTCACTCTTGTAATGGAAGATCTCATTTTCTTCTTACAAGGAGGGAAGATAAAAAAAAATGGAGAAAGTTATTATGCTTCCTGTTAAAATTTATAAATTTGAACTAACTTACATCATCGCCTATAACAGTGTCTGATTCTGGTTTGACCCAAGCTCCAATAGTAGTGCTAATTGTTTGCGGTTCCGTCCTCCTGGCACAAAAACAAATTCCATAAAGAAATTAGTTTCAGGTTGTCAACTTTACCGTCTCAAAAATAGGCCGAAAACTGTCGCAAGAATCAAACCGCACACTACAACACTTTTGGCAGATTTTTAAATCGAGCAGTCTCCCTTCTCCAACCTAAGTTGCTTAAAGAGTAAACCACCTGTGACAGCAATCCTGAAGTGTTGAGATTGAGCTTGCAATATTTTCACACCGCAGAGACTGTTACAGTAACTTCTAGTGTGCCATTAAACATATGTAGATTATGGCTTTTTTTTCTTTAAATATGGACAGGAAGTTTAAATTTGGGGATCAATTTATTATTTGGTATGAGAGTAGCTGATTTAGGAGGTCCGTCGAGCCTAAATCTGCCTTACTTCAATTTATTCCCTCGCTCCCACAGACACTCCTACTAACTATTCCTCCCCGGGTCGGTGCCAAAAGTGACAACTCGGAGCAGTTCGGATAGTTAGGGTGGAAGACAGGACAGGCCATTCTACGATCTCAACGCGGTTGCAGCTGATCAGACCCTTTGTCACATGGTTAGTATCTGGGTGAAGAGTTACTTCCAATACTTTAATTGCACAAATGGTGTCTACTTGAAATTTTGGTGTACAAACTTATACCATATTGCTTGCTTAAAACTTTTTGACTGGTGGTCCATTGTGAGCCCCAAACATGTCAGCTGAAAAACTTTAAAACTCGTCTTCTCTGAGCATATTTTTCGACTTGCAAAGTACAAAGGGTAATAATTCCACTTGAGTGTGAAATTTGTGTTCTTTGCACCAAAAAAATTCCGACACTCTTCCATTCAATAGCATCAATGACTCAATTGCGATTTTATCAACAACAAAGCTTCTTCGCTTGCAGACAATCTAGTATACGTGCAATACATCTGGCAATAATTGTCAAATTCTTTGGGAAACACTTTGAAATTTTTTAAAAACTTCTACATTCATCTATAGGCTCTTAAGGTTTGGTAATAAGGTCTGCTGTTATATATGACAATGGAACTTAAAAATTATGCACCTAAAAATAACAAAAAAGTGTTTGAATCCGTACCTGTTGAAAGCAGCGATTTGTTGCGGAGGAGTGGCATATCGTCGTTGTCCGTTTGATTGTAGACTTGATTGTAACGTGTGCGATAACTGCAAACGGCAATCCTCCATTACTTGATGCGAATCTTTCGCCTGCAAAATCAAATGTAAGAAATCATAATAAATACATATACGATAATCTTCAACAAAAACTCTTTTAAGATGAGGCAACTTTTCACTCAGCATATTTGAAAATATTACCAAAATAAAGCCTCTCTGGTTTGCCATTCTAAAAAATATGAGAATCCAAGATGTCACATCAAGCATTTTTTTCGATCACAAATTGATGGTCAAAGTGCAAAACCACGTGTTTCCATTGCAGTGTTTCAAAATTTCTGCTTACGAAGATATGCGGTTCGAAAAAATCAAAGAGTAAAATTGTGCCCTAAACTGGCAATTTCTAACCTTATTTGTAACTTTGTTAGTGTGTACAAAATGCAACCATGAAAGTATGCAGAGGATAGAACTTACAGCGGTCTTGCTAAACATGAAAAAGAAAAAGGTCCTTTCTGTAAAGTTGAAAATTAAGTTTGTCGAATTTCAATCATCCTCACAATTTCTCAGTCTTAGAATGATGGGTGCCAATTATCCAAAAGAACGGAGGCTTCCTTCAATAACATTTTCAGCTCAGAAGCTACTAAGCCCATTTTCTTTAAACTTCCTTTTTGCACATACTGCTCTACGGCCATGTTTTCTCTCCATTGCCTATTTGATAGAAAGGAAAACCACTGTTTGTAGAATTGTTTTTAGATGCTGTATCAAGAAAGGATAGTGTGTAAATTTGAATTCGGCATCAATTCACAGGGTTGGTCCTATTTTCCCCAGCGGCGGGTTTCTGCAAAAAAACCTGCCTCTGGGGAAAATACCCTAAAAAACACCTGTCTTTAAAAAAAGCCCCAAAAAACCCACATGAACAAAAGAAACCGAAAATAGCCCAGGCAATAGAGGATAGAATAGGGGTTTACCATGCAAAATTTAGGTGAAATCAGGTTATGATCGATTCCTATGTAATTTTTTACGCTGAATCCGAATTTTTGGTTTCCCAACAAATTTTCCTTGTGCTACCTCCGGAAAATCGGAAAAAACGCGAAAAATCACGTTTTTCCGCGGTTTTCCCGAGATATCTCTTTTCCCGTGCGATATATCGAGAAAATGGTTATTTCCAAAAATAAAGCTGATAAAATTTCCTACGAAAATGATCTGGACGTTTTTCTCATACGTCCACTAGGGAGAGAGCTGGAGCCGTGGAAAGCTCTAAAAACTCGTAAAATCGCGATTTTCCACGGTTTTTCGCCATTTGTGTGCAATAAATTTGTTCTTTCGCAAAATTTCAGGATAGTCTTACCTTAAAAATTAATGATGCTTACTTTCTTTATAGGTCCATTGGAAGCGGTTTTAAAGCCGTGAAAAGCCATGAAAAGCTCGAAAATCGCGATTTTCCGGCATATTTTCGTAACAAATCCGTACCTGTCCAAAAAACTCATTTAAAGAGACTTCAAAATTCAATCTTATAAAATTGTCAACATACATACGTAGAATTTGCTCCCATGGCGCGCCCTCGTGCTCTGCGACATCCAAACGCCAGGTGTGCTTATCTACGTAAGGGTTAGTAGACAACGAACGACGTAATAAAATAGTGCAATTTTCAACATACTTAAATGATGTTGAAATTTCCTTGTATATCTGAAGAAACAACGGATATGGATTTGTCGAAAGCGTAAATAATGCAAAAAGTTGAAAAGTTTGAAATTTAAAGAATGTATTGATACAATTTTTCAATTACGCGAAAACAACTATAATAGTATTGTAATAATTAGATAAGAACTATGATAGTAAATATGTTCAATGTCAAGAAGTATAATTCAGATGCATGGTCAGGCACTCTGCTGACTGAATGTCCTGAGGATCTGAAATCAAAATTTTTGAAAAGCACGGGTATAATGGCATAACCTAACATATTATTTTCTATCGGTGAAAGAGCTACTAAGTTATATAATTGGGTCATGGTTTAAAATGGCAAGAGGAACGTAATTGTTGAATTGTTATAGGTGTTATCGGTGTTTTTTTCTTTCTTTTCTGCTATTTGAGAATGTTAATTTGTGCCTACTATAATGTAAATTTTCTCTGCTCAATCAACTCATGGAAAATTTATTGTAAACTTGATGGGAAAATTCTCACCTGCGTTGTCATCATTGCCGTCTTTGCAGTATTTTACGACTTCAGCATGACATCGTCTAAATCGGAGAACAGGAACTTCTGGTATGGATTTATCTTAATTTGAATTGCTCGTTTAAGCTTTTGCAACATCGTTTACTAGAATAAGAGAAACGTATGCCTAGGAAAATCTTTTGGTATTAATCTGAGAGGAGAACAATGAGTAAAGCAACCTGCATTGATACGGTTCGCAGCATTTCAGGATCTTATTTTTGTTGTCAATGAGTATATTTATCCATTGATTGTTGGTTCATAATGACGCTACAATTATTTGGAAATAATGTGACACTTGTGCAATTAATAGAGTAAGTAATGTCATGATTGCTGAAATCAAGGATATTAATGTGATCTGCCATAAGGGTAAAATTCTACATCTATCGTACAAGCCTCCCAAAATTATGAGTAGTTTACGGGTGCGTGCCGTGATTACTCTCACTCTTGTTTTCTCAATTACCTATAGAGTCGCTTCATTTACATCACTGATAAAACCGAAGTGGAAGAAACCGTGATTTGAATTTCTGCGGTATATGAAGTCAATGAGTACATTTTTTTAAGCATCACTGGCCATTTCTATCAATTCAAATAAAAATTAAAAAAAAAAAAAATTGAGTGAAATTAATGCCACCTGCAAACGTCTCCGAACTTCTTTCATCTCTTCGATCGTCTGCTGTTCTTTCTGTGAACGATTCAGGAGTATATTCCATAAATCATCAGGATCAAGTACGATAAGTTCCGCGGATAAGTCCTCATCGAGTGCATTCTCGCATGTACCATTAAAATTTTGACACATAATTGTGCAATTTAATCCACCGAAAACATCATCACATTGAATTTTAAAGTTTTGAGGTATATTTTTAGCCCCATATTTTTACACAAGATGATTCATTTGTGGCTTAAAAGTGGAAAATCACAATTTTTCGCATTTTTTGAGCTACACATAATTCTCTATGCGGCAATTTTTGACCCATGCTAAAAGCTTTTCACGTCATAAATGTGTTGACAATTTTATAAGATTAAATCTTGAAGTCTCCATTAGCTGAGTTTTTGGCACAAGAACGGATGTGTAACAGAAATATCCACAAATTTAGAAAAATCATTTCAGAAATTGTAGTAGTACATTCTTCAAATTTCAACTTTTTGCATTATTTACGATATGGATTTGTCGAAAGCGTAAATAATGCAGGATTGCACTATTACAACATCATTCCATCCATCCATATCCGTTGTTTCTTCAGATATACAAGGAAATTTCAACATCATTTAAGTATGTTGAAAATTGCACTATTTTATTACGTCGTTCGTTGTCTACTAACCCTTACGTAGATAAGCACACCTGGCGTTTGGATGTCGCAGAGCACGAGGGCGCGCCATGGGAGCAAATTCTACGTATGTATGTTGACAATTTTATAAGATTGAATTTTGAAGTCACTTTAAATGAGTTTTTTGGACAGGTACGGATTTGTTACGAAAATATGCCGGAAAATCGCGATTTTCGAGCTTTTCATGGCTTTTCACGGCTTTAAAACCGCTTCCAATGGACCTATAAAGAAAAAATTGGCATCATTTTTGTCTTAAAAGTAAGCATCATTAATTTTTAAGGTAAGACTATCCTGAAATTTTGCGAAAGAACAAATTTATTGCACACAAATGGCGAAAAACCGTGGAAAATCGCGATTTTACGAGTTTTTAGAGCTTTCCACGGCTCCAGCTCTCTCCCTAGTGGACGTATGAGAAAAACGTCCAGATCATTTTCGTAGGAAATTTTATCAGCTTTATTTTTGGAAATAACCATTTTCTCGATATATCGCACGGGAAAAGAGATATCTCGGGAAAACCGCGGAAAAACGTGATTTTTCGCGTTTTTTCCGATTTTCCGGAGTTAGCACAAGGAAAATTTGTTGGGAAACCAAAAATTCGGATTCAGCGTAAAAAATTACATAGGGATCGATCATAACCTGATTTCACCTAAATTTTGCAAGGTAAAATCCTTTATTGCCTGGACTAAAATAAGTCTCGGACATTGATAAAATGTTTGATATGATCATCTTACTTCTGATCTTCACTCGCTCACTGAAGAATGGGCATTAACTAAAAGGGCCTCCAAACAAGGTATGTAGGAATTAAAGCATTGTGCTACATTTATTCTCTTCATAATTTTACAAGGAATGCTAATCACACACCAGGAGCTCTTGAAATCAATGCCTCAACAAGATATAAATGCTTGTAATTGCTTAATTGATATTGATTAATAGAAATAGAATATCGAAGAAAAAAACCCACCACATCCATTAAAACTCCATTTTTCCCGCAGGTAGGACTTCTTTAAAAAACTCGGGTTTCTTTCGAACCCTGCAAATTCAGAGATGAGCCTTGACCGGATGAACGAAATAAACAAGGAATCCTGAAAATTGATGATCAGATGATCCTACTAACCCTAGAGACAACTGGAGGTAAAACTGTGTCTACATGCGTTGCTCCACCAATTGTCCTGCGCTGTGCAATTGCATGAAGCACTGTGTGGGGGTTGTGATCTGAAGCTCGCCCAATACGAACGTAGAGCGATCCTGGATGAATTACAATGATTTTTTGAGCCTGTACATGCTGTTTATAAAAAAAAAAAGACACCGAATAAAGCAATAATTGAGATAACTAGTTAAATATGTATTCCTTTGTGGCCATGGTGGAGGCCAGGAAAACAAAACAAATTGCAAATTCATTTTGAGAAAATTGTAAGTGATAATTATACAAAAAAAAAATTACCGAAAATCGTAAGGTTTTTAATCGTAAGGTTGTTAATTAACCCTGTATCAGGGTTAATTAACAATAAAAAAGAGTTTAATGTCTCGAAATTTACAACCATAGCTTTTTTTTTATTTATTTATTTTTTTTTTATTTTTTTTTTTAAATTTTTTTTTATTTTTTTATTTATTTTTTATTTCTGATGGCACTTAAATATTAATAACTATATTACTTTATGTATATATTATTCTACCTCTCCTTCTCTATTGCTAATGATTAATATATATATTATTCTACCTCTCCTTCTCTATTGCTAATCAAGCTGTTTTGGTAACATAAAATTTTTGTTTGATTCCCAAAATGTTTGCTGAAAATGGACTTTCAGTTGTGCTGTCCTTGATACTACAGATAACCATTTTCATTGCGTTCCATTGAAAAAAAGAGCCTTAGGAGCATCTTAGTATTTATCTGAACCACAGAGGATCGAAATGGAAAGTGGCAAAACGCTTCACTTTTTTATTCCGGTCCACAGACACTATTCAGCCTGTTCCTTGCATTCCATTGGAAGGTTTGGAACCCTCTTTCGAGATGGGTTCAGATCGCGGTTACACCGAATTCTAACCTGTACAGGTTGTTGTTGTTGTCGGTTGATTGGCCTAATTCCGCGCTGCAGATAAACAGCCACTTACAAAAGAGCGGGATCACACAGATGATCATTTCCCTAGTGAATAAACAAAGTTTAATTGAAGGTTCAATGTCTAGAATCAATGCATAAAAATGTAAACTAACATATAACCACTGTAATAACCGCCCTTTGAATTTTTTCCCTGTAGTACGTTCTGAAACTGGTCCTAATTGTAGAGGATCCCAATCCAGTCCATTCCGTGGATTAAAAAAAAGCTCTCTTGAAAGGGTTTAATCTGTTCAAAGAGTCATGGTAAGGATGGTGCAAACGGAAAGAACTGGTACTTGGTATATGTAAGAGAAATCAGTCGGGTTAATCTATTTTTTGTGGAGTGGTTTTCTCTGGGTGTTAGCAATAAACTGATTAATTTCTCAGCAGCAATCCACTTATTAAAAAAAAAAAAAAATAGGTTAGGGATTGGCTCAAACTGGTTCATGAGCAGATGGGATTAGCCCTTGAGGGCTAGTTAAAAAAAAAAAAAATTAAAACTATATCAGCAAAACATGACAAGACATAGCCCTATTTCAACCATGCAATAAATCGCATTTCTATGTCTTATCAGGTTGCTTCGAACTGTCAATAATCGGCCTGCTGGAGTTGTAATGCTTGACCTCAGCAACCTGAGAAAGACGAGGAATAGAAAAAAAATCAGCTATATTATTACCTCAATGCTCCCTTCCTGAAAAGCAGGCATTTTGATGAGATGGTTTCCAAGTTTGCCTTTTATCTGGCCCTCAACAACACCTGGAATTGCCGCAGATGAATCATTCTGCGCTAAATTGAAGGTTTGAAAAATTCACAGGTGTAGCACTGGCACGGTGGCACTAATATACATGATAATTACGGCAAATGAAGACATGACGACGGAAGAGGAGAAATACGAGCATGTAATACAAGTGCACGTGTTGCACTTCTTTGGGAATTCTTAAGAAAACTCACAGCGATAGCGCCGGCACAGCAAAATTCGGCTTCGTTCGGCCTGCGGCCTAGGCCGCTGCGACAACCTCAAACAAAAATAATTTTAGGATTTCAGTTGGAAAAGCTAAGAATGAGAAAAAGTTAACCAATTACACTTTTCATCGGCATTCGGTACTCACAGGAATAAAAACTCTTTCACTAAAAAGATCCGTTCCCCTCAGCCTCAGATTTCTGAAGTTTGGAGGCTATGTTTACATGTTGAACCAATCGATATCGATACATCGTATAGATCGATGGATCGTATGTGGCCTCGAAAGTTAATTTACGTAACTAACTAGTGATACGGGTCCTCTGTGATCGAATTTTTATTCTATCGTGTATCAAATGAAAACTTGAAATTGGTAGGAATTTTCTCGTCTTCAGATTTTTCAAAATTTTTGTCTGGTTATGTTCTATTCTACTGGTATGAACCAAACGATACATCGAACCACTATCGAATACGATCTATTGGCGATAGCGATACGATAAGAAGCAAGCGCAAGCATGGCCGCACCAGCCGCACGCATTGGCCGCTGATCTCTGATTGCCTCGCGAGCACGAGCATGTGATTTCACAGTATAGTTAGAAGAATAATCTTTCTCGGTAACAGTTTTCTGTATTTTAATTTTACATAGCGTGCACCTAACTTGTGAAGTTGAAAATTAAATTCGTAAGTAAGATGTCCTCCATTCTCCGCTCGACGATTTATTTCCGGCAGTACCTTAACCTCAATCGTTCCCTAGCCGTAGCTATTTCACCAACGAAGTTTCCTAATATCACCAGGAAAACCATACTTACTCCCATCGTTTGCTCTTCATCGTAAGTTTTTATTATTGTCACTCATCTATACTTTATATCGCAGCTTAAAGACTTTGTCAAGAGTCCAGGATCAGTGTAGGCTCATTGGACGACCCTTGTGACGCCAGCAAGTAGTGCTCCATGAAATGACAATTCATCCATCATTTGTAACATTTCAACAGAAATGTGCACAGCTTGCTAGGGGGAAAGAACTTTGCTTCAAGATTTGATGATATAACGCAGAATTATGGGGATAGTGGCGCAAGTATTGTTGACCTCTATGGCCTGAGCTAGAGTAGCGAAGTGTTTGATACTAGCTCTCCAATGCAAGCGGTTCATTACAAGTTTAATTAATTTTACACAATCCGAAGGGATAGATGTGTGTTGAAAATCTTCGTATGAATGTTTTCGCATCACGCCTATTCATGTGGGCATGGGTTCAATGTAATTCAGATGAAGACATCAATCAAATCTTAAGATTTATATCGAAAGTGAGGATTTAGGTGATCCGTCCAGCCCAAGTGACATGGTCGAATTGTCATGCGATATATCACAATGATTATGCCAGAAATCTTGGCAGCTTTTGAATATTTAGTGGAAAAAAGGACAATAGCCCCTGCGCATAAGCTGAAAGAATCATTCTTAATCCAATAATCGGCAAAATTCAGAGAAATGAAAGCAGAACAGTGTTTGGAAAAAATCCTCGCATTCGATTCAGCTATTGATTTCTCTATCGAATGCGAGGTTTTTTCCAAACACTATTCTGCTTTTATTTCTCTATATATTGCCAATTTTTGGGTTTAGAATGATTCTTTAGGCTTATGTGCAGGGGCTGTCGTCCTTTTTTTACTAAAAATTCTATAGCTACTGAGATTTTGACCTAATTGATGCGATATATCGCATGCGAGTTCGACCAAGTCATTTCAGCTTGACGAATCACCTTAAAAGTCAAAACCTGAATACAACGCTAATTAAGATGAATCTGCCTTTTCCAAATGGAACCATTTCTTTGCCTCAACTGTCAGGTCCGCCTAGAACCAGGGTTCTTTTTGTCTTGAGATCTGGATCCAACCAGAATTGATGAAGTTTTGATAAGCAAGTAGAGTTCATATGAACTGTTCTTTTTAGATGCGTGTTGAATTAATACCACCTTTCATACCAGGCCATACATAAATACATATGATTGTGTGAGTGTGTCTTCCGGAGGCCTTTGGACAATTGAGAAGCAGCCGTTACAAATGGGCAGCGCAAAATCCCCTTAAGACCCCATGTATTTTTGGGAAGACAGGACATAACCATAAAGCTCTGGTCTGGTATGATGGTTGGTATTGGTTGAATCTCCATCCTATAACTCACTCTATAGATGCTTGTTGAAGAAGCTTGCACAAATGTAGCTAGTGTTTTAAATGTAACAAGGTTATTTCCTGCTATTACTCCTAAATAGAACTTCATTTAACTAAAACCGCATGGTTTTCGTTATCGTGTTAACTGACGTGCTGTCATTTGCCTCCAAACCAAGAAATAGCATTATGAACATCAGGGGAAATTTCTACAGGTTTCTGAAGTTTCTGAGCAACAACATTTCAAAAGTTCAAACATTTTTAGTAACGGGGATTTGTGAAGTACTTAATGAGTGAGGATTCTTTTGCCCCCTCTTTAAAGTGAACAAAAATGATACCTCAGTGTCAGTACATACCTGACCATGATTTCGCTTCCTTCTAGTCTCTACTAATAATTGACTTAAGGATCTTTGCTCTGGCAGCACACTGCTACCGCTCTAGAAATTCATAGAGGAAGTTTAACAAGATTTACTTTTTTTGTCTCATTTTCAGGGAAAGTGTAAGGAGTTACTTTGACGCTGCAAATGTCTCTATTAGTTCTGTTTTGAATAGAGTGGACAACTCTGTACGGCGAAAGTTTAGAGTCTCAGAGATAGACTTAAATCATATACTTGAACTCCTCAAACACCAGTGTAAGTGTGGTTTTCTTGCCCATGGCTACATATTATTAAATCTGCTTTTACCGCAGCTATCAAAAGTAAAAATCAAGAAACCTACTTCTTGGTTTCAATTTTACAAATTTCTCAGTTGGAAACTTAGCAAATTTTTTACTGCATTTTATTTCAATGCAGAGAAGCCAACTGTTTTTGGTCAATCTTTCTTTATGTCTATCAAAAAATACTCTCTTGAAAGTTTATTTAAAAATATTAGTTGGTTGTTCTCCAGAAAGGAAGCTAGAGCGTAACTTTAACAACAAGAAATATAATAAAGTAAAACCCTGCAGTCAAGCCGAGAGCTTTTCAGTTTTTCTTTCCATGTGCACGGAGATACTTGTTCTTTCTTTATGTCCGTAAAAAAATACTCTCTTGAAAGTTTATTAAAAAATATTAGTTGGTTGTTTTCCAAAAAGGAAGCTAGAGTGTAACTTTACCAACAAAAAAATATAATCAAGTTAAACCCTGCAGTCAAGCCGAGTGCTTTTCAGTTTTTCTTTCCATGTGTAAGTAGATACTTTCTGGAAAAGGTGCTAAGTAAAATGCAGGATCTCTGATCGCACAAATGAGAGGCAAGTCTAGGGCTGTGAAACAATTTTCTAAAGTAATTACTTTTTTCTGTGCGCTTCATGTTCATTATAGTAAATAAAGCAAGACAAATTGCATATTTTGCAGTGAAACACGTCTCCAAGAGGGTGAATCGGAAATAAGGCCATCAATCAAAAACACCTGGAACAGAGGAGCAGTCAATGTTTGGTACCTTTGCCTGGAAATAGTTTCTCTTTAATCACTTAATCTTTGTACTGTACAGCACCATTCTCTCAGGAAGTGGAGAGTAACCTCCTAATATGTGGAAAAAAATCCCCTACTATAAACTTTGAACATTAAAGTCGTATGAAACTTGCATCTCACAATAGGTAGAGTAGGTAATGTCTTTACAGGTTACTAGGGTGCAAATCTATCATACTTAAAATATCCAATCCCACTATGTTATGTCAGAACTCCATGTCGCTAAGCATGTCTTATGCTTCTAATTTATTACACCGTAAGTATGTCTCTTTGATGGTCACTTTTTTGTCACTTCTTGCTGTGTAGGCTCGGTAACTCCATCAGAAGCTGTGTTGATTCTGCGGATTTGTGGAAGTCTCTTGGCAGAAGTACTCCCAGAACAGAGGCAAAAGCTTGTTAAGGAACTGCTGGAAATTTTCAAAAAGCAAGGTAAGTAGCATCTCATTTATTGTAAGCCATAGAGCTGTAATGCTGAAAATATTCATCCAATGATTTGCCAATAATTTTGATATGAGACATAAAAAGTAAACGTTTTAATTAAGTCTGAAATAATCTCAATTTTTATTCATTTATTTGTTTCAACAAATGAATCAATGAGTTCGGAAACACACCAACTCGGAAAAAAAAATTGTTCAGGAAACACCTAAAACTGCGCAGCGGGCGAAGAAGTTAGTTTAAGAAAAACCCTTTTGGTGCCTAAGGACAAGCACTCACAGACTTTGTAAAGCACCAAGTTAAAATGGATACACCATGTTTGATGACAGAGAATGAAGCGTTTAAAAATGTCCGAGTTGGTGTGTTTTCGTTCTCACCGACTTTCAGATACTGATTTTGGGCGCTTCTGGGCACTTGGGTACCAGATGCCGTTCGGGTCTCCGGATGTAACATGTACTGTAGTACGTAAACTTTTGCCTTGTTGGTAATGACGCCATTCTGGTACATGCGGTAAAATTTGGATTTTGTTCTTCTCTGGTATTTACAATTTCCGTGAAATGTTAACATAAGATCCGCGAACGGACGTATTACCTGGTTTAATTATTTTAGGATCTCGTTATGCTTAAATGCTTATACCCGAGGCAGTACTTTTAGATCAAATTTGAAAAAATTACGATCAGTCACGTGATCTCTTCATTTTAGTGACGTATTACTGTGCTATTTTGTGATTGGTTCATTTTCTTGGCGCAGCATTGTCAAGCATCAGCTGTTTGCGGCTTTGGGCTGAAGGTTTAAGGTTAAGTCAGAGAGTATAGAAGGTTAGACGTCCGACTCAATGCTAAGAAATTGAAACCGAAGCGCTCGCAGCGCGCTCGCTGGCAACGTTTGCAACTACTATTTTCTATTGTTATCCAGTGACTGGCGGCATGTATGTTGCTGCTGGACCATTCTCACGTAGGCAATTTTTCATACATCGACCATTCACAACTCTCGCAAGATGAAGGTGTATGAAAACGTCCCTCGCAGTGTTAAAGAAGCGCCCTCCAAAGCTTTGGCATTGGAACTGCTTGTTTCATAGTCTGCCCTGAAAAATTTATATTTTTCGACCCGAATAAAGCTTGAACATTTACATAACTTGTTGGCACAAGGTATACCTACTGAACTGAAAAAAGAAAACTGCAAAATCGGATGGTCACCCGTTTCCCTTGAAATGGCCAATAATTGGTATTTCTAATGAAATACTTCGATTCTTCCCTTTACCTGTGGCTGTCTCGAGCACTTCCGATTGCAATTTTGAAATTTCTTTTTGCGTGCAGATGCTTCTATTCATAAGTGTCACTAAACCGTAAAAAAGTGTAAATCGAAAAAAAACCTGAGTTGGTGTGTTTTCGAACTCACTGATTCAAATGAGCTATCAGCCTTTAAAACAAGTGTAAGGTATATGAGCGGAAATGCACAGCCCTGCGCTCTCAACTATTCGAGAATCGATACTGGTTGAATTAGGCAACAAGGATGCGGAGAGCAGCCGAGGAGTGGAAAGAAGGCGCGGGGACAGGCAGGTAGGGAGGAGGTTGCCACTGGGAGTGAAGAGTGGTCGGTGGGCCTGTGCAGCGCGTCGTGTGGAGTGAAGAATTCCTGGCACAAATTTTGTGTGCACTAAGAGATGTGATATAATGATATATGCATTGAAGAACAACTCAGTGTCATGGCAGAAATAAACAGAAATAGAATAAGAAGATAAAAGTACAACAAAAAATAATGCGCTGATGATTTTCAATCATGCAGTTAAGAAGGCAGCTGCAAAACAATGAGTATGCAAGAACCTTGTTTTATACAAATAAAAATAATTCATAATTATTCATGCAACTCTTCATCGACATGGGCTCTAGCTATGAGCACACAAGGAAACTCACACATACCTCCTCGAAACGCAACAAGTTATGGACAATTTTGAACTTCCCATGTATTGTTTTCAAAACATGGTTCTGCATGTATGGGCTATTTTTGCAGCTGCCTCCTCCAATGCTCATTAACTTGTCTGGTAAATTTCCAAAACCAGATTTTTTCCCCTGAAAGTCGTTAAATGTATCAGAAAACTTCCCAACGAGTCTGAAAAATTCCTTTGCTATTCTTGAATTTTCAACTGGTCTTTCCCCTTTGGTTACAGGTGTCAAGTTTGACATAATTCATTACAATGCTTTGTTGGCTGTGTACTTTGAAAACGGAAACAAATTCACTCCAACAGAGTTCTTGTTGGAATTGGAGAAGGAAGGTCTTCAACCAGACAGGATCACTTTTCAAAGGCTTATAGCTGGTTGTTGCAAGAACGGAGATATCGAAGGGGCCACCAAGATACTTGAATTTATGAAAGAGAAGGAACTAGGCATCAATGAACAAGTTTTCAACGCCCTGATTCTCGGTCATTGTCAGCGCAAGTAAGTAAATTTTGAATTTCAACATAACTTCCACAGAAAATACACAGAGCCCCCAGAGCTTTTAATGCACCACTTGACAAGGTGCAAATTTAAGCAATACTTTGCAGTACAAGTTAGGTACTCTTATTTTCTCATCAAAATTTTACGTAGACATAATTCCTGACAAAAATTTTTGAAATTAACTCCCAAATAGAATATTAATCTTAATGCATAAATCCAAACTTCCTGCTCATGAAATAATCATCATCTGATTATGTTTAATTGCAAGCTGAACACTACTGTAACAGTTAGTATGTTAGGAAAACATGGTAACCTCAATTTCAATGCTTCAGCTCAGCTGTGGCATTTTGTATATACTTTAAGCAACACAGGGCATGGAGAAACACTGCCTGATTAAGAAGCTTGGCATAACTTTTTTAGTGCGCGATTTGATTCAAATACTCAGGCTTTTCTTGCGAGCAGGAAATTCAAATTTTTTGTAACCAGTGCAGAATAAAAACGTTATTATTTTGGTCACAAGTTCATTTCTTAATTTTTGTTGCCGAAATCATGTTCTAAGTATGTGAAATTTTGGAGAGGAATCATTTTTCAGAATGCTTAATTCCGTACCCTGTTTAGTGGTCTTTTTGTGAAGGAGCATGGAGTGTTCTAATTCCATTGTTAATCAGGTGCTAGTGTCCTTGTTTTGTGACCTCTCTCTTTTGCCTGTCACTTTTCATCACCTGTAACATCTGTTTTAGCCAAAGAAACCTGGCTTTTTTATATGGAAGAAATGTGATAACATAGGTTTTTATTCCCTACCTTTTGTGTAATGATTTACAGGAACTTCGTTTTGGACATTTTTTGTTATATTTGATCCCCTCATTGCGTTCATTTTGATTTCCAGCATGAAAGCACTGCTTTGTAGTGAGCAGTTGTTCATGTAGTTATTAAAAGATTTCGTCATTGCCTCAAAAGCAGGAGCACTAAAAATGCACCATCACTGGATAGGCAGGGGTGCAAAGTCTGCCCAATCATGCAATCTGTGGATTTCGTTTTCTGGCAGGAAATTTTTAGGAAAGTGAGGAATTTTTTGTCCAAACATCGTAAATAAATTTAGGAAAAATTTCGACATCTTTTCGATCTTATCGACTTTTTGGGAAACGTTTAGAGCTAATTTTCAAAAGTGAAAAAAAGTCAAAAGGTCATCTCTGAAAAATTTGGAAAAGAGGAAATTTTTCGGAAGTGATTGAGGAAAAAAGGAGGATCGTGTGAAACGTTCGGCCAAATGGCCCTGCTGGTAAGTGGATTACAGCAAAAGCAAAGCATTTACAAGTATTGAGAAATTTTTCACCGAAAGGTATGCCTTAATCTAACTTCGGAAACTTTGTCTTGGAAAAAATCATGAACATTTTGAAGAAATTAAGGAATTTTCTTTTTTCCAGTGACTTAGAAAGTGCTCAAGGAATCATGGGTGTGATGAAAGAAGCTGGTGTGCCTCCAAGTAATGAAACCTACGCAACACTGATGTGTGGATATGCAAAGTCTGGTAATATAGATAAAATTAAAGAGCTGTTTGACGAATGTGAAAACTCCAAAATTCTGCTCCTGAACAGAGATATCCTGAAAGTAGTGCAGGAGCTAGCTCTCAGCGGGCATGCCAGCCACATTTCTGAGGTAATTTTACAAGACTGAAGTGTTAAAAATATTACACCTAAATTTTTTTAGTCAATTTGACCTCCTTATTTCTCTAGAAAAAATTCTGATATGCAGTTGAGCTCCCATCTCTTCCTCTCCTTGTTTTTTATGATTTTTTAAAGTGACAAGATAAATGCTTTTTAGGAAAACTTTGTAAATTGAAAAATCAGGATTCCCAACTTCACACAAGTCTTACCAGGAGAAGTCATAGTGCAACTAGTGCAGAGAGTATGGAAGGTTAGAGCATGGAATTCCATTCCATATTCTCTGAGCTAGTGTTTGTTAGAGAATACAAAGAATTTTCAGTTGAAAACAGCAAGATATCTGTGAATAATGTCAAACAACAGTAAAGGGTTTGTGGCGCCTCCCAATGTCCTCATAAATTCTGGAATTTGTTCTCACATCAATACCCTATGAGTATTTTACTGTAGACTTTTTGTAGCAGAAAACTTAAAAATGCGCAAATGTCTCATGCAGATTTTGAGGTACAGAGTAAATTTTTGACATGTCCAATGCGCTCGCTTTAGTGGTTAAACCATTTTCCCAAAGAAGCAACCTGTGTCTTTGCTATAGCTGAAGATCGCAACAAACGCATTGTATTTTCCACTCATCTTAGGTTTGTTTCCTCATGCAATGAGACAATTTACATGGCATGAAAGAAAATCCTCTGTCGTGTGTTCTCTCTTCAACACTTTACCGAATATATAATTCACACAACAAGGCTCTATAATACATTTCTTGAGTTGATTTTGGAACTTCTTGTTGTGTTGATTGGTTTTCTACATAAAATTTTGAAGAGGAATTAATTATCAGAATGCATTTATTCATACTCTGTCTTGTCTAGTAGTCCATTCGATGAAAATATTCATCAAACATGTATCAATTCAAGGAAGTAGCATGGACCAACTCAATGGATTGCAAGTAGTGGTTTTTAAGTGCCATCGTTTTTTAAACTGGTGGAAAATTTTGCGGAAAGCTGGTGACAAGAATGTAGGAAAGGTCGAAGGAAATGTGGAAGGGTGGAAATCTCTGCACCCCTAATTTAATTTTTTCGAATTCAAACTCATGATGACAGAAGATGCGTTTTTGTGTTTGTTACGTCCAACTCCCTACTCAGAAAAAACATCAAAGTCCGCAACAGTCAAAGTAGTGTTTAAACTAACGTGACCTAAAAATATTGTTTTAACTATTATTATGTTTTATAGCTGAACAGTTCCCTGTTCATGCTAAATTTTTGTCGGCAGGTTTATATGTTCTGTGTATTACAGCAGGGTTTACATTTTGTGAGGATAATACTGTCAATTTGTTGCACAAATTAGACAGTTTTCAATTTTAGATTCAAGCTGCAAAAAGTATCGTCCCATACCTACTTGAGAAATGGCCTGAAAACAGCTGTCAGGCTTGCAGTAATCCAAGGTTCAGTTTTATTAAGCGATTTTAGTGTATTTTCCGAAGAAAATACACTATTACATTCTCCCATGACGTCGGACCCAGACCTGAGACCTTGTGGAGAACACCGATCACGGGTCGTAGATAACGAAAATATATGCCATTCAAATTCATGTGTTATATGTATGGTTGGTTGGTAGATGCGTTTATTTGGTGCTTTAAACAATGAGTCAGTTAAGTCATTTTTTTTTTATTGTGTCATTCGAAAGTAGTAAGTTACTGAAGCTTACAGTTTTTTTCCTAAATTTTTTTGATGACTGCAAACGGGAGAAAAGTTTATTTGAAAGTGCCAAAAATTAGGGTGGCCTAAAACGGCGTTTGAACTGCGCGCTCGTAGGTTCCGCATGTACACGTCACGATCAATATGGCGGCGGAATGCGTAGTGGAAGAATACACGGTGGCGACGCGTTGGCGGTATGTTTTTGTTGGTCAATTGGAGGTTATGTCGGTTTCTTTGTTTGAGATTCATATCCATTTTTCTTAATTCTCTAAGCTTTTCAATCAGAATGCAATACAGATGTATATAGGATATGAAACATTCACACAGAACTTACTTAACCTCAAACGAGAAGCCTTTTTAAGATTTTTCGATTTTTGAGTAGTTATATCTTTCTTACGTTGAAAGATATTTTGACTAATTTTTTTGCACTTAGTAGAATCTCATTAGAACTACTATTCTGCGAAAAAAAAATTGAAATTTGAGGCAATAAATTTTGAGGGGTGGGGGGAGGTCAAATCTTGTTCATTCTCGATAACTCAAGGGAAAATGAATTTTTTGAGCTGAAATTTTAATGGGTGGTAGTTCTCCCCTAAGCCTGGTTTGGTGTTGAATTTGAGCAAAATCGGTTGAGCCGTTTAAAACTGGCGAGCTTTGAAAGGTTTAGGCGGGAGGTGCGCAGCATGAGGGGAGCCGGCCGGAGCAGAGCTGCACAGTGGGTCAGGGGGAGAAAGTTTTTGGACAAGCTGGTCGTCGCACAGTGGGTCAGGGGAAGAAGTTTTTGAACAAGCTTTTCGTCGCTCAGTGGTTCAGGGGAAGGAAGATTTTGGACAAACTGTGCGTCGCACAGTGGGTCAGGTGAAGAAAGTTTTTGGACGAACTATCCGTCGCACAGCGGCCCAAGGAAAGGAAACATCTGGAAAGAAACTATCCATTACACAATGGTGTACAGACGTACGATTCTATGATTACACCAATCCCACTTCAGGAAATCCCTCCTCCAATCCCCCAATCCCCCCTTCAATCCCTCTTCCTTCCCGCGGTAGATGCGTGGGACACTTAAAAAGAAGAAAAACTAGATGCGCAGAAAACCTTGAAAAGACGCGTGCTTGCGCTCGTCCTGGGGGGGCGTGGGGGAGCGAAGCCACTCTAAAAACCGGCGCTGAGCAAAGCGGAACGCCGGTTTTTTATCATTAGATTTTTGAAAAAGCACTGTACTCCACTTGTGAGTGTCAATTTAAGCAGATTTAGTAGTCTTCTGAATTTTTGAATCTCTTATCTGAAAACTAAAGTACAACAAACTGATTTTTTTTTAAATTTTTGCACAGGTTCTGAGTAAAGTGCAAGAAGGACCAGACTATAATCAGGAAGCAGTAAATGCAAGTCTACCACTGATTGCTGCAGGTCAAGAGGAAGCTGCATACGCAATCAGTAAAACTATGACCAAAGCATATTTAAGAGAAGATCCGCTCGAGAATATCTCTGTGGGTGGTCACTATTTTGTTCGGCAACTGGTGAAAAGCAATCGAGTAAGTAGCAGTGAACCACTGAAAAAATCTGGATCTTAATGATTTTGATAAAAGAAAAAATCTGTTGTAGCCTAGTTTGTAAAAATCATAATCAGCAAGGAGCTCAAAATGGTAAGTTAAAATCTACTCTCATGCCGGAATCACATGCTGAATTTGGCAGCTGAATGTGGAAGTCAACCGTCATCGTTCAACGGCTGAAATTTCGCAAATTCGAGTTGTTTTCATGCAGATGTGTATCAGATCTATTCGAATAGTTCAGACAAATCTGACACTATCCGATGGTTGCTGAGAATCGTTGCTGAATTTCGCGCAATTTGCGTCAAATTCAGGCATCAGGCTGATAACCTCCACATTCAAGCCACATTCAGCTCCCTTATTCAGCGTGTGGTTGTGGCAAGAGTAAAACCAACTTTGGTCCATACAGGAACATAATTTTAGGAAAAAAATGTTTATGAAGTTAGGTTCAGAAATCAGAATTGAACTTTTCGGTAGAGAACACTCTATAGTAACCTGAAGAATGAGTTGTGAGCAGTCCAGTTAATGTTGATCTACTTATAAAAATGTTTGCTTATTTACTGGTTTCGCTTCAATGTTTTGGCAAAAATGAATCAATTACGCCTCGTTGTCCTTTTCAGCTATTTCTTTCCAAAGAATCTATTAATTACGTAAACCCTAAAATAAAGTTGAAAGGAAGCAAATGCAATTATAAACTGTTTGATTCAAGCAGCAGACCACTGAGCGGCCAGTCGGCGCTCAGTGGACCTCTAAAATAGCGCTACGGAGCTGTAATTTTAAAAACGTGAATTTTTTGGAAGTATCTGTAATTTCTGAACTCAGAGACCCTCAAGAGCCCCTAATAATGCATTTTGCTCAGTTTGAACATTCAATCTGATTTAATAACAGTGAAATCCGACTTTTTTGCGCGCGAAAATCGGTCGGCGCCCGTTGAGCGGAAACTTCAATCGATCATAACTCCGGAACCGTTTGGTTCCCCAGCTTAATGGACCACTCGTTGGATGCGGAAAAAGACAAACAATTTAAAAAATTGGTTTTGGTTCAAATAGAAAATTGAGATCTTTGAAAAAGAGCTTGATGCAAAAACGGCTTTTTTCGCCCCCCCTCTGGAAGTTCTTCAGACTTTGTCTATTGATTACTCATACTTGAGCGCTTCTTTTCCCAAATTTTCAGACCCCTAAAAAATTTTGGGGGGAGCTAGGGGGGGTGGAAGTCAAAACCTGTGAACCTCGATATCTCTTGAACAAAGAAAGATATCGAGGTCCGGTTTGGACGAAAAATCGTCTAAAATTGCATACTTTAAGATTCTAAAGGTCGAAATCCCGATATCACATCTTTAAGTCAACATATGTGCTTTTTTCCAGTTTTTAGGTCTAGAAAATTTCTTTTAAACGAAAAATTTACAAAGATCTCAATTTTTTATTTGAACCAAAACCAGTTTTTTAAATTGTTCGTCTTTTTCCGCATCCAACGAGTGGTCCATTAAGCTGGGGAACCAAACGGTTCCGGAGTTATGATCGATTGAAGTTTCCGCTCAACGCGCGCCGACCGATTTTCGCGCGCAAAAAAGTCGGATTTGACTGTTATTAGATCAGATTGAATGTTCAAACTGAGCAAAATGCTTTATTAGGGACTCTTGAGGGTCGCTGAGTTCAGAAATTACAGATACTTCCAAATAATTTACGTTTTTAAAATTACAGCTCCGCAGCGCTATTTTAGAGGCCCACTGAGCGCCGACCGGCCGCTCAGTGGTCCTGTCCGAAGCTGCAATTTTAAAAACGTAAATTATTTGGAAGTATCTGTAATTTCTGAACTCAGCGACCCTCAAGAGTCCCTAATAAAGCATTTTGCTCAGTTTGAACATTCAATCTGATCTAATAACAGTCAAATCCGACTTTTTTGCGCGCGAAAATCGGTCGGCGCGCGTTGAGCGGAAACTTCAATCGATCATAACTCCGGAACCGTTTGGTTCCCCAGCTTAATGGACCACTCGTTGGATGCGGAAAAAGACGAACAATTTAAAAAACTGGTTTTGGTTCAAATAAAAAATTGAGATCTTTGTCAATTTTTCGTTTAAAAGAAATTTTCTAGACCTAAGAACTGGAAAAAAGCACATATGTTGACTTAAAAATGTGATATCGGGATTTCGACCTTTAGAATCTTAACGTATGCAATTTTAGACGATTTTTCGTCCAAACCGGACCTCGATATCTTTCTTTGTTCAAGAGATATCGAGGTTCACAGGTTTTGACTTCCACCCCCCCTAGCTCCCCCCCAAAATTTTTTAGGGGTCTGAAAATTTGGGAAAAGAAGCGCTCAAGTATGAGTAATCAATAGACAAAGTCTGAAGAACTTCCAGAGGGGGGGCGAAAAAAGCCGTGTTTGCATCAAGCTCTTTTCGTTTAAAAGAAATTTTCCAGACCCAAAAACTGGAAAAAAAGCACATATGTTGACTTAAAAATGTGATATCGGGATTTCGACCTTTAGAATCTTAAAGTATGCAATTTAAAACGACTTTTCGTCCAAACCGGACCTCGATATCTTTCTTCGTTCAAGAGATATCGAGGTTCACAGGTTTTGACTTCCACCCTCCCCTAGCTCCCAACAAAATTTTTTGGGGTCTGAAAATTTGGGGAAAGAAGCGCTCAAGTATGAGTAATCAATAGACAAAGTCTGAAGAAATTCCAGAGGGGGGGGGGGCGAAAAAAGCCGTTTTTGCATCAAGCTCTTTTGGGGAAAGTAAATTATAAATTGGGGGAAGCTAACTCATCAAATTTTTGGGGAAGGTGAATTATAAATTGGGGAAAGCTAAGAACTTTCTGCATCTCTGCTTTAAAGTTTGTAGCTTTTCTTACTAAAATTGAGCCTGGTGCAGTGGCATCAGGATAAATTCAATCCCTTGATAGGGGAACATGATTGGTCTTTTGAAATTTCGTTTCTTTGTAATTTATGCAATGTTCTAGAGGGAGGTTCAATTGGATCGGTAGATTTTTTCCTAAGGATACACCACATTTGCTATCGATATGAAATGCTAAAAAAAACCAGCGCAGTTTTGTCCTGCTTTAAATGGATTTAAATGCCTACAATTCTTTAGGTGCACTTCACTCATTGCGTCTACATACAAGATGGCCCTTTTCTAATTTGTGAAAATTCGTAAATTGTCCGTCTTGGATTAATGGTAACATTATTTCTCACCAGTGTACACAGCAATGCAAAATCCTAGGATCAAACGTTGTATGGGAAATTTTGTGTTCCTGGACTTATTCTTCATGTACTTTGTAATTACTGTAAAGTGCTAAGTTTTTGCAGTTTATTTTCGACCTCCTCTGCAAATGATTATTGTTGCAATATCCACCCTTCCCCCCCCCTCTTTTTCTGATCATAATTTTTGAAAAGTTTGTAATTTCAGTAAGGAAGCTTAAACATTTTTTACTAAATTCCCTAAATATTTGTCTTATTTCTTCCAGGATAGTCGAATTTTTGCTCTAAATTTTTTTTTTGCCCCACAATTTAATGTGTCTCCGCAGAAATCACATTAAAATGCCTCTGAAAGTACTGAGTATGCATGGTGGCCATTTTGTAATTGGCAATACTGTTTTTCTCCTTTTCAATGTATTCATAATATCGATTTAGATGAGGCAAGATTCAGCGGGTACCCTCTATACTCGCTGAATGTGCTAAAACCGAGTAATACTTCAAACCAATTTTGTCTTCAAAATATTTATTTCTGGTCCTCACGTTTTTATTCCTCACCTATTTCTTTGGCCTATTTCCTCCCCATTTAAACAAATGTAATTTTTTCCGAAATTTTAATCGTTTTGGGGGACAATGTATACTTCAACTATGATGCTGAAACTTAGGAATTATTCTATTGGGACATAAAAGAATGAAGTTGAATCCTAGGAGCAAGGTTTTGAGATGGTCGCCTCAAAACAAAACATTCCAATAGTGCAGATGCCTGGTAAAATAGCTATAGTTTCGAGTACGCTGCTGTTTCCCCCATAACTCAGGTTTTTTAAGCCATTAAGTATTAATCTGCAGTTTCCCCACAAATATAAGGTGAGCATTTGCTTCCATTAGTGAAAAAATTGCTGTAAAGACTTTTATTAAATACCTTTTCTTCCTGCAAAACAAGCCGCCTTTTTGAAAATGCAAAAATTAGTACAATTATAAATTTCTAGAATTACCTAAAAATTGTTCCTATTGCTCAATCTGTTAAGATAGCTAAGTGCAAAGCTCATATGGGTCGTTAGTATTTTATATACCCACTTGAAATCATTCTTATAAGTTTTTCTTTATTTTTCCTCAGCCAATGGAGAAAATTAAGCATTACACCAACCTCTTTGCAACAGAAAATTCCGATCCACTTTTGTATAATGTTGCTATGAAAGAGGCTATTCACAAAGGAGATATTGCTTACGCGAAAGAATTTTTCAAGTTCGCTGAGGCACATGGTGTTCCAGTGCGCCCACACTATTTCTGGCCTCTTATGAAGAAGCAGGCAAATGATAGAAATACTGAAGGTAAGCTTTTCAACACCGCCACTAATATGTCTTAATATTTTTCTTGTGTGATTTATGAAACAGGCTACTCTAAATTTACAGTAAATCTTAATTTCTTAAAACAGAATGTGAGATGTTTAGAGTATACTCCCAATGAACTTGTTTACTTAAAATATATTTACTCATATATATATATATATTACTTAAAATATTTACCTTCAAAGTATTTCTTGAATAATTTAAAAATCATTTTAAAATATTTCCATAATACTTCTAAAGAGTTACGAAAATATTTTACGGGAATGTTAACCTATTAGTAGCATGCGCCCTCTATCAACGATTAACGGTACTATTATTTGCTTCTGTATACATGTCTGTATACTCAGCGCNATTCGGGACTTTGCATTTTAATATATAGGATATTACTTAAAATATTTACCTTCAAAGTATTTCTTGAATAATTTAAAAATCATTTTAAAATATTTCCATAATACTTCTAAAGAGTTACGAAAATATTTTACGGGAATGTTAACCTATTAGTAGCATGCGCCCTCTATCAACGATTAACGGTACTATTATTTGCTTCTGTATACATGTCTGTATACTCAGCGCACTCTGTCAAGTAGATGTGGAAGTACAGGCAATGACCGTCATTTTCATAGTTCTTTACATGTATTACATCTGAAGCATAAATTACACATGTATACAAGTATTGAATATTATAAACCACTAACTTGAAGTCCTGCGATGTTTGGTAGCGTAAAACACCTGGATGTCCTCATGTGGGCTTGAACCTGAGCCGCGGGTGTGGTAGCCCAGCACTCTGCCACTATGCCACAGGGTGCTGAAGATAAGCTGGGTTAAAAGCACGCCTGTTAAGGCTGTTATAGCATGCATTGCGTCAGTGCACGGCTCAACGCAGCTTTGATTAATGCCGTGTTTTCTTAGGCTTCTTTTTTTCCTATTATTTTTTTTCGTGTTATTTTTTTTATTTTTCGTATTTTCTTTTTTTGTGTAATTTTTTTTTCGATATCATGTAATAGGTACTTACACTAAATTAACACCGGTTTAAATTACACCACATACTAACTTTTTTTTTTTTTTTTTTTTTGAGTTTTGTGGCTTCTATTCCTTTCACATACTAACTTGAAATAAGAACTTAAAAATAATTTAAAAATATTGACTATATTTTTAATATATTTTAAAAATATTATAAAATATAATTTTTAAAATTTTTACTTTTTTTAATTTAAAAATGTTTTAAAAATATTTTTAAAATATTTATTAATTATATTTCAAAAGTTCTTTTAAAATATTTTCAAAGTATGAAAAATAAATATTTTAAATATATCGTCAATATATATAAAATATTGCTGTTTAACTGGGCTAGAATCTGGAAATTTATGTGGATGTTCCAAGTTGACTCAATGTAGTTTACGGAAATAATCATGATTTGGAGGTATTTATAAAGCAGGGATAGATATTTTAGTTGAACAAACAAAATTTCAGAAAATATGCCAAAAACGAGTGAAATCTTTGTCAAAAGGTGAAATTGATAACAGCCAGTTGCTTGTTTTGATCAGCCTCAATATTCCAACGCGTAGTGGTACCGCTGATAGCGCTCGGTCGAATGTGTGGCAAGAAGTCGGGGGGGGGGGGGATTTTGACGCCATATTGGATTGCCACTAAAGCACCGGTAAACGCGGTGCTTTAAAATTTCAAACTTCAAAAGTCGTTTTTGGAGGGAAAAATGGCTCGAAAAATTGGAAAAAATTACTGCGTGATGAGGAGACAATGGAGTTTCTGAAAAAGCAAGTATTAGAAACAAGTTAACAAGCTCATTAGCAACAAATCGTTTGAGAGAAAGCTTCATGGTTCAGTTTGAAGTTTGTCTAATGTATAAATGTGCTCCTTTGAGCTTGGTCATTAGTATTTACAGTAGACTCTAGATTATCCGGATTAATTGGTGCCGGGCCCGATCCAGATAAAAAAAAATCTGGATAATAATAGGAAACACAAACACCACCAACCAACACCACAGTATTCTTATTATGTATACATCATGTACATACCAACTTAAATGGGCTTGAAGTAGGCAGTCAACGGTCTCTGCCTTTTAGAATCCGCGTGTTTCTTGGATGCCAAATCCAGCCAGCATAGTAAATAACTGATGTCAATTGCCGTTGATTCCGACTGCTCCGCGATGTAGTTGAGCGCATCTGTTAGGGACTTGTATCCTTGAGAGTGTGGAATGGAAACACAGGCTGGTTCACTGTCTCCTGCATTTTCTTCAGAAGTATCGTCTGGCTCTTTGCTGACCATGTTGACGATATCTTCGTCTGTCAGCTTGTCAGTGAGCTCGTTGGCGGCGAGCCAATCATCAAGGGTTTTTCCAGTCACCTTATCGCCTGGTAGTTGTTGTAGTAATGCTAATAATTGTTGATCAATTTTGTCAGTTGGAGGGGCTTCAAAGTCGACGACATGGTCCAACAAGGGTTTCCATGATTTCAGTAGAGTCAACGGTGTAATTTTATCCCAGGCAAGTGCCACCCAGTTTATAATGTGGACCATATCTACTTTTTTCAATGCAGTAGGGACATCTATCCCTGCGTTGTAAGAGGCAAGCAGAGCAGTGAGAATTTCAAGCCGGAGAAGTTTCTTGATTGCCGCAAATACACCCTGGTCCATCGGTCCATCACACCAACATGCGTTCTCTCGTGCACATTTTGACCTTTGACACTATCGTGTGACTGCTTCTCCGCGGATCCGCTCACTTATCGGAATGTGTACGTAGTTGCAAAATCGATCCGGATAATTCAGAGTCCGGATAATACAAAGCGGGATAATCCAGAGCCTACTGTACTTTAATATTGACAGTTAGTTTGCTTTCATTCTCTATTTCCCTGTGTGAATTTTATGAATTTGAAAGACGCGGTGAAGGAAATCATGAAAAAGTTGTATGATATTTCAGAGGATTTGTAAGTGATTTCTGAGAACATCTGATAATGATTCCTGCTCTTGAGGATGTGAATATTTGAAAGCACTTAATTCCCAATTTCCTTCTGTATTCCCTTTAATATTACATAAAAGTCAACCTAAAAATGCCATTAAGCTTATTAAAATCTATGCAGGTCTGTTTTTGCAGGAGGAGCTTTTTTGCAACATAGTAAAATGTCTTTTTCAACAAACACTTTCTAAATTTCATTCCAATTATTTCATGTTCATAGTTTAGGGTTTCCAGTAGTCTTGAAAACTTGGAAAGTCAGGAAATTCCTAGGGAAAGTCATGGAATTTCTAGGGAAAGTCAAAGAGCTTTGCAAATAATGCGTCAGCTCAACAACTCCAGCCGGTGTAGGGGAGAGTGAGAACAACTTCCAACTACCTATTTCCTCAAATTGAATCCCTAGAAGCATAAAGTTTGTCCAAAGCATTGGTGAAGGTAGTGTAAATAAAAGAAAAAATCTAATTGGAAGTTTTGATCGAAGATCAGGGAATTCGTTAATTTTGGAGTCAGGAAGTAACAATAAAGGTCAGCCTTAAAAAAGAGGCAGGAAATTGTGAAGTGAAGACATTATCAAAACCTTCATAATTGATCACTCTATGCCCTCCTCTCTCAGATTGAATCTTCTTTTCACTCTGTATCTTTCTCTACTGTTATAGGAATTTACCAATTGCTCGAGATGATGATCGAAGACTTCAAACTGCTCACTCTGCGCGAGACAGTGCGAGATGCAGCTGTACACGATTTGGTAAATTGTGGGGAGTCCTGGCAGTCTATTTTTGATAGATGTACTGCCCTCACCATTCCGTCAGGCACAGTAGCCGCTGCCCTCGTCATCAACTTACTCAAAAGGAACCGCATCAAGGAAGCTGCTGAAATAGGTGATTCTTTTAATCCGATCATTTTAAGCATTTCACGTGAAAGTTCCTATATTTTCTCTCTCCAACAAAATAAATAGTAGTGAATGTAAATTGTTTGGAAAGAGATGCATAGTCAAACCAGCACACAGGGTGATCCAAAAGTCTCCTTCACTCCCTCCGACTTTTCACCCAATTAAGGTCAAGATTTGAAACTTGGGGGATATTCCTAGATCAATGGGTACTACTTTTTGCCCCTTAAAATTTTTAGTGGTCCCCTTGGGGAAGGAGCAACGGACCCCAACTTTTTTTTTTTCAAATGAGGAGACCCTTCTTGTGATACCCTGTTCAAAAGAGCATAAAAAAATAAAACTTTTCTCGCAAACCCGAAGTCGATATCTTAAACTGTTTCAAAATGTGTGGCTGGTTGAAGTTTAAGATGGCCGAAAATTGACATTGGTCTTTTGTCAATGTATTTGCGCAAAATTTGTTATTTGCAGGTATTTTGACACAAGAAAAACGAATTTGACGTTCGATTTTCAAAAAAACCGAAATTAAATTCTCAAAATGGCAGCTGGTTAAAGTTCAACATGACCGAAAATAGTTGTTTTAGAAATCTATTTTCAAGTTTGCTAGTCTCTTGGCATTATACCTCTAGGTTCCAATAGTCAGACAAATCCATCCGCAAATAACGGACATGCCATTTTCGGCCATGTTAAACTTTAACCAGCCACCAACTTGAAAATTCCGGTTTTCTTTAAAATCCAACGTCAATTTCGCTTTTCTCTGTCAAAAGAACCTTAGGTATCGAATTTTGCGCCAATCCATTGACAAACAACTGGTGTCAATTTTTGGACTTCTTGACCTTTAACCGGCCGTCATTTTGAAGCAGTTTGAGAAATTGATCTCGGGTTTGTGCGAAAAGTTTACTTTGTTTATGATCTTTTGAACAAGGTATCACAAGAGGCGTCTTCCCATTTGAAAAAAAAGTTAGGGTCCTTTGCCCACCTTAAAAAGTTTTAAGGGGACCAAAAAGTAGCTCCCTTTGACTTAGGATCATCCTCCAAGTTTCAAATCTTTACCTCAATTAGATGAAAAGTTAGAGGGGGTGGAAAGGACTTATGGATCACCTTGTATGAACAAGTTCAAAGAAAGGTGGCTAAATGGACCTCTGGACATAGCAAATATCAAAATTCTTTGAACTTAATCACAACTTTACTCAGAATACATCGAACATACAGGAAGCTTCCAAAATTCACCCATTGGGAAAAGTTAACGTTATTAACCTAAGAATCAGTGAATTTAAACTTTCCCCTAGCAAAAAACCAAAATTAATGCTGCTCAAATCAGCTATGAAAGATGGAACACAATCTTGCTCACTGGACATACAAGTGTCTGGTTTTATACAGTTTTTCCTCCTCCTCTATTCTTGCCAAACTTATGAATTTCTTCCTAAAAGGACACTTTTAATGAATCTTGAGTGTTTAGCACTTAAACTTCAGAAATGGATTCTCACAAAGGAATACAATATTTTGTCGCTACAAACAATAAAAAACATAAAAGGAAATACACCGTGAGTTTTGTAAATTTTAAAGTGGGTATTTTTGCACTCTGAACCTACCCTAATATTTGTCAAAATTGTCAATGATTGTTTACATATATTGCAATCTTCCAATCCATGTTCCTAATCATGTTGCAGGAATCTTGCACTTTTATAAGATTGATGACACATGAGCCTTAATGTAGAAAATGTTCATTCCTCTCACCACCTTTCACTATTTTTTCTCCAATAGAATGTAATTGTATACAGAAGTGATTAATGCCCAATTAATACTCTATTTGCCGTAAAACACTAGGCATTCATGGGGCCTTCTTTTAAGTCTCGTATAGCCTGCAGTTTTCCAGAAATGAAAACCAAACTTACTGTCAGTGTGTACACTACCAGATTTTATTTTAAATATATATGCGCCATTAGACTTCATTCTAGATTTTCGAATATTCCTCCAGCCCTCCTTGCAACTTATTCCTGTTGATATAAGATAGTGTTCGCTATCAAAGAGAAAAATATCACTTTTTTGACGTAACACAATAAAATTTGTTTTCCTGGAAAAAGTTCATCTGGGAACTGAAATCTTTTTGTTACAGATGCTCATGCGCACCCACCCAATGTGGTAATGGCCAATTCATGAAGAGTTTCATCATGACATGTTGTAGTTCGTTTTGTACTTCCCTCATTATTAAATATTGTCATTTCTATGTTTTAGTGAAGGCGCACCGTGCATATTACCAGCCATACTTCATACGTCCTTTATTAGTGAAAGCGTACTTCGGAACGAAGGATTTAGACTCTTTCATGACAATTGCGCATGCCATGTACTTATCAGTTATGCGCCAGGAAGATTATCGAGGTAACTCAGAGGTAGCAGCCGATTCGGAGGATGACCCTCTTGCTGTCCCAGACAAAACAAACATGATAAGTAAAACTGTGTACGATATCTTGAACAACCTGGTTAAGGATAAAAGGAATGCAGAAGAAGTAGAACGTTTTCTCAAGGTAATAAAACACTCATCTACGAAGATTCCACCTAATTTGTCATGCTTTGTTTAAAAAGCTGTGTGAAAAATTATATTCTCTTCACAGAAGGTCAAAATAGAGACAAGAATAATACAATAATTGATGGACTGGCAAGGCAGCATCCTTCAGAAAGAAACCAAGTGATATGAAATTGGAAATGAGACGGAAAATTTTCAAGTCTCATTTTTCTATGAGGCTCGAGTATATATAAACAAATGCCTAGTCCAATTTTTAAATTCTCAATGGACCACTAGACTAAGTTCAAATTAAAGCATTCTGATATATTTTTCAAAATCAAAATTTCACAGAGGACTTAATGCAGATAACGAAAATTGCTTAATTTACCTATTATGTTAGATAGTTTTATTTTCAGTCACCAATGGTTGCGGAAAATTTGAATTACCTGTGCACAAGAAAGGTAATACTTTACGCAAGTCAAAAAACGCGTAAAGTAATACTTTACGCGTGCACCATAAAGTTTGTGTCGGGCTCCTTAATCAAACAGTGTACCTCTCCCTGTCTATGTTGTTTAAAATGTGAACAGCTGAGTCGAAGTGCCAAGATTGAGATGGTCATTTTTTATGCTGCAGAGACTATTTCAGCAACATTAAATGCGTGCTTTGACTTGCGTAGAGTTTTTTTCTTCATCAGTGGAAGGTTTAAATTCATGCATCAAAAAACGTTGAATTTCTCAGTTAGGATTTAATTTCAGCAATTTTCGTCGCCTAAATTGTGTTCTGTGTGAAATTTTAGCCAGGAAACATGTATCAGAATGCTTTAATTCGTACCTTGTCTAGTGGTCCATTCTCTTCCTAGGCGATAATTTTTCGCAAGGAAAAATTACCTCTAAAGAAACTTCAACTTTATTTTTTTTTGAGGATCTCCCGTTGTTACCCTTTAGCTATTTACTGCCTGATTTTATTTTCAAGTCGATTTGAAAATGTTAACAAAATTTTTCCAAAATCTTAATTTTGCATAAGTTGTAAATAACATTTTAAAACTCCCTCAATCTTAAAACTTTAGTGGACTTCAGCAAAGGAAGGCTGGGTCAGATTGTTTGAAATCTTTGAAACAAAGCAGAATAATTATTTCTATCTCCTTGCCCCTCTCCACAATTGCCTCAGTATCCCCTGATGATCATTGACTGATGCTAATCAAGTCTGTTTTTATAGGCTCTTCTTGACCATGGACTCGGCATCAGTGAAGCTTGTGCCCAGAAGATTACTTCATGGCTCAGACCAGTTCTTACCGCTGAATTAGCTAATGTGATTGAACAACTAGCATCAGAGAACCTGAAACCAGCAGCATTTTCATCTGCTGGAGCCTCAGCCCAGACAACAAGTTCAGACCGTTTTGACGAGAGGGTGCTTAGACAAATCCTGAACCTAAGGTTGAAAGATGGGAAACCGGTCGATGTTATTCGGCATCAATTATTCCAGATATACTGCCGCTCTAGAGATGTAGACAAAGCGCTTCAAATGAAGCAGGTAAGGAAAACAAAATTTCGTATCCTCTCTTCCCCCCCATTCCAGAAGTTGCACAGACCAAATGGATGCATGTGTTCCAAAGAAGTTCAACATTGAAAGATTTCAGAAAGAAGTTATCTATGTAAGGGATGGATTAGATTTCAGGATTTGAGTTGGGAAACCGGTTTAAGGCTGTTTAGGCCTCATTAAACAGAAAGGAACCAAGTTACATCAGCTGTTGCCCAATTTTATCAATCTTCAGTAGAACCTCGCGAAGTGGGAACTCGCTTTAGTCAAAAACCCCGCTAACTCGGTCATCATGGCTCGGTCCCGTTATTTTGCCCTCTTAAGCAATGCTAAAATATACGCCTAACTCAGGAAACCCTCCAACCCGTAAAATTTTTTGGTCCCAAATTTGAAAAGACCCCCTGAAAAGTTCCGCTAACGACTTTTTTTTGTTCTAGTGGGTCCAATTTTCATGCATGCACAAAGAATTTTCTGAAGTTAATTTGTATCTTGTAAAAAGAAGAGAATCTTAGAAGTTGGTCCAAAGATAGAGATGCTTACAGAATATCCTGTGTTGAAATAAAAATAATTAGAAGTTTTTAGTTTGACATTACAATTTGCATTTTTAGAGACATGGCAAACTGAGTCATTTGCTGCAGTTAACTCATTTAAGACTGAAAATCACTAATTATTAAATTAATTGCAAAATTCTTTGACTTCTTGTAATTTAAGTAAATATAAGTCACTCTAATACACCCTTTTATCCTCGACCTTATACAGTGAGTGTGTTGCGCACAATGGATAAAGCCAACTAATTAGTACTACTCCTTTGTTTTCTTTATCGGGAACTATGGTCACTTACTTTCTTTCTTTTTCGCCCGATGAATGTAAATATATTATATTCATCGGGCGAAACAGAAAGAAAGTAAGTGACCAACTGGATTGCATTTTGCAAAAAGGAACCACTAGCATTGCAAGGTTACTAAGATTGTGCAACTTCTTTTGTCTTGGAGGAAAAACTCGATTATCCATTAATAGTTTCTATTTTACTTGCTAAAAACTGTAAATTTAAGACAAAAATTACCATCTGAATTTCATAGTTTTTCACGATTTCCGCAATTTTATTGCAAAAGATGAAGTTGCACAATCTTTGCAACTTTGCAATGCTAGTGGTTCCTTTTTGCAAAATGCAATCGAACTTATTAGTCTTTAAGTAGGTAAAATTGCCCGCAAACACATCAGGAAAGTCTAGAATCCACTCTTCAAAGCACAGTTTGCCAAGTCTTGATCACAGAATTTGAAATTCTCCGCACACTCTCTGCAGGCTCTTCTTGTTTTTGCTCGAATCGAGTGTGGGTCGCTAAAATCTGGGAAAGACCCAAGTACTTTATTTCAAATCATTTTTACAAAATCATTTGAAAGCTCGTATTATTGTTCAACTATCGCACCAGTCAAAAAAAATTAAACTTACAAGTGATGCAATTCATTTTAATTATTAAGTATGATTTATATAAATTATTCTAAGGCATTCATCAACATTACAAAATGATATTTCACATCGGGCGAAAAAGAAAAAGTGAGCACTATCACAAAATGCCTCCCAGAACGGGTGTTTTCTTTCTCTCCTGAAGAACAACCCTAAGTCTGCATTTTTGGAGAGGAGCTTTATATTTGGTGGTAGAGCATTTTCTAACTAAATCGCTGAATATTTGAACAACATTTGTTAGAAAGGAACAGAATCCATTCCAGTGTTTCCAAAATTGTACAAGTTTTCATTATCTGGAAAAGGCGGCAAAGTTCGAACAGTCGTTACTTTTCCACCAGAAAAGGTTGGTTTTAATAAAAACAAATCGTGTAAGTATCATTATTGTACATTCACTCAATTTTCTTTACCGTGATAAAAAAGTTGCTTGATTTTGAAAACATGGCCAAGCCAAGCTCTGCTGAATGCTGTCCATTTATACTTCTCTCCAAAATTTTTAGCGAGACTTTGACAAGTAATGATTCCTTGCTTTGATTGACATTTTTATCAAAATGAATATTTATTGTAAGTTAAGTCTCACTGAAAATGTGCCTTCATCTTTTTGATAGTCAAGTTCCCATGTCATAATTAAGGAAGATTCGCCTTTGAGTTGCATTTTAAGGTTTGAACATCCAGTTCACTCTTTTCTTATTGTTGCAATGTGTTAATGTTCACAATTTTAATTTTTGTTTTACAGGAGATAGAAGAAAGTGGCGATTCTCTCTCAGAAGGAGAATCTGCAATTTTAGCTGATGCGTATATTGCAGTGGAAGATCTGGAGAATGCTCAGAAGATTTTCGACCAACTCAGAAATGAAACTCCTGGCTTTAATTTTGACTACTCAAAAACTATGCGATTTCTTACTTTACTCGTACAAAAAGATAAACTTCAAGGTACTTCCAAATATCTTTTTTCATCTCTGAAACAAATTCAAAAGCAACTTTTCTTACTTTTCTTCTTACTTTTTCTTCAACTAAAGTAAGTCTTATCAGAAAATTGTTTAATTGAAAGAAATTTTAATGATGAGAATTTCATTTCTAATTGGTATGATGATAGTTTTAAAACTGATTTAATGAGGCTTATGTAATTTCATGATTACATGAATCAAGTTATCTCTACTGTAACTTTAAGGTCTTTTCTAATCATGTAATTTTTTTTTTAATTTTAAAATTTCACGTAACCTCCATCTTACTTCACTTATTAAAAAGCACAATGATGAGAATCAATTTGCTGCAACTAATAATGTCAGCCTCAAAATCTGATTTAATGAACTTGATTTTGAATTGAATTGGTTTAAAAACATAGTTGGTGTAGCAAGTGAACTCAATCTGTGTGAAATTAACGTAAACTGTTTTAGCAAAGCATCTCAATACTGAGAGTTCTCTCCCTCGAATTCTTAAAGTCAGCCTAAAAGTCGTTCAACGCACCAGTATTGTAGTTTCAGACCTATTTTTCTCGACCATGAAAATCTTGGTATTTCCTGAGGCCTCACAAGACAGTGATGATTCTGCAACACTGTTTTTCCTCCATTGAAATCAGCTATAAATATCGTTTAGGCAAGATAATGTACCTCACCAAGAATCGATTGCTTTACATCCATTTAAATTAAGGATTAACTTACAAGAATCGCCACTGCCACAAGACTGGGTCTGAAGTTGATTGTTAGATCACATGATTCCTCATCAATATCTCTTGCAATGAACATTATTTGTTCTATCAGAATCTCCTAAATTATCTCCCGACCCAAACGTATAATACAGGGAACTCCTGTAATTCACATGCTGTATAAGACGAATTCTGTGCTAACTAGGGGACCTTACACTCATGCCTCCTCAAAATTGATCGGCGTTTGGCCTTCTAGATGTAGGGGCATATTATCGATCGGTAAAAGAAATAATGCTACATAGTACAAAAATTTGAAGTGGAAGTACGAAAAATTTTCTGAGACTTCGAATTTGAAGGAACGCAACAAAGAGCAAGAGATTTGTTTGCATTTATTCTTGTAATTTTTTTTAATGCTCTGTGATTATTATACCAAAAAAATAAATTTCAATCGTTACCAGGATGTCTGAAAGAGGGAGTAAAAAGAAAGACGATGAAAAAACGATATTAGTAAAAAGAAAGAAGTAACATTTATAGAATTAATTTCATCGGAAGAACCCTGGGAAAAATACAGATGAGGGGTCGGGATCCGAACCGGCAATCTACGAAGTGCAAGCCATCGCCCTTGTCCACTACACCACAGCGGTTTACGGTTGGGGGAGGCAAACAAACATATCATATGTGCACAGCACATCACACAATCATTTACGTCGTTGCGTACCCCCAAAAAGGTGACACAGCTGGGTTCAATTTTTCCTTTT